ACAAAGAAAAAAGAAAGAAGAGAACGGGGTTTCGAGGGGGGAAAGGAAAAAGAGATGGGCGGAAAATTGCCCGGGGGGCCCCCCCCAAAAAAAAAAAAAAAAAAAAAAAAAAAAAAAAAAGGCAGAAGTGTATCCAAAGAAATCATCAAGATCTCTGATGCATTTGTGGGAGATTCTCCCGGGGGGAGATCGGCTTGCTGCGGGGGGAGTTCTTCTGAAAAGAGGCCTATGCAGTCTCCGGAACCCCCCCCAAAAGGCAGACCTGCACAGAAAGGGTATCACTTTTTCCTCCCAAGAGTTGTCTCAGACACCTCCAAATAAAAACTCCAGGCCATGACCACCTTGAAACCAGTCGTGACCACCAGGTTTTCGCTTTCCAACCATTAAAGGATGCACAGGTTCTCCTCTTCGCCAGGCTCCACCACGTGAAGACATGGAGTGGTCTCAATTCAGGACCCCCAAGACATGGTCAAACTTGCAGATCCTCTGAGTGCGACACAGACGTAACCATCGGGACGTTCGGGCTAGTTCAGTCGAGGTGTGCGATCATCTCCTCCTTGGTAAGGGGTTTGAAGGTATCGAGGCCGAGACCGCGAGCTTCGAGGGCGGGACGAGCGTGTGGGGGAATCAAATGCGCGTTCTTTTCGGGGGCAATGGAGAGTTCTAAAAGAGGGCGTTAGCGCGCGGAGGGTCCACGGGGTCCACGGGTGTATTTACCATGTCGGGAGAAGTCGAACAGAGCGGGGAGATCCTTGGAGGGGTTGTTGTGGTGACGGGAATCCGGTAGTCGGGTGTTGGGATCACGAAGCTCATCGAAGAAGGGGTGACACATGGCCTCCACGGCAGACAACCGTTGTGTCGGAGTGTATTCCAGGAGGGCAGAGATAAGGTCGATAGCCTCCGGGGGTGCCTTACGGAAAACCTTGAGTTGGGTCAGCATCAACTGAGCACGATCCAAAGTAGGGAACATACCTTGTTGAAGGGATGAGGCTTGATTTGAGGGAACTTGTGCTCCATATAATTGGGGTTCATCGTGCGGATCTGTTCCCGAGTCGGGGTGCCCAAAACCTTGATGATTTCCACCAGTTGGTCAATGCCCGACTCGCCTGGGAAGAGGGGTTGTCCGAGCATTAATTCAGCCATCACGCAACCAGTCGACCAAACATCTAAAAATAGGTTAGTGAATGACATGAGAATGAAAGGAGGAATCATTACCAATTTTGGTTGTGTAGTTGGTGGCGCCGAAAATCAGCTCTGGGGCCCGGTAGTAGCGAGAGCAGATGTATGAAACATTGGGCTCGTTTTCGATGAGAATCTTGGCAGAGCCGAAATCGCAGAGTTTCAGGATGCCGGTAGAGGGATCCAGCAGCAGATTTTGGGGCTTAATATCACGATGACAGATTCCCTGGGAGTGAATGTAGGCCAGCGACCGGAACAGTTGGTAGATGTACAGTTTAACCTCCAACATGGGCATCGTCGTCTTAAGCTTGTTAAAGTAGCGAGACGCACGGTACACTGTCTCTGGGACATACTCGAGCACCAGATTGAGGTAAACTTCGTCTTTCTGTCGGGATCGAACACGGGTCAGCCGGACCAACGAGATGAAAAAGGAAAGAGACACATACTCTGTCGCCGTTGGAGTAGTAGAAGGCCTTCAGCTCGACGATATTCGGGTGTCGCACAATCCGCATGATCTGCAACTCACGGTTCTGATGTCTCCGATTAGTTTTTTTTTTTGCCCCTCTCGCTGACCTTCGACTGCCATACCTTGAACCGCTTGTCCTGGAGGACTCTCTTGATGGCAGCATCTTCCCCGCTGGGAGACATCTTGGTTTGAAACACCACACCGAAGGAGCCATTGCCGACAATCTTACACTGGGTGTAGGAGATCTCCTTGGCCTCGCCGGTCAGTCCATCCTGGACCTTCTCGCGGATGACCTCTAGTACAGGGATTAGCGGGTGGGATTTTCGATTTCAGAGGTCGACTTACCACCCATGCGCAAACTCGGAAACAGCCCGGGCCGACTTTGTGACATCACGAAGTAGTTGTAGGATGGGAGGATGAAGGGGGGGGGGGGGGGACCGTTTTGGGCGTAAAACCGGGGGGGAGTAGGGAGGGGCGGAAGGACCGATGGGAAAGAAGAAAAAGGCTCGGGCCAAGAATGTAATGAAAAGTAGGAGAAAGGAAGAATGAGAAGTGGGCAAATGAGTAGGAGAATGTTCAACCAATAAAGTCGACTCTGAGGAATAAGACGGGTTAGGGGAAGGTTAGGTAAAATTGGGGTGACGTCTGTTTTTCCCCTCTTTGTTCTTTTCGTTTGGTTCTTTTCACTCTGCTCCAGACGTACAGAGGTCTTCAGCTTACATACCATACGGTATGAGGATATGGTATTGGTGTCGCTGAGTTCGGATGATATCATTGTAAAATACAGTACCCGAGGTCATAGTATATGTCGATTCCTCTTTGCTTGGATGCAGAACCTTGACCTATCCACCTGGGCAATATCTACCTCGGTTCTAAGATACTCTATGATAATTGTATACGATATATAAGTATCAGTCTGTACGTAAAATACACAGGAGCAGAGTTCCGAAAATAGGGAGGTCGGGTGACCGTGTCTGGAACCGTGGTCATTGGGTCTGTCACGAGACGTCCAGCTGACTGGGAAAAAAAAAAAAAAAAAGAAGAAGCTTGGGCCACAGTATCGTATGGTATTTTGCTCGACTCAGTAGGACATGATATACGGCATCACGATACTAGGTGATTACCAGATGCATTCTACAGTAGACGCTCGAAAGGGGCATTCCCTTCGAGCTTTGCAAGGGTGCCCTTGGCATGTAAGTCGAAGCTCTCTCAGCCGAGCTGTCAATCATTGGGATTCCAGCCGCCCATACCAGCGCAATTGGCATTCAATACGATCCAGAAGCCCCAGCGGCGGCCCACCGCACACCCAGCGCCCGAACGTGCACTCGCGGGAAAAGGAACCCGCCCAGAGGAATGCTGGTTCCTGGCTCAGGTACTCTCTCAGATGCGGCCCGGCCGTTCCTTTTGAACTTGGCCCCTGCACCGTAGGGATGCACCTGGCTCAAAAGGTCGACGTTGAGGAGCTACCGAGCTACTTGACTGGCGCGGCTGCAGTTCAGGGGTCCGTGCATCGACAGTACCGTACGGTCACCGTCCGGTTCGATACTCCCGTACGGCGTACATTGTACAGCCTCTCGATCGGGTAACGAGCTAGAGATGCAGAGAGCTAAAGGTATCGACGTCACCCGACGACGGCATCGGAGTCGCCTAGCTGTCATGCGATCAGAACACGGGAAACGAACTAGAGCAGAACAGGCGGCGAACGACCAGAGCACTGTCATGACGCCCAGGGGTCAGACGGCATCCAGGGTCCCCTCTCGAACGGCCAGCGAGATCGGGATTCCGAGTCCATTGCGCGGTGAAGCACAGAATGCACCATGAGAACGACGGTCACACATCGTGGGACGAGACTGTCGACCCGGCTGATACTGCAATCCGGAAATCTCCCAATCGCGCCGCGTCGGCATGTACGGATCGCAAAGCATGGAAACGGCATTCCGACTGTCAGACACGTGGAAACGAGAGACCTTGTCGGAATCGGAACTACAATCGGTTCTCTCGGGAAATGTGAATCATCTGGCGGATTATTGGTCCCAGGCGCAATGGTTCGGGGGGGTGGCTAGTGGGCTCTTGCCGCCATGATGTCGACGATCGTATGCGCGGTTGGGCCCGAGAGAAGAGAAAGAGGCCAAACACGTTGGGCACTTCATGATGTCACGGAGTAAATTCAGTAAAATAGCGCAGGTCAGGTGCTCTTGGGCAGGTAATACCATACATACGCATACATAGAAGCCCCAACCTCCCAACCCGGGGAAAGTGGATACAGGAAAAACTTGAAATAGCGAGTACGGAGAGAGCACGGGGAGGGGGATTTATGTCAATTTCAAAAACGTGTTTTACATTGGCCCGTCTATGATGCGAAAAACATAGAGCTCCCTGCAGGCGCAGCCATGCATCTCACTCGTCCCCATAGACCCAAAAAACAATGGCCAAATCAACCGGAAACAGGATATTAAGACACACAACAGGCCCAACAGTCAGAGATGCAGCACCAGGTGGCGTAATCAAAGAAACGGTGAATCTATACAAAAAAGGGCGCCAGGGCGTGACCCGCCCCAGTCCCGGAGAGGGACCAGCACAGGGTCCCCGACCACGGAGAGGGAAGAACTACTAAAACAAGGGTGAAGGAGGTATTATCGGGGGAGAGCTTAGAAGGGGGGAGGGATCATGGCGGCAGGGTCAGCCTTCTCCTGCTGCTCCATCAGGTCTTCTCCAGCGAGCTCCAGGGAGACGGCGAGACCGAGCTTGGCGGTCTGCTTGGCCTGGTCGATCTCACCGGCGAAGGAGAGGGAGATGGGCATGGCAATGCGCTTCTCAAGGAGACAGCTGACCTTGCCAGTGCTGTCAACCTGAGCGCGGAACGAAGAGGCACGGAAGTCGTACTTGGCACCAATGGCGGTGGTGCCGTCACGGGCGGGACCACCCATCATGAGAGCGGCGGGGGACGGCGAGAGCTGGAGGTTCATGTCCACACCGGCCTCCACACGCTCAGACAACTTGCGCCAGTAGGTGGCGTTGAAGGAGCCCTGGGCCTGCAATTGAGCGGTACCGATCCAGTCGTCACCCTTGTACTTGGCGGAGTAAGAGAGAGCGGTCTCGGGGCGGGCAGTGATGCCCTGACGCTGCCAGATGGCCTCGAAGCCGAGGGCCAGCGCGGGAGTAATGGATTGCAGGTAGCTGCCGACGAAGATACCGGTCAGACCACCCTCCAGACAAGACGGGTTGAAGGCCTTGAGGGAGGCGGAGAAATCGGCACCGGTGTAGTCGTTATCGATCTGGATCAAGCCCTGGGAGCCACCGGCCATGATCTGGGCATTGGTCTTGGTGACGAGGGCCTGGTTCCAGCGGTAGTTGCCGACCGCGGCAAGCGCGCCGTCGCTTCCGTAGTTACCTTGCATGAAGACCTGGGTTGGAGGTTAGAGACTGCCAATCGCAGGATAGACCCGATGGGATTGGCTTACCTTGGGGCTTCCGTACATGGCGGAGAACGCGTATGGGGGCAGGTTACCGGTCGAACCCATGGAGAAGGCGTGCGAGACACGGAACAGAGGGGACATGCCGAAGACCTTGGTCAGGTCTGCGCGGAGGCCGGAGAACATGAAGTTGGTCAACAGAACATCTTTCTGCACTTCCCGGGCGAGGTTATCGACAGTGCCGGGGTTGGGCAGGCCCAACATCGCCCTTCGGTCGGAGAACGAGTTGTATGCATCGCTGAGGGTCGCAGCGGCGGGGTTGTCGGTGACAAAGGAAAGGGATGATAGGTAGTCGGACATTTTGGGTGGAATATGATAATCGTCGACAATTCAATTAGGTGTCGTCACGCGTGCCTCAAAAGAGTATGGATGATGGGATTGAAAGGAGTTGAGACCAGCCCAGATATCTGCGACGAACCAACGTCTCAGAAGATGATGGGGGGTTTATGAAAAAAGGGAAAGGGCTGGATGCGATGGGTTCGGAGTGTAGGGGAAGCAATTCAAGGCTTTCCGAGCTGTGAAAAATGCTAGTCACCTGCCCTCGGCGTCTTTGGTTGTTGTCGCTCGCCGGGTTCTTACATAATCACATACAAGACCTGAATTTCACAATGACAAGAGTCGCGACCTCCTAGGTTGCTCGAGATTTAAATATATTTCACCCTACTGATCTCTGTGTTTGATCTGCTGGATATTCTCGCATTTCATCCGGAGTCAACGCCTGAGACATTGAGACATTGCCGCCGAACGGACAAGGCAGCGAACCCGCGGATCCACCTGATATCGGTTGTCCCTATACCGCTTGTTCTCTCCTCTTGCTACTAGTATTCTGTCTTCCTGTCCGGGAGTGACTGTTTGGCCTGTTCAACAGATTCAATATATCCTTGCAAATCATTCGGCCACTTTGCGTCATCATGGATACCTTACTGTAAGCCTCCCCGCAGATGGCCATACCCCTCCAAGCAGCCTACCCTCTATGGATTTCACATGAGAGAAGCGGGCTTTAGCCCGGACACTCGACATTGGCTGCATGAGTGAGACAGTATCTTGACCATATATGCCTCACCTTGCTTTGAAGCTTCGCCTTCTCCTCTCGTTCAAACCAACCTGGGAGACTGACATCATACAGGACCGCCGAGATCGTGGCCAATTCACCACAGTTTCGTCGCAAGTCGTCCATCTTTGTAGATGCAATCCATGACTTGCCCGAGAAGGCGGATCTTGCCCCGGCTCAGCTTTACAGCACCGAGTCGGGTCGATTGTTCCACTCGGGTCGAATCGTGATCATCACCGTTGGCTTGCCCGCTAGAGGTAAAACGTAAGCTGATCTCGGAATTGGCCGATACAAGCCACTTTGCTGGTCGCTAACCTTTGACAGGCATATATCAGTTGCTTTGGCAAGATATTTGCGCTGGTAAGCCCCCATCCCGCCCACTGGGAAGTTGCAGACGTGCTCACACGAGTAGGCTCGGTGTCAAAACCAGAATTTTCCATCTGGGAGACTACCGTCGCGCCACTATTCCATTCGGTGAGGATATGCCAGATGATTATTTCTATGTCAACGGTGGGTGTTGTATCACTGTGGGTCATTTGTCTCGCACTAATATATCGATCTTAGCAACCGCCAAGTCTGTTTTATTGCGACAAAAGATCGTGAGAAAATGTCGTGAAGATATTTATCACTTTTTGAACCATGAAAATGGCCAGATCGCAATTTACGATGCTGTTAACCCTCTAGCCTCGGGTCGACGCTCGCTTGCCAAGGAGTTCGCAAAGCATGACATTGAGGTATGGATATGGGAATGTCTCCACCCTGAAAATCAGACTAACCGCTTGACCAGACTCTGTTCATCGAGTCTCGATGTGATGACGAGCGTATCATCGAAGAGAATGTCCGCAGAGTCAAAATTTCTTCTCCTGACGTGAGTACTGTTAGGCCGTACTTCGGTGTGCACCCCAAGGTTGAACCCTCTAACAAGGTTGACTAGTATGTGTCATGGAAATCAGAAGATGCCGTGAAACATTATCTGAACCGTATCTCTTCTCGCATTCCCCAGTTTCAATCCATGGAGGAGAAGGATCTGAACTACATCAAGGTACGCAATGTAGACCTCTGCCGCTTTTGAGATACTGACAAGACAGATGATCAATGCCGGCGAGAGGCTGATTGTCAACAACCGAAGTTTTGGTTATCTTTCCAACCGTATTGTCTTCTACTTGCTTAATCTTCACATCAAATCGCGACGGACTTACTTCGTACGAGCAGGTGTTTCGCTGGATGCTGATTCATACAAAGCCGATGCTTCCCTCTCCGAACAAGGGGAAGACTATGCAAAGAAGATGACGGCGCGGCTGTTGGCTCACCGAGAAGAAGAAAAGCAAACCATGATTGAACGCGGAGAGACCGGTTTCGAGTCTCGTCCTCTGAAGGTTTGGACCTCGACTCGACGCAGGACGATCGAAACGGCAAAGTATCTCCACGAGAACGGTTACAAAGTTCGACAAAGATCCCAGTTAAGCCAATTGCACCCTGGTGTCTGTGAGCAGATGTCCGAGAAGCGTATTCGTGCAGAATTTGGAGATGAAGTCTCCAAACACGAGCTGGACCCCTACCACCACCGCTACCCCCGTGCAGAGGTAAGCATTCGTTCATAAACATTCAATTTATCTTGAATGCTGACTCGAAAAGTCTTATCACGATCTGGCTGTTCGCCTGGAACCGATTATTCTCGAACTCGAGAGAGAACAAACTGATTTGCTCATCATCGCACACGAAAGTGTCTTGAGGGTCTTGTACGGTTACCTCATGGCCTGCAACGCTGCAGACATTCCATTCCTCGAGTTCCCTCGCGATGAAATTATTGAGGTAGGTTGATATCGGAAGGGTTTTCATTAACTCATCATTGAACGTTGATAACTAACAATGTTTCAGATCATCCCCGAAAGCTACCAGAATGTGGCCCAGCATATCAAGATCCCTGGGCTCCCAGAAGAAATTATTCCTGACTCCCCTGAGGATCTCAAAATCCCAGTGCCCGCGAGTGGAGGTGTGTCACCAATGCAAGGGCTTGGTAGCCCAGAGGGTCAAGCGACCCCACAGAGTGGCTATCGAACACCCAGTGGGATCAGGACACCTCGTGAACCTGAAAGAATCTCACAGCAGCACGTTGAAGACGTGGTTTAGGCGACATGTCAGATGGTCGTTCTTCTGACAATGCACCATCCATCATGGGTATGGATGAAGATCATCATCCTGTTCAAACCCGATTTAAGAATGACAACCATCATAGATTGAGCCTTTTTTTGAATGATTTTAACCACCGTGCAGAGTGGACACAAAGACAATAGTATCCCCTGCTTGAAGTTCATATGCGTCTTCACCTTCCAATTCCCAATCGGCATCGTTGATTAGAACCAGCACACCCGGTCGTCTGTCATGCCGTTAATTTTGTTTAATACACGAAGTCAATGTCCACATACACGCTATCTTCCATGATAAACATGTCTTTCCGTTGGTCCTGCATGAGGTTGTCGACAAGGTATCCAAGCAAGTATGAGATGTTTGGCGGGCTTCCATCCTCTAGCTGAGCAGGCAGAACCACCTTGTGCTTGCGCTCATTACCAAACAGCAATTCCAGTCCCCCACTATGGATGGTCAGTAGATACCGGTGGGGAGAAGGCATGGCACGTACGTAAACTCCACAGTGATTGGGATAGGGTAACCAGTAGATGCCTCGGCCATAGTGAAACTAATAGCAAGTATACAAGTATACAAGTATCAAGAAGAAAGAAGAGGGGAAGGTGTCGAGGGGAAGTTGGGCGGAGACATAAATCCTTATCGATAAGCCCCAATCTTGCCGCAATTTCTTTGCGCTCGAGTTTCCCCAGACACAGTGAACAGCGAGCCCAGATCTACTCCAATGGTCGCCGTTACAACAGACTATATCAGCGTAGGAGGGAATCGCCACCCCGGCGCCGCGGATTGGGATGTGCAGACCGGTGTGCTCGCCTTCGGCGCAGACAACAATGTCGCCCTGTGGGATCCTCTGGTAAGTGAAGCCCAACAAGATTGAGAGGCTTGGAATCCTGGAGCTTATCAATGTGAAGGACAAATCTGATCGCGGAATCTACGCATTGCTGGTTGGTCATACCGACAAAGTGAGCGTCGTCCGGTTCTACACTTGCCCCGCCTCAGGGTCCAAGTTCATCATTACCGGCTCTGTCGACCGCACACTACGCATATGGCAATGCAAAGGCTCCAGCACACACGAATATACTCTAGTGTCAACCTTGGAGGGCCACACAGGCTCCGTGAATGCAATTGCGATCACCAATGGAACCGACATCATTGCATCTGGCGCAGCCGATGGGACCGTCCGAATCTGGAGAATCAACACGCAGGAGGGCATTGAGGGCAAGCTCCTCGACACCATTAATATGACACCCCGATTCTTCCCGCTCTCTTTGTCAGTGCAGGCCTTGGGAGACGAGGCCGATAAGTCTTTGGTGCTGGCCGTTGCAGGCACGATGACTAAAGTACACATCTACGTATCGGAAACCTCTAGCACGCCGGATTTCAAGCGCCGGGCTGTACTGGCAGGACACGAGGCTTGGGTCAAGTCTCTGTCGTTCACTCTGGATAAGCAGAGCAGAGAAGGCGATATCCTGCTGGCGTCTGCGAGTCAAGATAAATACATTCGTCTTTGGCGCCTGCATCGTGGTGAAGCCAACCCGCCTGCTCCCATTGATGATACAGATCCGTTGCTTGGAGGAATGGAGCCCACGCTCTCCAACAAGGCCCATGAATTCGAAGCGAAGGGTTCAAAGTTTTCAATCACCTTTGAAGCTCTCCTTTTTGGACATGAAGACTGGATCTATACTACCGCTTGGAACCCTGACTCCACGCGACAGCAGCTACTCTCAGCCTCTGCTGACAACACGATCACAATCTGGGAACAAGATCAAGCGTCGGGTGTTTGGATGTCCGCAGAGAGAATGGGAGAAATCAGTGTTCAAAAGGGTTCCACCACCGCAACGGGTAGCGCTGGTGGCTTCTGGATCGGCCTTTGGTCACCTGATGGAAAGCAGGTTGTCAGTCTTGGTCGGACAGGTAGTTGGAGAGTCTGGCAACAGGAGACCGACTCCGACCTTTGGGCACAGAAATTCGGCATCACAGGCCACGTTCGCTCATCTAACGGCGTTCAATGGGATCCTACCGGTGGCTACCTGCTCTCAACTAGTGCCGATCAGACTACGCGACTCCATGCTAAGTGGGTGCGCGATCAAACAAGCTCATGGCATGAGTTCTCTCGCCCCCAAATTCATGGATATGATTTGAATTGCGTTGACACTCTGGGGCCTTCGCAATTTGTGACTGGTGCAGAGGAGAAGCTCTTGCGTGTGTTCAACGAGCCCCAGCCTATCGCCGAGTTACTCGAGAGACTCACTGGATTCAAACAATCGGGCCAGGATCTTCCTGAAACCGCTGAGATCCCGGTATTGGGCCTGTCAAACAAAGCCCTGGGAGATGAGGCACCAGTCGAGGAGGATGAAGAGAAGACATCTGCTGAGAAACCTGCAGCCTCATTCTCTTTGGCCGCCAACCACCCCCCACTCGAAGACCAGTTGTCCCGCCATACCTTGTGGCCAGAGCACGAGAAGCTTTACGGCCATGGATATGAAATCTCGGCCGTGGCGGTTAGTCATGATCGCAAGCTCATTGCCACCGCTTGCAAGGCCAGTTCCATTGATCATGCCGTGATTCGTCTGTACGATACTTCGGATTGGCATGAGATAAAACCCTCTCTTACGGCGCACTCATTGACAATCACCGACCTTTCATTCTCGGCTGACGATCGCTATCTTCTCAGTGTTGGTCGTGATCGGCAATGGGCAATCTTCCAACGTAGCGACTCAGACCCAACTACGTTTGATAATCTCACCTCTAACCCTAAAGGTCACTCTCGAATGATTCTAGGCGCCGCCTGGGCGCCAGCCACAACCGATTACGTTTTTGCCACTGCAGGACGAGACAAATCGGTCAAAATATGGCAACAGTCCGAAGGGACTTTTGTGTGTAAAGCTACCGTGCCTTTGACCTCGGCTGTGTCAGCAATCGCCTTCTTACCCACCACATACAAGGGCTCTTTCGTTATTGCCGTGGGCGAGGACAGTGGTGTGGTCTCGATCCAGCGTATCACCGCTGAAACCTTTGAAGTTTCGCACGTCGTTACACTTGACAGGGAGATTTCACCCTCAAAGACAATCACACAACTATCGTGGCGCCCAGTGTTGGCTGAAGCCGAGAGCAAGGACCAGTTCGAGCTGGCAGTGGCAAGTGAAGACACTTCCACGCGCATATATGCTGTTTCTAGCATGTTCTCTTGATGTATATACAAAGTCAAGTATTGTCCGAGTCCCCTTATGAGTCATGATGGTTGAGAAGTGTCCCAATGTTGAATAGATCGCTAGATCAAGATGTCAAACCGTGCACTCCAGATATGCCTGTGGTTGAACCCAATGATTGTTGAATGGCATGATGTTAAATGTCACCTCGCAGCACGCGGGAAAAGAAGTAGAAAAGAAGAGCAAAAGGAGGGGGGAAAGGCTAGAAATCATTTATCGACGGGCTTCTCCTGTCCATAGCCACCAATGCCTTCGAGGGATTGGTACGTTTTGCCCTGGTTGCCACGACCGTTGCGAGGCCCCCTGGACGCCATATCCTCCTTCAGCCACTTGAGAACCAGCTCGCCGAGTCGACTGTTCTCCGAAGTCCACTCGGGGACCTGGGAATGGAATGACTCCACACTTCCCAGCGCCTTCACCTTGCCTAGATGCATATGAGCCAGATGAGTCGGCCATTGGGCAAGGTTATCGAGAATGTGAGTTGCGTAGACGATCGTGCAAGATCTTGTTTCCGTCTCGCGTTTCAAGAAAGCAAGGAAGTTACTTCGAGACAACAAATCCAAATCGACCGTAATTTCATCTAGCAGCAGAACCTGCCACGGCCGTAGAAGGCCCATAGCCAGCTGGACACGGCGACGCTCACCATCTGACACTGCGTGCATTCGCCAGCGGAGATCGATGTCCAGAATCTCGACTAACTCGTCCCGACGCTCTGGGAAGGCATTTCCGCCCACAGATGCCAGGAGAGTTGGAACATCGATGTCCGTGCGGACAATGCTGTTCAGCACCCATTCTACGCCCAGGTAGGTAACACCCTCTAGGGTGTCTTTGAAGGGGTCTTTGCCACCCACCGCAATGGTGTCATTGGGCGCCAGGCGTTTGCCGGATAGCAGGCGCAGGAGCGTGGTCTTGCCCGCACCGTTCGCTGTTTCTGTTAGCCTCGGAACTTGCATTTTGATACTTTCAAACTTACCACCAATAAGAAGAGTTCGACTTCCGGCAGGAAGGCTCATGCCCACATCCTGCAGACCGTCGGAGCCATCTTGGAACTTGTAGGAGAGGTTCTGGACCTCAATGTTTGGCAAGGGAGTGGTCGACATGGTGAAGCATTCAAAGACCAGTGATATTCTGCAAAAACAAGGGAAAAGAAGAAACGACAAGTGAGTCAAGGCCAAGCCGACATAGCGAATCCCGTGGCGGGATGAGGTAACCCGCGATAACGATCGTCGATAACCTCTTCTTTTTTCCCGTCGACAACCACCTCGCGGGATATGGTCTCAGCCATACGCACTCTATTGACTGCTATACCTCCTTTACCACCCGCTCGAATGGATTCCCTCATAACGGTCCTCGGTGCCACGGGCACGGGCAAGTCAAAGGTAATGAGATTACCCCCCACCTTGTCGAGCACAGTAACTGATAGCTATAGACAGCTTGCAGTGGACTTGGCCTCTCGTTTCAATGGTGAAATCATCAATGGCGACGCGATGCAGATGTATCGCGGGCTTCCGATCATTACCAACCAGATCCCAGTCGACGAACGAAACGGAATCCCCCACCACCTCCTCAGCTGCATTGATTTAGACGCGGAGGCATGGCGCGTTGGCCTGTTCAAGCGCGAAGCCCTCCGACTCATTGATGACATCCGGGCACGAGGAAAGATCCCCATTCTCGTCGGAGGCACCCACTACTATACGCAAGCAGTGTTGTTTCGCGACCAGCTCGTGGGCGAGGGGGTGGACGACGAAGGCGAACGCGAGCAACTCACTGAATTCAGCTCCACCTCAACGAAATGGCCGATCCTTGACGAGCCACCTGAAGTCTTACTGGAGAAATTGCGCGAGGTCGATCCTGTCATGGCTGCACGCTGGCACCCCAGGGATGGGCGGAAGATTCGTCGGTCGTTGGAGATCTTTTTCCAGACTGGGCGACCGGCCTCGGAGATATATAAAGAGCAGATGGTGCAGAAGAGGGAGGCTCTGGACCAGGAGGAAGGTCTGTTGCGATTTCCAAACGCATTGGTGTTTTGGGTCCATGCCGAGAAGGAAATTCTAAATTCACGTCTGGATGCTCGCGTCGATGACATGATCGAACAGGGTTTGATGGCAGAAGCACAGAAGATGTCGGACTATCTACAAGAGAAAGCGGCGCAGGGCGTCGAAGTTGACATCACGCGGGGAGTGTGGGTGTCGATTGGATTCAAGGAGCTGGCAAAATATTTTGAGGCTGTCCGGCAAGGCGAACTGAGTGAAAAGGAATTAGAAGACTTGAAACGGACCTCTCTGCAACAGATCCAGACCGCCACACGACAGTATGGCTCTTCTCAGGTCAAATGGATCCGCAACAAATTGTGGCGAGCACTCACAGAAGCCGGCGAAACCCGCCGACTCTACTTGCTAGACAGCTCGAAGGTTCAGGACTGGAGCAAATGCATCACCGCACCGTCTGAGAACATTGTGCAATTGATGCTCCAAAATGAGCCGACCCCTGATCCCAAATCCCTTTCTCAGTTGGCAGCAAACGAATTCGGCGCCAAGGAAGCCCAGGGCCACACGAAGAAGGATGCCATTGGCATTTGCTACACCTGTGACGTGTGCAATAAGATCCTAGCGGGCGAGGAACAGTGGAATATCCATCTCAACAGCAACATGCATAAAAGGGGACTCAAATCCGCAAAGCAGAGGAAAATTCGCGATGAATATTTCCGACAGAAAGAGCTGGAACAACAGGCTACTGAAGAGACGGAAAAGGTTAAGCAGGCATCCGATGCCTCATGATTTAAAGCATTGCATATCTCAGCGATCAGGCCAATTACTATGGAACTACCCTGTTTAGGCACGTCGATGAGTTTCGTGAAGATACAAGTACAAACACCTTAAGGCTGCGTTGAGCCTGTCTCCGCTCGCCAGGCCTTGAAAGCTGGCGAGAGAATATCGCCATGCCCTTGCTCTTCGATCTGATAAACCTCAATAAGGGGTGATTTCTCTCTCTTGCGAATTCTCCAAGTCCCCTCGCGATTAATAGTTTGTTTGAGCCCTGGGAAATGTCAATACCCGACAATGATGTGTAGAAAGACGACCTACATTCCAAGAAAGCACCGGTGAAGTTGATACAGGTATTTCCATCCCAGGTCCGTCGACCAACGTTCAAAACCTTCCCTGTAATACTTGCTGTGTCCAGTTCTTCCAAGCTGTGGCAGATCCCATCTTGATCTCGGAAGCCGACGATGATCTTGGGTACGCCGAGCAAGAAGGATTGTGCCCAAAATTTGAGCAGTTTTCGCTCATACTTGATCATGTCTCTGTCATTTCGAATTTGTGCCGATGTCTTCAACTCAACCCAGTTGATTGGTGCATCTTTTCTCCATGGTTTGCTGTCCCAGACTATTCGTGGTCAATGTAAGAACAGGAACGCTACGGCGCCGGTGATACCCACTTGCATCAACCTCTCCTCCAAGGACCATGCGCGTATTGCCAATACCCGTGCGGACGACAGAGCAATATTGCGCTGCATTGTTGACGATGTCGTCCTCTCGGCCTTCAATTTCTTCGCGGGTTGATTCATCCCACGTTTTTCGAAGAACGGCCAAGTTCTCAAACTTGTAGCCTGGGTTTTCGATCAGTACATATGCAGATGGGACCTTCACCGGAATTTCCATACCCCAATACATCATGAGCTCTTGCGGTGCCATTCCTGGCGGTGATCCTCGTTTTCGTTGAATCTCTTTCTGTTGGTTTTTGTATTCATTATTTTCTTCGATGAATCTAAGGCGGGTTAGTAGAGGGATAGATCTGAACTTCTATAAACACACATTGTCCCCTATAGATGGTTAGACTCCTGAAATTAAGTAATTTGAAGCTCTCGTACCTGGAAACAGGTTGCATTCATCTCGAAGCTGTGAGAGGTTAGAGACGCGAGGCTTTTCATTCGATCAAGGACACAAACCCATTCATGTTGTCATATGGAGCCGTGAGAATCTATTAAAAGGTCAGCTCGAGGCCATGAATATCCTGGCAGATCAATGGCACCCACTTTTGTCATCATCCCTCGCCATGTCACGATGTCTACCTCGCATTTCTTCTTAGTCTCTTTCTCGTGAGCAACAAGGGTATCAAGGAGAGCATCCAGGTGCTCGTCCGCGACATCATCTAGCTTCTGAAAGGTGTCATAACCCTTATTCAGATCCGCGGGCAAATTTGGCGTGTAATAGTAGGCCATGGAAGAATCTCCCAGCGAGAAACGACGTTGATCATCATAAGAGAAACAAGCAATTTCCTGATCACCGTTTAGCTTCACACCCTTTGACATAGCGAAGCTTGCTCACCCTTGGCCGTCGGATTGAGGTATTGGCCCCGGCAAAGCGCTGCACCGGGTTGATGTTGAAAGTTGACATATTCATGTCTATTGCGCGAGCATACGGAGTACACCAGTGCGCTTTGAGCTGCTAGGCTCGCCTAGACTTATGTCTATCTGAATTGAGTCTGTAGGCTAAGATTCAGCTTTGCACTAGGGCGCTGTGGTGCAAGACCGGATCTTCGTTTCTCGTTGCGTCGAATATATGCGATGTCAATGCGAAGGGGGATGACGGAGACACAGGGACATCCGCGTCCCCACCAAATCTCAACCTCCCCGCCGCTCTTCATCCTACCTTTCCTTGCGCTGTGTCTCTACATTTTCCGACTGGCGAATTTAGGATGTCTTCGCGCATCGATAAGGTCATTGCTCGTCAGCGAGAGAAGTGGGACGCCCCCCAAGTGCTTCAAAATGTGTTCTGACTGTGGCTAGGATCGCTGATGGCGCCTACTATGAAGCTCATCAACAGCTACGTGTTATTGCGGTCCGTTATCTGAAGCAATCGAACTATGATGCCGCCGCGGAGATCTTAGCGGGGGGCGCTAAGGAGCTCCTGAAGGCCGGCTCGCAACAAGGTGCCTCTGCCAGTGGTGGTGACTTGGCGATCATGCTGGTGAACGAGGTGTACAACAAGGCAGAATGGGAGATCAAGGGTGGAAGTGATGATGCCGAGGGTCGATCTCGCAAGAGTGAGCATTCCGCATTTGCGTTTTCCATGGCGTCTGGCGACCTTGGAAGACGATGCCACGCAAGCACAGCTAACCTGTCCAATCACCCACAGAGCGCCTGATCGAATTGCTACGCGAATTCCCCTCGGACGAGCCTACACGGAAGAGATATATCCAGGAAATCATGGCGTGGAGTGGAAAGTTTGGACCTCTGGAGAGGGGTGACCCGGAATTGCACCATGCTGCTGGCTCAGTATACGCCGAAGGTAGGTGTTCTAAACGCAGAGCCGGTATGGATTCTAAAACTGTGCAGAGAACGAGGCATACGACGCCGAAAAACATCTTATTCTGGGAACCCCCGAATCCGCCGAGACTCTGGCAAAACTCGAGTATGAGTGGTACACAGTCGACGAACCGCACACCGCAGCCATCTATGCATCTCGCGCGGTCTTCCCGTACCTTCTCACGGGCAATCTCCGCAGCGCGAACAAGGCCCTGCTCATTTTCACCACCAAGCTCTCGGCTGCCAACCCCCAGCTGGGCGTGCAGGACGTCAGCAGCTCCAGCTCGGACGCTCGTGTTTTCCCAGCGCTTCCCTTGCTCAACTTTATCAGCCTGCTGCTAATGACTATCCAGCGCGGCAACGCGGATCTTTTCCGCAACCTCACTGCACACTACGCAGCACAGATTAAAGAAGTCGGCATCTGGGATGATGCCCTGGCGCAGATTGGTGAGCAGTACTTTGCCATCAAGATCCCTCGACAAGGAAACCCTCTGATGGATATGATGAGCGGGATGTTGTTTGGAGGCGGTAATGCGGGCAAGCAACCCAGCCGGGCGAAAAAGGTCGAGGCACCACCGGCAAGCATGGAGCTTGATTAAGACGTGATCGTGAACATATCCGACTGGTGTAATAACCCCAAGATGCATGCTTTAATTCGCAAATGAGTCTCTCTCAGGCTCAAACATCCAATTATCTATATCCAATGATGCCACTTTCCTGCGGAGGCTCTCGTTCATGTCGCGGAGGATCTCTGTGGATGGTCAGCATAAATTGTCTACGTAGAGACTGTGAACACACGCTCAGGCTCGGCATCTTGATGTCCAGTTCGATACTGGTCCATCATTTCCAAAAGGTCCTGCTCGTATTCTGCCCCAGTGTCAGCTTATCAGTCTTCCAGCTCCAAGCACCAACATACTCTCTTTCTCCGGTCCGGTCAGCTCGGGGGGTTCAGAGGTCTCGTCCTGCTCGGGCTCTTCGCCATCTTCACTGCCCAACGGCGGCAATGTGGGAATTTCCAACTTGTATCCTCCACTCTTGTCCCGAACCACGATATCCTTGTGTTCAGCCTTGAAGGGTCGCGTTTGAGGTCCCGAGTCCGACGACGTCGGCTTGAGTCGGTTGGACGGTCGATGGGAGACCCCGTTGGGGTTTGGAGGAACAACGCCATTGGGTGGTCCTGCAGAGGCAGGTCGGCGGCTGAGATTGCCGTGAAAAAGATTGCGACGGACGGAGCTGGATGTCATCATTGCAGATGCCGGCGCGGCACACGCGTAATTTGCCTCTAGGCCAAAGTCGAGACACGGTGTCTAGGGTCGTAGTAATGATTCCAAAAAGTTCAAGGCGCGTTTTCCAAAAGCGAGGGTTGAGAGGCAAGTCCCTCGATAAGATTTAGGCGAGTAAGAATAGTTGGAGACGGAAGGACGGTGCGGAATGTGCCAACTGCCATTTCTCACCTCAACGTAAATGGAGCCTTGGGAACAACGTTGGAACCTCTCCCTGGAATAGATTTGGCAATCCTCAATTGTCCAAGTCGTCAATTGCCCTTCTCACGAAGCCCTGGAGAGCATTTCCAAGGTTAGACGCACGGGCCAATCGATAAGCTTATCGTACGCGCCTTCTTTCGCGTCTCTTCTCTTCTGTTCCTCAGTATTCACAATGGTTGAAGCAGAGTCCTCTACAAGCGCCTCTCGCAATGCCGCTAAGGCCAGCATGGCTGGAGCTCCGGCAAACTATGAGCTACCCTGGTAAGTACTCCGAAGAGCGTCGAGATCGATAGCTAACCTCTCAGGGTCGAGAAATACCGCCCAATCTTCCTCGATGACATTGTTGGCAACACAGAGACTGTCGAACGCTTAAAGATCATTGCTAAAGATGGCAACATGCCCCACGTTATCATCTCTGGTATGCCCGGTATTGGAAAGACAACTTCCGTGCTGTGTCTGGCACGCCAGATGTTGGGGGATTCATACAAGGAGGCAGTGCTGGAGCTGAACGCCAGTGATGAGAGAGGTGGGCTTTATCAGTGGCCTGTAATGACCTCGTGCTGACAAGTCTAGGCATCGACGTGGTGCGAAATCGTATCAAGGCCTTCGCCCAAAAGAAGGTTACCTTGCCCCAAGGCCGTCACAAGCTGGTGATTCTCGATGAAGCCGACAGGTAACGCGAATGATTTGATCTCTCCCAAAATGATACTGATATGATACAGTATGACTGGCGGTGCCCAACAAGCTCTGCGACGTACGATGGAAATCTACTCGTCTACCACTCGATTCGCTTTCGCCTGTAACCAGTCCAACAAGATTATTGAACCTTTGCAATCTCGCTGTGCTATCCTTCGATATGCCCGGCTAACAGATGCACAGGTCGTGAAGCGACTGATGCAGATCTGTGAGGCGGAGAAGGTCCAACACTCCGAGGACGGCATTGCTGCTCTGGTCTTCAGTGCTGAGGGTGATATGCGTCAGGCGATCAACAACTTGCAGAGTACATTCTCTGGCTTTGGGTTTGTCAGTGGTGATAATGTATTCCGAGTCGTCGATAGCCCGCACCCGGTCAAGGTCCAGGCCATGATCAAGGCTTGCTGGGAGGGCAAGGTAGATTCCGCACTAGAGGGATTGAATGAGCTATGGTGTGTTGAATCCCTTCGTTATCATGACTACTTCTCTAACCAATTCCACACACAGGACCCTGGGATACTCTTCTCACGATATCATCAGCACTATGTTCCGAGTGACTAAAACCATTCCCACCTTGTCCGAGCACTCCAAGCTCGAGTTCATCCGAGAGATTGGGTTCACACACATGCGTATTCTGGACGGAGTGCAGTCACTCCTCCAGCTTAGCGGCTGTGTAGCGAAGCTCTGTCGAATCAATATGAAGCCAGAGCTCTTCGAGCCCAAGGCTTGAAGCAACATGCTCATATTTGCATATCTAACACGGCGTTTGGTGTCATTTCAGTGACTCAGGTCCTCAAAAGTCCTACATGATGAGTTACGCACAATTCAATTTCCTCAACATCTACTCTAATCGCAAATGGAACCTGTCCGTCCTTTCCAAAGGTTCTCGATCACTGTAGCAGCCCCAAGAGCCTTCTCTTCGTGTAGTTTCTTACCAATCACTTGCAAGTTTACCGGATAGCCCTCCACTTGCTCCGGATTGTACAAGTTCCAGTTCCACTCATCGAGAGCATTTCGAGGAACATACTCCGGCGCAATATCGCCAGCTTGGACTCGGTTTACTGGTAAGGTCACAGCAGGGTAGTCCAGCAGGTTCCAAATTTTGGTGTATCCCACCCATCTCATCATCCGATGAGGCACCGTGGTGTGCGGCAAAGTCGGACTCAGCAACACATCGACAGGCCTACCAGAGTGCGAGCGTATCGCATTCCACTGATCCAGGTACATCTTTTGCGCTGCAATTTTCCGCTTGTTCAACTGCCAATACTCGTACACCGAAATCGCCTTGCTGCGATTGACCAGCGCCTCGACATGGGGAATCATCGGCTCCCCGCCGGCATCGATGTCTCGTCTGATATCTTCACATCCGTCGGCCGAGTAGAACAGATTCATGATCTCAATACACGATGCATGCAACGAGGTGTCCCAAATCATTACTTCATGGCCATTGGCCTCCAACAGAGCTGAAAGCTCCTGCAGCGCGCGTGTGATGGGCGGGTGGACTCTAACTACACCATCATCCAGGATCAGACCAATGATCATCTTCCTATCTTGGATCTCTTGGAACGCCTCCTCATTCCAGGGCAGAGGAACACATTTCGGGTCAAGGTTCCACGGCTGGTTGCTCGCTATGAGCCGACTGATGTAGCAGATCGAAGAGAGATCTCTGGCCAGGGGACCAATGGAGGAAGGGACATGTTCCTGGCCCTCTGTCGAGACGGGCACCCCCTGATAGGGGAGTCGAGCGCTCTGCGTCCTGTCAGTATGTGCTACATCAATGGCAACAGTTCACACTGACACTCGGCTTAAACCCATACAGTCCCAGAGTAGCCGATGGGATCCTGATACTTCCTCCGATGTCGGTTCCAAAGCCCACCAAGGATCCATGCAAGGCTAGCAGCGTACCTTCGCCGCCGGTCGACCCTCCCGGCGAGAACTCTGGATTGCAGGGGTTCGTGGTGAGTCCCCAGAGAGGATTCTCCGTTTCAGCCCACTGGCAGTACGTCAGTCACTTGTACGTGCCGAGGTTGGCTGCTACGAACCATGATACTCTGCGGGAGGTTGGTCTTGGCAATGATAATGGCGCCCATACTCTTCAACATCTGGACGAGGGCCGCATCTTCCGTGGCCGGTGCAAAGGATCTACCCACATAGCCGATGGTGGTGTCGACGCCCTTCACGTTGAATTGATCTTTCAGTGTTATGGGAATACCATGCAGAGGGCCTTTCAGCCTGCCGGTCTCTTTCCATTCGAGATCCAATTGCCGCGCTTGCTCTAGAGCGTCTTCGAATAGAATCTCGGTGAGACAATTGGTCTACGGCTGTTAGTGGCCGCTCGGGACGAAGAAACAAGGACCATACCAGCTGTTGTGCCACCACCGATCTATCAGATCAGCGTTGGATATTTTTCCGATGGAGTGGGGAGTACCTTTTGATATACGCCCGAGTCACTTCCTCCGCCCCGGTTTCGCCTTTCTCGATCTGCTTTAGCAGGACCATAATGTTGTCGATGTCGGTGATCTTCTGGATCCGAGGCTCTGCTTCGATTTGACTGCGTTCTTGGACATTGTGGACTTGGGGAGGACGATTCATGTGCTCTACTACGTACGGAGCAATGAGCTGATCTCTCTCATGTCGCTTGCGTGAAACAATAGCTTTCCAGGACATGATTGCGGAGACTGGATCACTGGTAAAATGCTTTTATAGGAAGGAGATTATATCCGCCGCAACAGCCCCCGCTCTCGATAGATCGTCAAAGCCAAGACCGCAGTCTACTCCGTACTTACAGTCTGTACGCAAGGCTAAGACAGATATAGCTAGTCGGTATACGATAACACGATAACACGACTGGAATCGATAAATGGGGGTCTTGGCTTCGCTCTCCACCCTTTGATCATGAGATGACTACAATATACAGCCCGAAGTGTTTCCGGCGCCCATCGCAGTTGGGGTCTTGTCGAGACTGCGATCACTCTGTTTTAATGTCTAGCTTTCCGAGACTTCTCAGCTCAAGGAAACTGACGACCACGGAGAAGAAACTGAATGCGCAATTATACCACCAGCCGGCTTGATAACCGTGCAACAAAGCCTCTTTGGGGTCTATCGCATCCAGCTGTGCCGTTATATGCCGAGCAATGACGGCCGATGTTGTAATTCCAACCCTCTTCCCAATCTGAGCCGTTGGCCAAAGTTGCTGTGTCGGCGGAAATTCCAGGTCTGCTGCGATTGCCGGAATGCCCACTGTAAGGAGTCCTGCCAAGAGGTTTCCGATGCCCGTGCCCGTGATGCACGCAATGATGAGAGCGGCTCGATTTCTAGAGACATCCGTGACGGACATGATGCGTCTGGCACTGGGTCGATCTAGGGCAGGATTCGAGTGATCCGTCATGCAGTGCAGGAGTCACAGAGAAAGTGCAGTGGACGAGGTCAATCCAGTTCCTGACACGTGTCGGGTCGAGGTCCCGGAGGTCATGCTGTCTCTCCCTGCACTGCTTCATTTCGCGATTGTCACAGACATGAGTTGCTTTTCCACTATTTCTTAAGTCCTACTGATGACCGTGATCTAGAGATCATAGGACGGACTTCCCACAAGTGAAGTTCACCAGCCAATCCCTATAGAGATATAGCAAGGAATCATCCAAGTCAACATAACCATAGAGGGTGTAAAAGAAGTAATAGAGTGTAGAGTGTAGAGTGTAGAGTGTAGAGTGTAGAGTGTAGAGTCGAAGATCACCGTTCGACGCATTGGGAGAGCGGGGAATTCGCCATGTGGGTCACTTTCTCTTTGCGACTTGCGCCTTGCGACTCGCGATTCTCGACTCTCTCATGGAGTCGGTGTTCAATGGATTCCTCAAGTACCGGATCGCCCGGTGCCTCCGGTGCCATTCGTACGAAGAAGGCCATCGCGAAACGGGCCTGCGATCAGTGCAAGTTTCGCAAAATCAAGGTAAACCCGCCCCCTTCCCCGGAGGGAAATCCCATTGACGCGCCTCTAGTGTAGCTTGTCGCAACCCTGCAAGGCATGCACCTCCATGGGATTTGAATGTACCTTCTTTCAACCACAGAAGAAGCGCGGACCAACCGGGCAGTAAGTATGCATCGCCCCCTCGAGGGGGTCAAGCTAACAGCTCAGTCGCGTGTCGCAAATTCGACAGCAGCAGACGCTGCCATCCCCTCAAGAAGAGGCCATTCCCAAAGCGAGTTATCAATATACTCCGACCTCTACCGTAGAGTCAGGGCAGGCCCCTTTGCCGGGAGCTCCTTGGACCCCCACTCATGGCCCAGTCACCATGCCCCTGGAGGGGGCCGGCGGATTGGCGCCAGCTCCACCCACTTCCATGGGCACCGCTTGGGGAACAGATACCCAATCGATGGATTCGCACAGCAGCGGTGCTGTCGGCTGGAATGAGCGAAATGACGTGGAGTATTGGCTGCCAGATAATCTGAACTCGCAAATCCCCGTCTTTGAATATCCCGGAAGCAATGTCTATCTCAAATCATCACTCCCATCCATCATCCAGCCGGTGCCTGATGCGGCCATTGGAATGCCGCAGGAGCCGCAGCCACAGCCCATGCAATATTCGCCCTCGCCCAATGTAAGCTCCATGCAATCGGACACAGAATCCGAGGCACCCTGGCCGTCAACGATCAGTGAAGCGAACATGATCCCATGGATTGATGTGTACTTTGATCGCTTACATCCAACCATCCCCGTGCTCAGTCGGTCGTCGTTGTACACCTCAATGTTGGCCCAGGAGCACCGCAAGAATCCTCAGTTTGGCGCGATGCTGCTTTCGCTCTGTGCCTTTTCACTCACGCAGCCGATTGAGATTGATGAACGGCCGACAACCTCTTCTCGCGCTCTGCAGGCCCGCGCCATGATGAACGAGGCCACGAAGATGCGGAGCTGCTCCGACTTCGGCGAGAACCCGACGATTGAAGCCGTGTTGACCAGTTTCTTCCTCTTCGGGTGTTTGTTCGGGAGCAACCAGCACAATGCAGCGTGGCTTCGGATGCGGGAAGCTTTAGATCTCGCAGCCACCCTCGGTCTCAATGACCCGGAGTCATATCATGATTTACCGGGCGAGGAAAAGGGCCAGCGATTGCGCACATACCTCGTTCTGTCCATCACAGAAAGGTTCGTCGATTTGTCGATGTACTGGAATCCCCACTAACTCAAAGCAGGGCCTACGCCTTGCAACGGCGTCATCCAATCACGTTCTGGGGCAAGCCCGGCTTCACCATGCGATCAGTACACGACTTCATTCACAGCGCCACGCACAGTGTCGTATCTGGCATCATAGTGCACAACGAAAAAGACGCCGAAGGCATGATGGGTCTTGCACGAATGATGGAGCTCTTCGATGCAATTGACGAAGATGTCATCGATTGCTGGAACCGCCGATGTGATGGCACCAACGGCTACTGTCAGCGGCTCACGGAAGCCAAAGCGCTTTCTATCCATCAAAATCTCGGTCGAATCAACCAAGCCGAACGATACCGCGGGTATGACTGGTTTGAGCGCGCCAAAGGAGGCCGTGGCGAAAGTAGCAACGTCATACTGGCCATGGGATTGCGAGAAACCCAAGCTGCGGACGTCTTCATCACGCAGAAGTGGTTGCAAAACCGTGTTTGGCTTCTTTCCTCAACACACGGTCTATTGGCAGCCCACTCCGAACGGCCAGAGTTGACGTTTGGCTATGCTGTAAGCATTGCAGAATCGACGCTGCAGCTGTGTCAGTCATTACGGCTCAGTTCTATGGAAGCTCACGGGATTGGCCTGGTAAGTGAATTCGAGATCCAACATGTATTCAAACTAACGAACAACAGACCGAAAAGCTATATGACATCGCCATATGTGCAACAAACATACTTTGCAACACTAGCCCGCCTCTCGGCGGGACCTTGAACATGCCTGTCAACTACAACGAAACGATCCCCCCAGGCACCACCTCCACACCACACAGTCTCGCCGAAGACTTCTTGTTACTGATGACCAGTTTCCGAGGCGGGAACCATCCCTACTTGGAAAAGTATCGAGCTCATCTCCGATCCCTGCAAATCATGGAACCACCTAAACCCGAGTGGGCGCAGCGATGAAGATGTATCGCTTGAATTGAGCTATTCCAGACCTTTCCGACCCACGGAAGGGCCTCTTGTATGATCTACTTCTTTTAATTGTGATATAGACCCGGACCTTGTCCACTTCTCAGCTGTTTGGCTATCATTTACATGCTGGGCTTGGTAGAGCAGAGCACCCATTCCAGACAAGTCTCCCATTTTTGGTCTATATTGTTATACCAACAGGTCTGAAGACATGGGACAAATTTGTATTAGAGGTAATCATTATGTACAATTCGCTATTTACAAGAGGATTTACAAATTATCCCTTGGACGCACGAGACCTCTGGAACGAAGTTTCATAACTTCTCCATTTCCACATAGGGATCTTGGCGGCGTACATCTCATCGATTTCAGCAAAGGATCGACCTCTTGTTTCGGGCATCAGGAAGTAGAAGAACACGATGATGGCAGCCATGCAGCCGGCAAAGATGAGATATGTCTTCGCTCCGAGGTTGGCTGCGTCCGCAGAAGTAAGCTGAGGAACCACCAGAGTGGTGATCACGGCCGTTGTTTGGGCACACGCTACTGTATAGGACATGGTGTGGTGGCGGAGTTTCGGGGTTGCCATTTCAGATGGCATGAGGTTGGATAACGAGAAGAAAGAAGATGCCCAGAAGAAGTTGAACACAAATGACAGCGCCGCGATAGCCATCGTAGCTTGCTTGGTTCTGTCAAAGGCCAAACCACCGGCAGCTACATCTACGGCGAAGAGAATCCCCATGCCGACGAATGCGGTTGGGCGCCGGCCGGCTCGATCGATGAAGAAGGGAGCAGCGATAGTCCCTGCCAATGTACAGCAGGAGGCGATGATGGTCAAGGTGAAGGCGTTGGCGACGCCAATTTCCGTCAGGAAGACGGTGGTGTACGTGGTGGAGAGAATCACGCCGGAGATCTGATTGAGCGAGAAGAAAGATCCGGCAGTGATGGTGCGTTTGAGATGTTGTCGCTGGAAGATATGCCAGAACTTGGTGTGCGCATGGAGTTCGCGTTCGGTCTCTTCATTTTGTTTCATCAGGCGAAGCTCATCGTCGACCTCGTCGTCGCTGAACCCGCGCAGCTTCCGGAGACTATCGCGGGCTCGCTCCATCTCTTCCTTTCCCACCAGCCATTGTGGGCTTTCGGGCAGGGGTATGGTCAAGAGGAAGAGAATCACGGGGAGAGCGCACTGCACCGCGAGTGGGATCTGATAGGATAGAATCCCTGGGATCTTTTCAGATCGGAAGACTACGACCGTGCCCACCACCCCGGCAGTGAGGTTCAAGATGTTTGTTGAGCTGACGGATCGCCCCCGAATAGAGGCAGGAACCACCTAAATGCATCAGTTGAGATCTTCCACGGCGGCGTCTCTCTTACCTCGGCAATGTACAAAGGGGCAGTCGCATTGACGATTCCCAGCGCAACAGCATTGATCGCGCGTCCCCCAATGAAAGCCCCCAGGTTAGGGGCAAAGACCTGCAGCAAGCCACCTCCCACGGACACAATATAAGCTGCGATCAGCGGCCATTTGCGACCCCAGTGGAAGTTCATCGGCGACGCCAGCAGGCCCCCAAGCACCGAGCCGACCAAGGGCAGAGAGAAGACGAGATTCTGGTTCCGCGCCGTCAGAACAGACTTGCCTGATGGATTGGGCCCTTGGAACTTCTCAACCTGTTCGAATTAGCATGGCTATCTGGTATATACCCCCTTGCCCTTGGCAGAGCCACTCACAAACGCCGGCAATGCAGCAACAGGAGAGATGATCTTATCATCAAAGCCAAAGAGAAAGGACGCCGCGCCAAAGACAACGCAAGTGAAGATCAACCGGGCATTGATCGCTTTGCCCGCATGAGGCGAATCTGAAAAATCGACATGCTGCACCTCCGCAGCATCGGACTTGAAGATCATGACACGAACGGACGAAAGCCAATGCAAAAACAGCGTAAGTCCAGCGCCAAAGCGAACCCTGTCCATGCTATATATCCATGACGCTGAAGGGTCCGAGATCCCCAGACTTGATCCCGGATTTAATTGACTGTTCAAGTTTCTCCGAGATTTCCCATTCGGTCGGCACAGCCCATCGACTTGACGAAGCCAAGGACTTAGACCCGAAACGGAGTCAATCAAGCGTTGCATCTCTGCGTCTGCTCCACTACCCCAGAGATCGACTGGCGCCTGCAACGGTCTGTTTCGCCGACAATCTTCCGTTGGACTGCATATGCCGAACCGCCCTCCGACCAACTCCCGAGAGGGTCTGACAGGTCTTGACAGATCTTGACAAGTATACTCCGTATGTCTCATTGATATAACACAGATCTGGTGAGTTACATCCAGGGGTATCGCATGGTGACCCAAGGTGCCCACAAAGCGCCCACGAGTGGTCATAAACCTGCCTTATATATATATCTACCTGCAGCGAGGCTGACTGGCATTGCGCACAGATATATCTAGGCATTTGTATACCAACCGATCATGGCGTCGGAACTGGATGTGCCCATACTCAAACCCTTGCAGAAATCTGTATCTCCACGCCCAAGCCAAGAATCCTTGGCTATTGACGAGAAGGATTTACCTCCAAACCCATCGCAGTGGAGGCCATCATTCCATTTCTCAGCCCCCGGGTGGCTGAATGACCCCTGTGGCCTGGGATATGACCCGGCAACGAGATTGTATCATCTTTGCTTTCAATGGAACCCCCACGGTAACGACTGGGGCAATATCTCCTGGGGCCATGCCACATCCCCAGACATGATATCATGGACGCCATATCTGGATCCCATATTGGCTCCGTCCGCCGAATATGACTGTCGCGGTGTCTTCACTGGATGCTTACGAGCAACCGATGTTTCCGGTACCCCCGGTGCGCTCACAATCTTGTATACATCCGTGAGGCACCTCCCAATCCACCACACGCTCCAGTATACATACGGGAGCGAATCACTCAGTCTAGCCGTCTCCCGGGATGGTGGCAGGAGGTGGGAGCGTCAGGCCTGCAACCCCATCATCGCAGGCCCTCCTTCCCATCTTGATGTAACAGGGTGGAGAGATCCCTGCATCACGACTTGGGCAGAGGGGCCTGCCCCCGATCCATCAACCCTCTATGGGTTTATTTCCGGAGGAATTTCCAAGAAAACACCCACTGTATTCGTCTATAAGATTGATCCCACCGACCTTCGCAAATGGGAATTCATCGGTCCGTTAGTCAACACAGGTCTCAATCTGCGGCCTTCACGCTGGTCTGGAGACCTCGGTGTGAACTGGGAAGTAGCCAATCTCATGACACTGAGTAACGAGATCGCATCGCGCGACTTTGTCATAATGGGGGCTGAGGGATGTCTACCGTTGGACAAAGTGGGCGAGGATGATGACCAGGAAGCCCGCCGGAAGCGAGAAGCTCGAGGTCAGCTTTGGATGTCTGTCAAATCAGCCTCTGAAACGACCTCGGATGTTCTGGCTTCATATGCATTCTCCGGCATCTTTGACCATGGCTGCTTCTACGCCGCCAACTCCTTTTACGACACGCAAACCGCACAGCAGATCGTCTATGGTTGGATCACAGAAGAGGATTTATCTGATTCTCTTCGTCACCGACAAGGATTCAGCGGGTTGATCTCGCTACCCCGTGTCGTGAGATTGATGACATTGGAGCGTGTCGCCAGAGCGCGTAGCTCGCCTTTGAGCGCTATTACCTCGATCGAGGCAGTTCCTGACGCCGACCTCTTCACTATTCATACCATGAGGATTAGCCCGGACAGCCGACTCCAGCGTCTACGGAACAATGCTCAGAGGAGCCACAGAGATCGCGAGACCCTGTCTGCATCCAAGTGCAAGGCTGGTGCTTCCATGACATCTCGGTGGGAAATCACTGCGGAATTCTCCGTCGGTCAATCATGTTCTCAAGTGGGCATTAGAATCCCGCACACTGCTGGTAGGAAGCTCTTCGACCCTGATACTCATTTCCATACTGACAGCGACCAGATGGCCAAAATTGCACAACTCTTTCCTGGCACCCATGCAGCGAGACCTTCACGACCTACCGACCCAAGACCGAGAACACTGAAGTCAACCAGGGCTATGAAACAGCACCGCATACACTCTTCACCTTCTCAGAAAATGGCGAAGACATCGAAGAGACTCTCAAAGTACATGCGTTCTTTGATTCGAGCGTGTTGGAGGTGTTTGTCAACGAGAGAACTGTGATTTCAACACGTATTTACCATTCATCCGACACTTGTTTCGAGCCGATTTTCTTTGCAGAGACTACAAACCCAACCACCGAACCTGCAGTGCTTTTACAAGCGGATATCTGGGATGGCCTTGATGTATGAAGCCTTATATGACCAACACAAGTCTCATGAATCTACCAGCGAGCTCATGACAGGAATGAAGTATTATTTATATATGCGTGTCACAGCACGCAGCTATGTAGTGTTCAAATAATAAAACAAGAGAGAAATGGACCCGGCGAGGCATCAAATCAAGCAAGAATTCCCGCCTTAGCCATGGTCATGACATCGTCGCCTGCAAAACAGGCGCAAAAGCCTCACAAATACAAATATCGGCTGTACCATACACCTCAGGTATATATGCATGGGTATCAGAGTCATAAAGCCACTTAGCGAGATCGTTTCCAGAATTTCCAGTTGGGAAGGTCAATACGGCCATCCCGCTGATGGATGCGCCAGTAGTACACAGGAACGCCGGTGATGATGAAAGCCACCACGATGAGCGTCTGCAGAGGCTCCGAAATGACCGCCCGACTAAGGAGGAATAAGCTGACGCAGCAGAAAATAATGGGGGTGGTGATCCATGTGCGGTAAGGCCGTTCTAGCTGGGGCTCACGGATGCGCAGGACGATCAGACCGAGCACGGTGAGGAAGTAGAAGGTGTATCCGGCGACACCGTAGAAGGTGACCAACGTGCCAAACTCTCCCACAGCGATGTAGATCACTGTCAAGGCACCGTTAAAAGCCATGGCATAAATGGGCGTGAAACCAAGTCTGGATTCATCGCCGAAGACGCGAGAGAGAGATTTACGAGCCCAAGACCGTCGACGGAGTCGGCTGCCGGCTGGTGGCCCTGCTTGGGCCGAGAGACCAATGCGGCCAAAGATTGCAGGAAGGTAACCCTCCTTGCCAGCAGCGTACACCAGACGACCACTGGTGAAAGTTGTTGCGTTCAGCGCTCCAAAGCAACTGGCTCCGACGACGAGAGCGAGAATCAAAGCCCCAACGGGGCCGAAGACTTTCCCGCCGAACTGCACAGCAACAGTGTTGCTGGCTTCTATGGTGGAATGAGGCAGCACCAGGAAGTAAGAGACATTAGCAAGTAAATAAGACAGAATGACCAGCGGCATAGCCGTGTGAATAACCCGCGGCAGGTCGCGGTTTGGGTTCTTGAATTCGCCTGTCACGTAGTTGGTCTAGAGAGCATTAGTGAGTGTGTCTCAGAGCTATGAATGCCGACTTACATTGTCCCAGCCGTCGAAAGCCCAGAGACCAGCATACAAGGCCACTGCAAAATCAGAGATCTCTGTGTTGGTACCCTCGAACCAGCCATGGGTTTTCCATTCTTCATTGGCATCGCCTCCAGAAGAAAGACCCGTCACGGCAACAATGATGCCAATGACGGTCACGCCGAGGAGGGCCACAAATTTGAAGAACATGAACAGATCGCCAATCCGAGTGGCGAACTTGGTAGAAATGCAATTGAGCAAGGTCACCGTCAGAAGACCTCCGAATGCAACGGCCTTGTTGATCCAGGGGCTGACGTCGCCGACATCAGCGCCGACAAATGCTCGCACGATGTATTCGCCAAAGATAATCGAGATAATGGCTGCCGAGCCAGGTTTCAAAACCAATACCGCACACCAGGTGAAGAGAAAGCCTGGCAGCTCCCCAAAGATCTTGGACAGATAGATCTGCGACCCACCATTCAGAGGAATAGCTCCTCCCAGCTCCGCATAGCTCGCCGCTCCCGTCCAGGCTAATAGACCCGCCACGGCCCAGACAATCAAGGAAGCGCCTGGCGAACCTGCATTGGCATTGACTTGGCTGGGCGACGAGAAGATTCCAGATCCAATGATCAGCCCGACAATCAACGACAACCCATTCAGGTAGGTCAGTGTTTTGTTCCGCTCCAATGATCCGTCGGCTGGTCTGTCGGCGGACGGGGTACCGAGAGGCGCATAGCCTCCCTGCGTCTGAGAGAGTGGGAAGAGTGTGCGTCCAAAATCAAAGGCCGAGGAGATCGAGTAGGATCGTGGGCCTCTGCCCGATTCGAGCTCGTGGTCGGCATGTGGCCCAGCGAGGGGGTCTTCGTCTTCGAGGGAGAGCTTGCGGGACGAGGAGATACCGCCGGGAGAAGAGGAGCGTGAAGAACCCGCTGAACCTGGCGATGATGAAGCGAGAGAGGCGAGTTCAAGTGAGTCTCGTGCGCCAGGTCTCCCTGGGTTGGACATGTTGAAGAGAGGTGATGTGCCGTTAGTGGCTAGAGATCTCCATTGCAGCCCAAAGTAACCAATGTATAAAGACTCACGACTTGGAAGTAGTCAAGGTCGTGAGAGTAGAGTTGAGGAAAAGTCGCCAAGGGGGGGGCGTCGATCCGAGTCTTGGCTTTGACCCTTCGCATTCCCGTCTTTGTCGTCTCCAACATGCACCGCTTAGTGAGCCTGGCGGCGACTCGCCCAATTCGATTGGTGTCGACTTCTGCTTCTACCTCTGCTACAACTCCCACTTCTGCTCCCAAATCCAAGTCCCGCTGGCTGGGCTTCCTCTTCGTCGGCGCCACCGCAACAGCTGCAGGCATCTACGTCCGCCAAAGCAATGACTCCGCAACGCTGAACCAAGAGACCTTCACCAAGTATAGCCTGGTATCTCGCGAACCCGTCTCGACCACAAGTAGCCTGTTCACATTGCGCCCGCGCAAATTCAGCGAATTCAACTACGATGTCTACGAAGATGCCTGGGCAACGGGCGTCTGGAGCGTGATGTTCAAGCAACCCCAATTACAGATCGGACGCGATTATACCCCATTACCCACGACAGCCGCAACAGGGCTCAGCGTCGAAGACGAAAACGAGGGCTGCCTGCGCTTCTTCATCCGGAAGGATCCATTCGGCGAGGTTTCGCGCTATCTGCACACCATTGAAGTTGGTGCGGATGTTGAGCTGCGAGGCCCGAAGATCGAGTGTGCCATTCCGAAGGAGACTGACGAGGTTCTGTTCATTGCGGGCGGGACGGGGATTGCGCCTGCGCTACAAGCCGGATATTCACTGCTGAGTCGGGATGGAAGGAGAAAGATTCACATTCTGTGGGCCAATCGGTTAAAAGATGACTGTGCCGGTGGCCAGAGTGATTCATTAAAACTGTCCGCGAAGCAGGGATGGTTCTCTAGCTGGTTTGGCAGCAAGAGCGAGACACCGCAGATTGTGTCTGTCAGAGATGAAGATCGGTCTCTCATTGTCCGGGAGCTGGAGGCGTTGAAGTCGCAATATCCTGGGCAGGTTACCGTGGATTACTTCTTGGATGAAGATAATACGTTTATTGGCAAAGAGGCCGTTCGGGCTTCAATCGACTCGTCCAGTGACAGCAAGAGCAAGCTGATTCTGGTCTCAGGCCCTGAAGGCTTCATCAGCTACATGGCTGGGCCTAAGCTCTGGGCACAAGGCCAGGAGCTCCAGGGTCCTTTGAACGGGATTATCAGAGAGCTTGACCTCAAAGATTGGGGAGTATGGAAGCTCTAGAATCTAATACCAGTCTGCACATAACATAGATAATCAAGGATCTAGAAAGGATCTACACAACACAACTCAACACTTCGTGAAACAATGTCTATAATTGAGCGTAGCTCTTAAATGGGTAGCTTTTATGTTGAATATACAATCGCAGCTGTCCTGGTCTCTTCGTTATCCGTCATTCCTGTCCAAACAGGTTGAATCCGCTCTGCTGCAAGATCTACAGAGCTACAGCAAAGTCCTCGAGGTACGCCACCAGCTTCTGCACGTTCTCCAATGGAACGGCGTTGTAGTTGCTGGCACGCATACCACCGACACTGCGGTGGCCCTTGAGGCCCTGGAGGAGACGCTTCTCAGCACCAGCAATGAACTCCTTCTCCTTGGCGTCATCTCCATTGAGAACGCGGAAACAAATGTTCATGCGGCTGCGAACGCTGGCATCCGGAACCACCTGGTACACTTGCGGGTACTTGTCTAACACGCCGTAGATAAGTTGCGCCTTTTTGTTGGCGATCTCCTCCTGGCCGCTGACCTTGCGGGCGCCGAATTCGGCCATCAGATCGGCCATCACCTGCCCGGCGATCCAGAGGTTGAAGATGGGGAGGGTGTTGTAGAGGGAGTTGTTCTTGGCGATGGTCGCGTAGTCGAACACAACGGGTCCGGGCAGACCGCCAATGTTCAATCGGTGAAGGAGGGCAGGAGGAGGAGTTGCGGTTTGGGGAGGGAGGAGGTCCTTGCGGACAATGGCGATAGTGATTCCAGTGACACCAATGTTCTTCTGGGCACCACCCTGTATACAAATCGTCAGCCTGGTCTTGGGGTGTTGAGAGTGTAGTTACGCACAAAAAGGACAGCATATTTGCTAACATCAACCTTGCGGCTGATGAAGTTGGAGCTCAAGTCGGCAACGACGAGACGCTCGTCCTCGGGGTCCTGGCCCTGAGGCTCCAGTGACTTGGGCAATTGTTGGAACTCAACACCGTCAACGGTCTCGTTATCACAGAAGTAGACAAATGCGGAGCCCTTGCCACCCTCCTTCTTGGTAGGAGTCAAATACCAGGATTCCTCAGCAGGAATCTTGCCAAACTTCCCACCGTTGGCTTTGCGGGCATCCAGCGCAACGTTCACATACTTGGAACCGACCAATTTGCTCGCTTCCTGGGAAGCCTTGAGCGACCAAGATCCGGTCACGAGGTAGTCCAGCTTCAATTCCTCATCAACCTCCTTCTGGAGGCGCTGGAAGACCAGCTCATCAATCTGCGCCTGGTCCGCATCCGGCTGGGCCTGCTTGAAGTCTGCCTCTGCGCGGCGGCGGCGGCGTTCGATCCAGACGGACACGAGATTCTGCACGACGGCGCTGAACCCGCCGCTACCACCACCCTGCATGAACAGGATCTCATAGTTATCCGGGATATCGAGGAGCGCGGAGAGGTTTGCCTTGGCGTCGTCGAGGATCTTGTTGGCGGTTGGCGAACGGTGAGAGATCTCACCGAGACCGAGACCGCAGTCGTTGAAGTTGACGAATGCCTTTGCGCCAGCCTCCACGACGGAGGTGGGGAGGGGAGCCGGGCCCGCTCCAAAGTAGGAAACTTCTTGTCTCGAAGGCATGGTGTATGTGGTGAGGTGAGGAAGAGAAAAAGGTGTGGACCAAGTGGACCTTGCGGGAGTATAAAACTTAGGATCAGCGTCAATCAGTAGTCCTCCGTAGCAATTGGCCAGGACCTAGGAAGTGAAATTTCTGGTTCAATTTGTACGTTTCTACGGAGTACCCTCAGTGCCCTGGCCTGACCCTCGAGCAGTCTTGTATACAACGATAGTGGGGTTCGAGTCAATGAGTCACTGCGCCTGAAAGGATTTGGATGTTTCCGCAGCAATATATTTGTGTACAATAACCGCGCCTCAGTATGTTTATGACAATCGCGGTTTACACTTAAAGCAATCTCCAGGCCTGATCCAGCGTTGTTGAAGTCCACTGCGTACTAGTATAGTACTGTACGATGCTGAGGGTGGTGGGGTCAATTTTCTATACGGCGGGCACTCCATTGGTGTCAATTAGCGTCAATGTGTCGAGTTCCATCGTAGAGACACGAGTTCTGTAATAGCAAGTGTACTCAGAGTGCACTCTGGCAACTGAGAAATGAGGCTATACAGCAGGCGAGGGAATAGTGAAGACGATAGACAACAGACGACGGAAGATCCGACATCGGCGGGACTGACCCAAGTCATGTGACAGATGACGTGATCTGTTTGCACTGTTTACATCTCCCCGTACCGAGGAGCCAATCGCATCGCAGCTGAGTAAACCCGTCCCTGAATAGCAGGCCGCTTATTTGCCGAACGCCGACATATAATTCTGCGGTGACTCGAACTCATCTTTTGACATCACGGAAATGACTGTATGTGGAAATGCCCTCAATTCCAATTGCCCCGTACTGACAACCGGTCCAGTCCCGACTCATGCCTTCGGCCACTCTTGGCCGGCGCTTGCTGCGCGGCCCTGTCCCCAGCACCTTGCGACGCCTCGCCTTTACTTCGACTAGGGGCCCGGTTCCTGCTGCCCTCCAGCGTCGCACGTTCACCTCCTCAAAGCTGGGATACCAGCAGGCCAACTCGCCGGCCTTCCACTCGCAATTGGAGGATCCAGCCGCCGCCGCTATCTTCTCGTCCATGCAATCCGCCAAGGCTGTTCCCCAGACCTTGACCGAGAAGATCGTCCAGAAATACTCCGTCGGCCTTCCCGAAGGAAAGTACGTGCAGTCCGGCGACTATGTTACCATTGCACCCCACCGCTGTATGACCCACGACAACTCATGGCCTGTGGCCTTGAAGTTCATGTCCATCGGAGCGTCTGAGATCAAAGACCCCAACCAGGTCATTATGACTCTCGATCACGACGTGCAGAACAAGACCGAGAAGAACCTCCAGAAATACCAACAGATTGAAGATTTCGCCAAGCTTCACGGAGTCGAATTCTACGGCGCTGGGCGAGGTATTGGACACCAGTTGATGGTGGAGGAAGGCCATGCTTGGCCTGGAACGCTCTGCGTGGCCAGTGATAGTCACTCGAACCACTATGGTGGTATCGGAGCATTGGTGCGTTTCCCGAAACTTGTGTTGTTGTGCCTTTCCTAATAGTTTCAGGGTACACCTATTGTCCGCACGGATGCATCTTCTGTTTGGTATGTCGCCATGTGACCAACATCTAATATCTTGTGCTAATTGAACCAGGGCAACCAAGAAGACTTGGTGGGCCATTCCTCCCGTGGCCAAGGTTACCTTGAACGGTGTTCTCCCTACCGGTGTGACCGGAAAGGACCTTATCGTCGCTCTTTGTGGAATTTTCGGAAAGGACGATGTTCTCAATCACGCCATTGAGTTCACTGGCTCCGAGGAAACCATGCGTAGCCTTCCCATCGATTACCGCCTGACAATCGCCAACATGACCACCGAATGGGGTGCGCTGTCTGGTTTATTCCCCATGGATGACGTGTTGAAGTCTTGGATGACCGCCAAGGCCACACTTGGAGCCATGGGTTTGGGTGCCGGTGACGGTACCTACAAGACTCTGGCAAGCCAGAACTTCACCCACGCTGCCATTGAAGAGCTCTTCGCGAACCCCCTGACTGCCGACAAGGGAGCCAAATACGCCAAAGAGCTGTTCATCGACCTTTCCTCGCTTACCCCCTACGTCTCTGGCCCCAACTCAGTCAAGGTGGCTACTCCTCTGAGCGAATTGGAAGCTGCCGACATCAAGGTCAACAAGGCTTACCTCGTGTCCTGCACCAACTCTCGCGCTTCTGATATCTGCGCCGCCGCGCAGGTCTTCAGAGAAGCCACTGAGAAGAACGGCGGCCAAGTTGCCAAGATCGCGGAGGGCGTTGAGTTCTATATCGCTGCCGCTTCCATCCCCGAGCAACGTGCTGCCGAGGAGGCTGGTGATTGGCAGGTCCTGCTTGATGCAGGTGCCACCACTCTCCCTGCTGGATGTGGTCCCTGCATCGGTCTCGGCACTGGTCTCCTTGAGCCCGGCGAGGTTGGCATCAGTGCTTCCAACCGTAACTTCAAGGGCCGCATGGGATCCAAGGACGCTCTTGCCTACCTTGGCAGTCCCGAGGTCGTGGCTGCGAGTGCCCTGAGTGGAAAACTCAGTGGCCCTGGCTGGTACAAGACCCCTGAAGGCTGGGATGGTGTCAAGTTCGGCGAGGGCGATGGCATCCGCGAGGAGGACCGTATGCTCACCACCGAGGAGGCCCTTGAGAAGCTGCTTGGGCAGATGGACGACATCGTGGCCGATGGTGAGAAGCGTTTCGCCCCTGAAGGTACCGCCGAGGTTGAAGAGGTTGTCTCTGATGATGCTTTGACCGAGCTCTACCCCGGCTTCCCCGAGAGCGTCTCCGGTGAGATCGTCTTCTGTGATGCCGACAACGTCAACACTGATGGTATCTACCCCGGCAAATACACATACCAGGACAACGTCTCAGAAGAGACAATGGCGCAGGTCGTCATGGAGAACTACGATGGCGAGTTTGCCAAGATCGCCAAGCAAGGCGACATCCTTGTCTCCGGCTACAACTTCGGTTGTGGTAGCTCCCGCGAGCAGGCTGCCACTGCCATCCTCGCCAAGAAGATCCCTCTGGTTGTCTCCGGCAGCTTCGGTAACATCTTCTCCCGCAACAGTATCAACAACGCCTTGATGGGTCTGGAGGTCCCTCGCCTGATCAGCCGTCTGCGTGAGAACTTCAGCGCTGGTGACAAGGCTCTGACTGTCCGCACTGGGTGGACTTTAACTTGGGATGTTCGCCGCAGCCGCATCGAGGTCCAGGAGGGCCCCAACGGCCCCAAGTGGACCCACAAGGTTGGTGAGCTCCCTCCTAACGTGCAGGAGATCATCGCCAAGGGTGGTCTTGAGAAGTGGGTTAAGAACGCCATTGGTGCCTAAGTGGTCAATGGTGCCAATTATTGTGCCTTGGTCAAAAGTTGGCGTTTGACGTGATACCCGAGCTTTTGTTTATGTTCAGCTTTTAAACCCGCAATTTGGGACTCGGATGATGTGTATAAAAAAGAATACTTAGACGTTTAATCGATAGATTCCATTATGGCTCCGTTTGAACAAGCCCTGGAGGTATAGACTGCTGTGATGACTTCGCTGTCCTCGGTATCAGAGTGAAGAGTAAAGCTATGTAATTATATGGCGCTATATGTAGGGCTGGGCAGCACCTGGGCAGTCCGTGGACGGGTGTTCCAAGCCCTGCAGGTGCCCAGGTGGACCTGAGGTCGGGAGGTTCGTCGCAATCTAATCATTGTCTTATCACCACGTGGAGATATGTACGCTCTATTTGATCAACAGGGCACTCACTTGTCATTCACCAATCTTGAGCTTGGTCTAGTCTATGCGCATGCAAGCGTCTCGGCTGTGGTGTCGGGTCAACCCGTCCGCTCATAGATTATGGCTAACTGGACGGCCACAATCACTGGCGCTGAATGCCCACCCCCGACGTCATGACATTTTCTCCGCACCAGCGCGGAAAAACCCCAATTGGAACCGAGCTTTCTCGTCAACAGGCCCGAGAAGCTTCATGATAGATGGTGATTCCACAATATATGCTCTCTCGACAGCGCCCGGGCGGGCAGCAATCGCTGTTGTGCGGATATCAGGGCCAGCCTGCGTCCCAGTATGCGACCCTACCACCACCACACGTCTACGATACTAAGCGTCTCAGATATACAAAAGCATTTGCCCAAATACAGCTTTTCCGAAGCCTAGATATGCTGCCCTGCGCACTCTCTATGACCCCAAGAAACCCCCATCTCCGAGCACAGTCCTCGACGCCGGCGCCCTTGTCCTCTACTTCCCATCCCCACGCACCGTAACAGGTGAAGATATTCTAGAATTGCATGTACACGGCGGTCCGGCAATCACAAAGGCTGTTCTCTCTGCAATTGCTTCGACAAACACATCCGAAGTCTCTGTTCGCTATGCCGAACCAGGCGAGTTCACCCGCCGAGCATTCATGAACGACCGTCTCAGTCTCCCGCAGATCGAAGCGCTGGGTGATACTTTGTCTGCAGATACAGAACAGCAGCGACGGCTAGCTGTGCGCGGGTCCAGTGATGCCCTAGTGCGCAGATATGAGACCTGGCGACAGGGCTTGCTTTATGCGCGTGCCGAGCTGGAAGCCTTGATTGATTTTTCCGAAGATCAGCACTTCGACGAATCGAGTGAAGAGCTAGTCGGCTCTGTTTCTGGTCAGGTGCAAGCTTTGAAGACACAGATTGGGTTCCATATTGGGAATGCGTCGCGTGGGGAGTTACTCCGCAACGGAATCCGTATTGCTTTGCTGGGAGCGCCCAATGCAGGCAAGAGCTCCTTGCTCAATCGAGTCGTTGGAAAAGAGGCTGCTATTGTGAGCACCGAACAAGGAACCACAAGAGATATCGTTGATGTCGGCGTTGACATTGGAGGGTGGTTCTGTAAGCTCGGGGACATGGCGGGAATCCGGGCCGATGCAGGTGGGGAGGTCGTCATTGGCGCCGTTGAGCAGGAGGGAATACGAAGGGCCAGAGCCCGGGCGTTGGAATCTGACGTCGTGATTGTTGTTGTTTCATTGGAAGACACTGCGACTGGTGCCCAGCTCTTCGTTGAACCCGAGGTCGTTGATGCGGTGAATGACTGCGTTGAGGCGGGCAAGTGTCTTGTTGTCGCGATCAATAAGTGCGACAAGCTGCATACTGCCCTGGACGGTGATGTACCACTCCCACTGTCCGATCTCATCCGGGGCATCTTCCCGTCTATCCCCGGGAACCGTATCTTCGCCATCTCCTGTGAGCAGGCTCAGCAGGGAGAATCAAGCCTTAGCCCCGTGGATCCAGGCAACCTACAAGCCTTCTTACGGGGTCTCATGGCCACTTTTGAGCAGATTGCTTCGCCACTCAGCATGGAAGGTGACGGTAGTGAGAGGTATGATGTTTCTTATTGGGAAGATTCTCTTGGTGTTACACATCGCCAAAGTTCTAATTTACAAAAATGCCTCGACCATCTTGATGACTTCCTGTCCAAAGCTGCATCTCCAGCTAGTTCTGACTCCGAGGACCAATTCGGCATTGATGCCGGCGTCGATGTTGATATTGTTCTTGCTGCAGAACATCTGCGCTTTGCGGCCGATATGCTGGCCAAGATCACGGGCAAGGGCGAGAGCAGCGATGTTGAGGATGTTTTGGGTGTCGTCTTCGAGAAGTGAGTATCAAATCTCATCCGCTGTCTTATTTCCGGCTGACAATTGCAGGTTTTGCGTTGGCAAATGAGAGGCGATGTTTGTGAAGGTCATCGGTGCAAGGTCGTCATCGCACTTCTTATGCTTGGCTGGGAGCCAATTGAATGCGCGTTGCTGAACTCGCATACCTAGGTACTCGGTATGCTGGCCTGGTTTAGTCGCTGGTGCAAATAGCTTCAGAGCTCGTGCAGCTGGCAGGAGCATTGTATCCTCCTCGGCCCATGGTCAAAAACATGGCGAATGGTGCAGTCTAAAGCTTCAGTAAGAGTTGTGATGAGTGATGCAACTGTATGAATAGAACAATGTACAATAGATTCAGCGAAACGACTCTTTTATAATAAATCGGCCAAAGCTTTCTGCCTTGGATCCTCATCCAGGCACCCGAAATAGGCACAATTCCGGCATTGGGAAACAAAGCAGCTTAACAAGGCCCCTGAGCATTTCCCAAAGACCAAGAACCTCGTCTAACATCACATACTCATCTGAGTCATGTCGCTGTCCCTATTCACAGAATTCGGATGTCTCAGCCCTGCCGAAACTATGGAGTCATTGCCAATAGTACAAAGTGTAGCGACTCAGCCCGATATGGAGACCGAGTTTGAGGTTGAAACATAGTTCGTCATCCACGGTTGAATGAGCTGTGAGACCTGGTCGTCTTCAGCTAAGTTGTACTGCCATTGGCTGAGCTTGCATTTTGAATTGCTAGCCTCATTCTTATTTCGTGCAAGTCCATTGGCTCGTGTCCTTTTCGACTGATGTCAGATCTAAGAATAGTGTAGCGTGAATCCTTCTAGAAGAATTGGAAATCCTGGGATTGAACTGCTTTGGAGCCCCGGGGGGATCTGCCAGGGGTTTTTGGTTGAAATCGAAATCAAGCACTATTTTAGACGAGCTTCACAAGAAGAACGAAAGAAAGAAATACTCGGGTGGCGTTCCTTGCAGTTGAAGTATAAACCAGGATCAACGGATAACCGCCGATGCATGCACTATGCATCCCTGTAGGATCCTTTGACTTCTTATTCTTAGCTTTGTTCTGTCACTGGGGTTATTTTGGCTCCTGCTTTGAGGATATAGGATAAACTGGCCTTGAGACTCAGTTTGTTTGAACTGCCAATGAAACATCTCAGCGAGTTCCTGGTTTGATCACACTCCGGTGCTGTGATGGTACCTAGGTATATATTTCTCGATGCAATACTTCATCGGGTGATACTTTTGTCAAGGCCTCCCTGAGTGGCAAAGTGATTTCATCATTTGGTCGATTTACCATAAGCAGAACTGCCAAAGCTCGGAATATACTGTATGGCCATAGTGCAACATGCATAGCCTCAGTGTGTACCGTCAGGTGATTAAGAATGCAGGAAGTCAAAGAAATTTCTTGGATCATGGATGCTCACTACAGTCTAAATCCTTTGATAACGACACGCTACCCACACCTCCACTGCCACTCTCTGTCAAACCTCATCAGAAGCATCAGACCACTTCAACACTCTGACCAATATGGATTCCCCCATTCATTTGCCCACACATTACAGTACATCAGACTCAGAATGTCTAGTACCCCATACTATCAGTGCCGGGGCAGTCGTAGTATTCGATGTAAAAGTCCCGAAGACAACCAAGACACTGGTCGTCTTGCAGAAGGTAAGAGCAAGCAGCAGTGCGCTCAACGTGGTAGAAGAGCTCCGAGATCTGGGTGAACTGGACCTTGCACTCGAAGCAGAAGAAGGCGAATTTGTCAGTTCGGCGATTTCCGTAGAATCCGTACTCGGGGGACTCGAAGGCTAGGTCGTGGATCTTGTTGCGCATCACACATTTGCCAGTTTCCATGTGGGCAAGGAGGGCAGAGAACCCTTCCCATTCGGTGTCGCAGAACCAGCATTCGTACTTGGGGAGGCCACCCTCAACCTGGCTTTGAGGTTGAGATGGAGGCTCAGAGAGAGGCTCAGGCATGGTGGATGATTGAGCGTGATGCGTTGATGGGAGAGTGGGTAGTGTGAGACCAGAGTTGATACACAGAGTGTTGCAAGGTAAAGAGAGTAGAAAGAAGAGAGCGCTCAAAAGGAAGTACTTTACTTCAGTTCTGAGGCTGTAGTACTTTTGCGTGAAGAGCAAACAATCTGTCGAGAAAATCAGACTGAGTAGATCCAGTACAACACGTCTTTGTATTTCGATGTGCAGTTTACGAAGACACGTCCATACTACTACACGTCCAGACTCCTATACGTTACATGCAACACGCTACCTAGGAGTTCCTCGGGTATACAAATACAGGAAACTCGAAAAGCAAATCAACTACCAATGTATTTCATGGGTAGCTACACAGGATCAGTTATTGGTTTCGGGATCTCTCCCTACCGCCTCACCTGCTCGCCGACTCGCATGAGACTGGGGGTTGATCTTGACCACAAGCACTTGAACCCCCTAGGCCTGAGGATCCAAGGTCAAATGTCTGTGACCTCGATGGGAGGGGTATGCCCAGCCAAAGTAGGATTTGTTGAGGAGAGAAGAAGAAGAGAAGAAGAGAAGAAGAGAGGAGGTGGTGATTTTTATATTGAAGGGGATGTCCCGATTGGGAAAGCCCTAAGGCACCCATGGCATTCGATTTTCCACTTCGCCCTCACCTCTCTTCACTTCACTTCACTCTATTGACCTAATTTCATCTCTACGTACCTCTACTACGAATGGTCTCCAAATGAAACATAGGTATAGCGAATCACATCACCAGACAAGACTGGATTGAGCAAATATCTCAAACATCTAAGCCTCAGCCTTGAGCTACTCTAACCAGCAGTATGTGCCTTTAATGTCTAAAAAGTTGGAAAAAAAGAGGAAAAAAAAAAAAAAAAAAAGATGCAGAAGAACAGGCTCAAAATGCAATTCAGCATCCCTCCAGTCATGACAGCATTTCCATGGTGACGGAGAGAGTAAAAGAGATTATATACAAGGAGACGGGACAGGGTATGCAAAAAGGAGCACGGACATGGCATCGTACCAGGCTCGGCTCGTCAGAGGGTAAGGAAATGGGTGCAAGGAATGGAATGGGTATTATACAATCATCTTGTAAGGGGATCAAACATTAGATTAGAATCGGCCGTTAATCCGAATTATGTCCATCTTGCCCAGAGACAACGATAGAGGGCGGACTCTGTTCACCCGGTGGACTGGGGAGTTGTTCATCCACGGAGTGGGACGGCGAAGCCGGCTCTTGAACCGGGGGGAGACCGCCGTCAGCGCTGTCTTTGCTGCCTGTGGGGTTGCGACGCCTCATCCGACGATTGCGACGTTCTTCGTCGGCGCTTTCGCGTCTTCGGCGTTGTCGCTCGCCGCCGGCGTCGGAGTTACTGCGTAATCCGAGGAGCATGCTGGCGGCACGATCGGCAACGTCTTCGCCCTCGGAGACTTGGGCTTCGGGCTTCTCTTCTTCTTCTTCGGCCCCGGGGGGACTCAGAAGACCATTTGCGTCTTCCTCGGGCTTCTCTTCCTCCTCATCTTCGGGGGGTTTGGAGCCAGAGGCAACGCGGACGTTGTGACGTTCCTTCAGGCGAGCGCGACGGCGACGGTCACGTTGGTCCTTGGCTTGAGGTGCCGCGGCGCGGAGCTTCTCAAGCAGGGAGTCCATGGCTCCGCTAGAGGCGGGAGAGAGACTGCTGTCGGGGGTGGACGTGTTGTTGGCCAGGTTGGCGTTGATGCGTTTGCGGGCCAAGGAGGCTTCCGTACGCTTACGAGATTCTTCAAGCGCGGTGTTCTTCTCGCGGGACTTCTTCCATTCGACGAGGAAGGAACTGAGCTTGGCGAAGAAGTCTCGGCGGGCATTCTCATCCACATTGTCCTCACCGTAGAAGACCATGATGTCGTCGTATGCCTTCACCATCTGATCGAGGTATAGTTGCAGCTGCTCGGCCTTTCTCCTGGCGTCCTTCATTGATCGCTGTACGACTTGGCTGACCCGGTCCTGAGGGTGGAACCTCTTGGGATCACTGAGGTTTCCGGCATCAAGACTTGCCTGGACGTTCTTGATGTTGCTGATATACTTGGTGGCGTCGGAGCGAAGCTGGTCGACATTAACCTTTTGCAAGCCGATGACTCCACTGATCTCGTCAAGGAAGCCTTCCCACTCAGGGTACTGATTTCGGACGATACGCTCGACCAGATCGGCAAAAGTGGTCTCGTTCTTGTCGTCCTTAACCATACCCAGACGGGCAAGAGAGCTGAGCTTGAAGCCCTGAGCCTGCTTGTTGGCATCGTTCATGAAGTTACCGATATCAAGGATAAGACCCAGCACGTTCATCAGTGATACGGAGTCACGCAGGGACTCGCTGACCCTGGCTACCTCCTGCAGTTTGGAAGATATGTGCTCATACTCCGGTTCGTAAGAGCGAGTGAGGGCAAGCGCCCTGTTTCTTGCTTTCCAGTAGTGGTTGAGCTCAAAGGCAGTGTAAAGATAGATCTGATCCTCGCGAGTGATCTCAGTCGGGTCTTGTTCACGATCGGAAGTCGAGGCACCGGGCCCGGTCCAATCCATACTATAGGGAGCCATCAATTTGGCGACGTTTTCGGGTATATTGCACATCTCATCTCTTTGGAGGAAATCCATGACTACCATGTTATCAAGGATTTCTTTGTCACAGTGGATGATCATGCGAGTAACCTCTTCAGCGGGGTATTGAGAGAATTTAGACAGCGCGATCTGGAAGTTCTTAGAAAGATCGTTTGAAATGATCTGCTTCTTCGCCGAACGCTGCTTCGCGGCAGTGCTGGCTCCGAAGATCTTGGTCTCTTTGGCCATGAAGAGTCGTTCAACTTCGTCCAAAACACCCTTCTTGGCAAGATCGGTGTACTTCTCTTCTTTCTGCTCTGCTGTCGGAGCGTGGGCAGCCCAGACTGTCACTTGAGGTGTATCAACCTTGTCCCAGTGAAGAGCCTTAAGCTTCTTCTTAGGTCGGATAGAAGGCAAGCCAATTGTAGCGGGCGCAATCTCTCCAACCATGTAGGCAGGTCGCCAGCCTGCACCCAGGGGGGCATTGGGTGGAGGAGGAGGGGGAGGCAACATTCCTTTGCCGCCGGGGGGAGGAGGGGGAGGCGGAAGCCCCATGCCGGCACCACCTGGAGGGGGAGGGGGAGGGGGTATCCCAACTTTTCCACCTGGGGGAGGCGGAGGAGGCGGTAGCCCAGGGACTCCCTTGGCACCTCCCGGGGGAGGAGGTGGTGGTAAACCTGCACCACCAGGCGGCGGCGGAGGAGGTAAACCAATCTTTCCACCGGGGGGTGGAGGTGGTGATAGCCCGACCTTTCCTCCCGGAGGCGGCGGAGGAGGGAGAGCAACAGCACCTCCTGGGGGTGGAGGTGGGGGTGGAGGAAGAGCTATACCACCAGGTGGCGGAGGCGGTGGTAGAGCAGCCACACCCCCTGGAGGAGGAGGGGGTGGTGGAATAGCCATTTGGCCCTGGGCAGCAACACCGTGGGCGTCGGCATTAGGGTCCTCGGCATCGAACTTTGGAACCTTGGAAGCGATTTCACCGAGCAGACCCGAAGCTTGCGTGGCGTTTAATCTCGGACGATGCATTTCCACAATGCGAGGCTTCTCGTACATCGGTCCACCGTTGCTATCCACAGGCGTCATTTCATCGTCTTCCAAGATATCATCATCCATCTCGGGGATATGGCTGCGCTTCCGGTAAACGGAGCCCAAGGAGCCAGGATCCAAATGCCTGTGGGCAGACTCAAAGTCGTCATGGCCGCCTTCTCCATCCATCTCTTCACGCAATTCACGTAGTCGATCTGAAGGCCCATGTTGACCCCACACCTTGCCCTCCAGCTTGAACTGTGTCTTCGTACGCTCGAGCTGACGCTCTAGGCGCTCCATCAAACGCTCACGATCCATGATACCAGGCATCTGGGAGGGATCAGCCTCCACTGTTTCGGGGTGAGCAGCCTTGCGGGCATTTGAAGCGGCGATATCCTGAGCATCACGAAGCATCAAGTACAATTCTCTGGTTTCCAATTCATTGCGCTGCAGTTCCTGGGCGCGCAAGCGTTGCACCTCGGCAACCTCTGCCTTGTAGGATTCTGTCTGTCGTTGCTGCAGGTCGATGATGCCAGCTTGTTCGTTGATTTGTTTCTGCAATTTCAGAACCAGACCATCGGCACCAAGCTCAATCTGTGCACGCATCTCATCACGCTCGGAGATGGCCGCCTCGGCGATCTGGCGAGCTTCCAAAGACTCATCGTACACCCGTCTCGCCTCAGCATCGGTGTGTAGTCGATCCAACAAGCTCTGCACGGTGAAAGTCAATCCTTGTCGAAGATCAAGATCTGGCAGCCGCCGATCCATTGCCACATAACTCAACATAGCATCGACAAGCTGGAACATGCGCAGCCCTTCCTCCCCAGAGTTCTCCCGAATAAGCAGCATGTGCTGCATAGCCGAGAGGAAATAGTCATGAGAGCGACTGCCATTGATTTTGGAGGAGATAGCATCGACGATTTGCAAAGGATCACTCATATCCTTGACTTCACCCTCGATACTATCCTTCATACTGCTGCCCTCGCGCTGCAAGAGATCCTCGTAGTCAATACCTTCATTCTCGCGGAACCGCTCGATCTGCTTGTCAATGACCTCGTACTGGAAGCCTTCCATCTTCGTGAGCAGCCGTTTGATTCCACATGATGTGAACTGGGCGCGGATGTGGCATCGTAGCTGCAGGTCCGTTTCGGCGCCATCCACCAGCATATTGATCAGGATCATGGTCGAAACGGCGTATTCCATAAGCAGGTTCTCCATGCCAATACCGCCGCTGCGGTACTCCTCACTGGCACCGACCAGACTGCCCATTTTGCCACGGCCATCAATCGTGACTTCAACAATTCGCATCCATGCATCGAATCGACCGGTCTCGCTGTGGTCGTTCTTGACCTTATCCATAGACTGCAGGACCTTCTGGTGTCCCTGTCCCTCTCCCCAGTGACATAGGAAGGTGAGGACTTCGCTGACGAGTTTACGTGTATTGAGACGAGGTGAGGAAAGCGAGCTGACGAGCGCCACGAGCACATTCTGATGCTCCAAGGCATCGTCGGCACCGTACTTGTTGTTCATGAGACCTTTCAGACATTTGGCGATATCGTATTCGCGGTCTAGATCCTTATCGCCAGTTGGAGGAGCTGGGACCGGGCCAGAGACCTTCCTGCGGTTGATCTTCATAAGAACATTGGTCAAAGCGACTTGTCCCTGAGCTTCGACAAAGGCTTTCACCCAGCTAAATGGAGATTAGTGCTATGCATTGTCATATATGTAGGACCACACATACCTAATAGGCTGTGTCCTTAGACTGACGCTCAGACTGGCAAGCTGTTTCGAGGTGATGGTGTCGTCCATCACCTTCTTGACATACCACTCCGGGCTGCCCTCCTCGTCAGCACGCTCAAGCAGCCCAGACATTCCATCATGGCCGTGTGTTTGGCGCGCATTCTGTCGTCTCTTTTGCTCTCCCTGCAGTTCTGTAAGGCGATCCTGGTGTACCAGCGTCCATTTCTTTGAGGCGGGGTAAGACAGCATTTGACGTTTCGCTTGTTCCGGAAGGTTTTGCCAGCCTCTCTTCTGCATCAGCTCCAGAAACAGCTGATCCACGATCCGGTCATCTCTGGGACGAGTGAGATAATTATCTTGTGGCCGAGGCACGGCTGCGGGAATAGGCGATGAGATTTGATGAGTCGATCCTGCGTTGGAAAGGCGGCCGGAACTGGAGCTTGGAATCATATTACGTTCTCCGGAATGTGATGTGAGGGTGCGGGCAGAGCCATGGGAGGAATTGTCGGAGAAGTAGTTTGATCCGCGGGGGTTGGAAGAGACGGATGAGTATATGCTGGTTTGGTCGAGGGAGGTGCGGGAGTTGGCAGACGAATCGATCGAAGAGGGGTGATGGGGCCCACTCGCGGCAGAGCTACCTGGACGTCCCCATTGCTGATACCTGGCCCCTCGGTCCCCCGACGTACTGCTTGTCATAGTGGTGTTGCCATGCGGGGGCGGACGAGGTCCTGTTGGGTGCCCTGAACCATTCGGTGCTGAAGTAGATGCCCATGTGGGGTACTGGTGGTAATCGGCCCCTGCCTTGCCCAGATGGTTAGGGGAGTGTTCCTGGCGCGAGGAGTCCGGGCGAGGCATGTTGTCGATTGAGATCGGGGTTCTCTCAGCGGAGAGGCTGTCGAATGGTATGGAAGTGATCACGCCCGCAGTTGGCGCGAAACTGCCGGGGTCCAGGTCGTGGGTCATGTCAACAGATTGAATCGACGATCGTTTTGAATAGCGAGATGAACGGGACCCGGCTGAACTACCTGGCGGGGCCAGGCTGTCGTAGGACCCTCCATAGTTATCGTATCGATCCTCCCCCGATTTGTCTTTGTGTAGCTTGCGTCCGAAGAACGACTTTCCCGTTGATGCTTGCCTCGATTTGTCGGCTTGTGCAGGCATTTTGGGCGGAAGAGCGCAGCATAGGGGCTGCTCTTAAGAATCACGAAGTGTTATCAATCGCATAGATCGAGTGATGACCAGGTATGGAAGGGGGGGCACCTGGGGTCGCTTAGCACGAAAGACGCGAGGATCGATAATTTTTTTTCTCGACTCACCCCGCGAGTATACAAAAAGGGAGAAAGAGATTAAAATAAAATGACAGCCAGGATCGAAGCCCGAGCGTCTAATCTATTGATCGTTAACTGTTAGGGGGTTGCCGGACAAACTCCCCGACCGCACACGTGATGTCACGTGGTCAGGCACGGAGAGGACGGGACTGCGATCTACAAGGCGCATCGCTGCAGCCCCTTGTCCCGAAAGTGGTCTGGTCTGCGATCTCTACGATCTCTGCGATCTGGTGGATATAGGAGATCAACGTCACGTCCTGCAGTCGCTGGACCACCATGGGCTCATCAGGAGTCTTCGCAAAGGTGCCTCAGATTCCATTCTGATATCATTGTACACAAGCTCATCTCTGCTAGACGATTCTCATTCCCGCCGCAATCGCATTGACAATCTACGTCCTCGCCTCATGCGTCATCATCCCCTTCTTCCGCCGCTACCATCAGCGCTACTCCCAGTACCTGCCATTGCACAGTATCTCCGCACACACGCTCTCCCTGCGCGATCGCATAGCTGATACCGTGATGAACTTCATCCTTCGGTCGACCTGGCGACGCGGCGCAGATGTAGCAGACAATGATAACATCAGCATAGACGAGCAGGATGGGGAGGTGCTCGTCGGCATGGATATGGATGCCGTTCGACGGGGAGCGCTGGAACGGAGATACGATGCGGGGACGGAGCGGCTAGGGAGAGACCTGGAAGAGGGGTTTATGGACGATAGCGACAGTGAAGGGCGCACTTGACCATTTGCATCTCAGGCGTTGATTCGGAGCATATATAACTAAGGCATACACTGGGTACATAGGCGCAATTGATCTTCAAGTCATGCTTGCCATTTTTACGTACTGTACATCCGATGAAACTAACGTAGTTTTAGAGTACTCCGTATTCTGTGCTGCTGAACTGGTAGTATAGTATACGTCTTGACTGTATGCAGTAATGAAGAGCAAGTTTCGCAGTAGCGCCTACGACTCCACCCGAGGCTGGACTCTGCCGGGATCGACAGAGCTCTGCCGATCATCCGTCTGGAATTCGAGGGGTCAAAAACACACCCTACTACGTAGTAGTATGGCACTGAACTGAATAGTACTCCGTACGTTCTACTTCAAATCAGAAAAGGTGATGTGGAAAATATTCATTGGTATCGTGATAGATGCTACCGTGAGCATCGCCCAAATGGGCTTATAAACATCTCGAAATCAAGCTAGAGTGAGAAAAATAAAACAGTCCCTTTTTACTTGCGCTGGCCGTAAGACTTGGTGGCGTAGTCACCCTTGTAGACAATCAGATCCTCAGGGCGGTAGTCGTGACGGCCGGAGAAGTAGCTTTCCAGAATGTTCTTGGTACCGGTGGCGTAGCGGACCTGAGCATCGATGGAGGTACCGGACATGTGGGGGACCATGCCGTTGCCGCCACCCCAGGGGTGCTCGGCGTAGCGGAGAGGGTGGTCCTTGGGGGCGGGCTGGGGGAACCAGACATCACCACCGTATCCGCGGAGGTGGCCAGACTTGAGGGCCTCGGCGACATCCTCCTTGACGACGATGGCACCACGGGCGGTGTTGACGAGCCAAGCACCGGGCTTCATCTTGGAGATGAGGTCCTTGTTGAAGAGACCGCGGGTCTTCTCGTGGAGAGGGCAGTTGATGGTGACAACATCACACTGAGCGAGCATCTCCTCGAGGTTCTCGACGCGGCGGCAGCCAATCTCCTTCTCGGCCTCGGCGGAGAGGGGCTGGTAGTCAAAGTAGAGAAGCTCCTTGCAGTCGAAGGGCTTGAGGCGGCGGAGCACACGCTCACCGATACGGCCGACAGCGACGGTACCGACGACCTTGCCCTCAAGGTCGAACTCGTTCTTAGCGACGGCGGCAACATCCCAGTCGCCGTTCTTGATCTGCTCGTGGGCGGGGACGAAGTTGCGGACGAGGAGGAGGATGGTCATGACGACGTGCTCAGCGACGGAGACGACGTTGGAGCCAGTGACTTCGGCAACGGTGATACCACCGTTGGTAGTGTTGGCGGCGTTGAGGTCAACGTGGTCGGAACCAATACCGGCAGTGACGGCGAGCTTGAGGTTCTTCGCCTTGGCCAGGCGCTCTGCGGTGAGGTAACCGGGGTGGAAGGGAGTGGTGATGATGACTTCGGCATCGACCAGCTCCTTGTCAAAAGTGGAGTTCTCACCCTCCTTGTCGGAGGTAGTCACCAGGGTGTGTCCCTGGTCCTCGAGCCACTTGCGGATACCAAGCTCATTCTCAGTGGTACCGAGCAGCTGAGGCTGCTGCTTGGAGTGCTCACCACCCTAGATGGGGATTAGCCTGTGCCTGTCAGGACCCGTGGGAGGTTCACTTACATCGTAAAGGACGAGAAGAACTTTGCCCTGAAGGTTGGCAGTTGCGGTTAGCGTACGAACTCCGGAGATAGCGCCAGACAACGGGGCAGCCCGAGCGAAGGGCTTGGCCGTGAATGGCCGAGAGAGGAGGGGCCGTCCCAATTGACGGGAAAGGGAACGAGTAAATACCATTGTGAAAGATGTTTGTTATTCAAAAGAGGATTGAAGAGTGGAAGCTAGAGAGGAGGTCAGTCTGATGTTATATAGGCAAGTCGATGAATTCATTGTCCCAAAACGGCGTTGGAGATCCAAGCAACGCGGGGAGAGTGGAGCATAGTGCATGAAAGCATGTTGATATGCGAGGGGAAAAGTAAATGATAAACTTACTGGAAGTCGTCAAAACAAAAAATGAGATGCGATGAGATGAGAGAGGATGAAAAGCAGAATAGAACCGGTTGAGCAGGCTGGTTATATAGCAGAGAAGTCGTGGTGGAAACACCACTCCGTACTCGTGTACCCACTCGGAACTCAGTGTTCCCTCTCCGCACGAGGGAGGGGAACGGTTTCAAGGACCACCTGAGCATGTTTAGATTATTGTGGATGCGAGATTCCCATCTTACATCGATGTTTGACTGGGGCTGAGAAGTATATTCCCGTGGGAAACGGGGTGTACCTTGTAAATATTGAACTGTACTCCAGGACTCTATATATTGTACTCTATATAGGCTGGTGGAATTGAATATTTTCTCGCATTCCTGTTTTCTGTTCAGAAAACTCAGATATTCACGGTGTCTACATGATCCCTCAATACAACTATATCACTATACTATACTCGCAGTTCAATAGCACTGCTCACCCTGTTCGTACATACTGTACGGAGTACAGGTCGAGAGAGTCTCCCCGCAGCGGGGTAGCTGACATAATGAGGGGTAGCTTGACTGTCGTGGGCTGGAGATATAGGAGACAACCATCCCAGTCTCCAACCTTTCGACCATTGGAGCTGAGAAACTGGGTCCAAGCAACCCGGACCACTATTACTTTCCTATCTCCTTCATCCTCTAGTCCGCACCTACGGAACCCCTGCCGAGCTTCGCCCGCGCTTCTGCCGAAACTCGGCCTTTGACTTCTCCAACTCCGGAAACACGGACCCGCATCCACCGCGCGTAATGGCCTCCGCGCGAGGAGGGTTGGAGAACCGCACGGCTCCACCACCGGCGTACGAGATTGGGATGTACTGTACTACAATGGAGTCAATCCCCTCGCGGAATGCTTACCCCGATCAAGAATGACCTCGGAGGGGCTTCCTGATAACCTTGCCCACGGGAAATCCAATTTCACCCTAAAAGATTGGTCATAGTCAATTGCTCTTTCGCCATTGATTTCATTTTCTTTGGAGTTGGTTTACTCATACTGGCTACGACGACTGGGATGCGCGCTGGTCAACATCGAACTGAGAAAGAAACGAAGGGAAAAGAAAGATCAACTAAAAGATCTCCCTTTGCCAGCGAAACGCTACGATCGCAGATGCTAATACTAATGCCCAGTGCCTAGGTATTGCGACCGTGACCCCATTGCTCGCGAGTAAACACCGCGACCGGCTGCCACAATCCTGGGCGTGTTGCAATGTTACATACATGCGCTGTCGTCGCATGACCGGTGCGGGGTCCCGGGCCATTTGCCGCTTTCGCTCGGAGCCCGTGGGTCGACGAATGCTTGATTTGTCCCGGGATCGTCATCGTTCCATATTCTGCTTGAAGCATTGCGATAGTAAACATCTCAATCGTTTGAGTTGAGGTGATGCGAACATACCGAATCGGGCCAATAGGCAGTGTCCAATCCGATTCGATGTCAATTGTCTTGGATCATTGAGATGAGAAATCCCGGACGCCCAGAACGTTCGAAATGCGGTCGATGTGGACAAACCCTTGGTGAATCATAGCCCATTCGGGGCGCAGCGGGGCAAAGTGAGGACTCCGATGTCCGAACAAACAGTGCAAACGACTTGACACTCGGTCATTTCACCCCGAGGCCGTGGCAGTACTGGTCATGGGCGTTCTGGACTGAGACCTGCATGCACTGTGCCGAACCGCTGAACCTGATCTAGACTTCGGCAGCGCGATGCGACCTGGACGGTTTTTCCTGAGAAGGGGTCTCTAGTCAGCCTTGTGTACGGAGTACGTACTACGTACAGGGTTCCAACCTTGGAAGGTTGGAGTCAAGTCTCCGCGCCTCCCAGGGTCTGAAATGAAAATTATGAAAACATCACCTGGGCACTCTCAACCTCGTCATCTTTGGCGTGGATTTGAGATAGATATGACAATATGACAGATTTGATCAGCCTTGTGTTTAAGTTTCCTAACATCCATGGATATATTCAAAGGTTCCAAGGCGGTAGGGATCGCAGTAGGATGTATAGACGTACCCAGACAACTTTGGAGTAATATGCTAATATCGCAGCGAAGTGTCCACTTGTTGAATACCTCCAGGGCTGGGTACATGCGGTACTTTCTCATTATACTTGTAGATCCGCCAAAATGCGAGCGTCAACAAACGCCCTGAAACAGCCGGCGCGACGCACATAGGATCTAAAACAAGGGAATTGCATAGCTGTGGAGAGGCCATAGGGGGCCAGCGCGTGTTGAGTCCTCAAGTCCAATCACAGAGGCTGAGCCCAAGCTAGTCGGGAACTAAAAAGACGGCGCTAATGTACAGTATCTTGAACCCTGAAGGGGGGCCAACTTCATGGGAATTGTTAAAATTCCACATCCTCGCATCAAATGTGAGTCTTCTCCCGGATGGGGTCATTCAAGATGTTGGCTCGAGTAGACATCAAAGAGTCAGTGGCCTACTCGGCGACAGAGCGCACAGATGGCCCGGACCGTCGCCTGTGGGCGCCATTCTTCCTGCGCCGCCCGATCATGCTCGTCTTTTTGTTCAGTTATCTAGCATGCCTAGGTGCGCTCGTTGCGCTGTATGCATACACTGAACGCCAAAACCACACCCTGGGAATCAAAACAGACGGAGACACACTCTACTATCTCTGGACCTATGGACCGACCGCAGGTAGGCAGATCTTCTGGTCGCAATTCGGCTGCTAATAGGGCGACAGTGTTTACAATTCTCACTGCTGGGTGGCTACAAGCTGAATATCGCGCGGCACAGTTGATGCCCTGGATTCTGATGCGCCGGGGCCCGACTGCCGCTTCACACAGCATATTCCTTGACTATCTGTCTAAATGGAATGTGATATCTCTGTTCGATTCTCTGAAACAAAAACACTTCCTGGTGTCTCTGTGCGTGGCAGGCTCCCTCATTCTCAATGGAGTCACGGTGTTTTCCACCGGTGTTTTCGAGTTGGACTCGGTGCTGCTCACCCAGCCGACGAATATAACAGTCCTGAATCAGTTTGGTGCAGCTGGCTATAGCCCCTTGGAAAAGAATGCCAAGCCCTTCGCAGCCTGCATGGCATACACGAATCGCAACATGACACTCCCTGCTGGCGTCCACGGGAACTACACCTATACACCATTTCAACCAGCCAGCTCCTATTCGAGCAAGAATAGCACCATTCCCGCGGGCCGAACCTACCAAGCAGATATTGAAGTGATCAGTCCGTCTTTTGACTGCCAGAATGCGACGATCTCTTGGGAGCCATCAAACGAGAGATTTGTCACCGGCGACACAGCAGTATACAGAACCGCCGACGGATGTCGTTACCAAACGACTGACACACCCCTTGTGTTTCTGAATACTGACTCTAAGATTGGTGTCGATGTTGAGATCAGAGGATGTCAAGGCCAAAGAATCAACGACACTGGAAGCGCGGACCCCCCGTTTATTAACGATTGGGATGCCGACTTGCGAATCTGGGCAACCATTGCCCCTTCTCCGATGCTCAACATGTCGGTGAAAGAACAAGCAAACTATACAGGATTCAGCCGAGATCCAATCCACATCTCGGTGTGCAAACCCCGATACACTGCACAACGAGGCCCGGTGAGGATCTGGCGTGACGATGGAGCGAGTGCAAATTCTGTGGACATTGAACCAGAGAGCCTGAATGCTACAAGCACTATCGCGGGTGTACAGGCTACAAAGCTGATGTATACTGCCCAAAAATCTTTATCAACAGGGGCTCTTATGGTCTCAAGCACTGCGGGAGACCAGTATGTTTTCGCAGCAAACGACACCTCACGAGAGAAACTTTGGACCGACACGGCCCTCTTTGAACGAACCATCTCGGATGGATTCTCCTGTATGATGCAGCAAGTGGTAAAGAATGATCTGTTACAAGACAAGCCATACCATATCGATGGAACCGTGCAATTTACGGAGGATCGACTTTTTGTGCGCCAAATGTCATTCTGGCTAATGGCGGTACTATTGACCATTCTCATCACGATCGTCGTGATTCTTCTGTGCTTTTTTGTGCCAGTTGCTGTTTGCCCGCGAGATACAGGGTCAATTGGAGGCATGGCTACCATTCTTGCTCAAAGTCCCGAGTTCATGGCCGGCTTTGAAGATTCGCAATTCCAGACAGAGCCGCAGATGGCAGCGTCCAGAATAAAACAGACACAGTATAGCGCCGTGACCGACATGAAAGGGAAATTCACGATCGTGCCACAGGATCAGCCCGTACAAGAGGTCGGACCCAGTGAAAGCGAGAGCTCACCAACGTGGTGGCACCCGTTCGCATCTACCTGGTTTATTCGAATTGCAGTGATTCTCTTCCCCATTGCTATCATCGTTAGTCTCGAAGTCGTCTACTATATTTCTACGAGTAGGCGTGGAATTACCCTCGTTGACGGGAAATCACCCTACATTCACTATATCTGGGTGTACATACCAGCGCTGGTAATGTTCACAAATCGCTGCCTCTTCACATCTGTGGAGTTTGGCACGCGCATTGTCCAACCGTACTCTACGCTCCGCAAGGGCTCTGCTCCTCCAGAAACGACGATCTTCGAGAACCAGCTGCGGAAGATCGCCGTGTATGGGGTGTTTGATACACTCCGAAAAAAGCAGTGGGCACTCGCTGCAGCCACCACATCTCTGCTTCTTGCGGCAATCAACCCCATCGTTGTCTCCGGCCTCTTCACCACCAAGGTCTCGGGGCCTACATCTCCTATGAATCTCACGCAGATCACTCGTTGGGATCTGGGATATCCTGACAACCCAAGATTGACGATGGACTACTATGAGCAGAAAGACTACAACACCGACCACGCTTCCGGGCTAATCCTCAACCTGAACCTCTCTGATCCCCAATGGACATACCACAATCTTGCTTTCCCGCAATTTTCACTCGCCAGCACCAACCCACCGAATGAAGGATTTATCGATGTGCGCATTCCTGCTCTCCGTAGCCACCTCGCTTGCGCAGAAGCCCCCAAGAATGCCTGTAAATATTCCAGGGGAAGTTTGTGGTGTGATAATAACTCCACCTGCTTCTTACCACTTTCCACCAGGATCACTGCCGAGATAGACTACTTTCTCCAACCGTCAGAGCAAGCCACGAAGAATACTGGACTGTCAGTATGCCCGACGTATGGGATGCTATATGGAAAATACGCCAACGCAAGCCACACAGAAGCCACCGAGTACCATTACATATATTGCAACGCGAGCTTGGAAGAGGTCGACGTTGATACACGACTGCAGCTACCGTCTCTGTCAATCGACACCGACTTCCCACCAAGGGTGATCGAGAGCTCAGTCCGAGAACCGTTCGACACCAATGCGTGGTCTCTCCCGCATTTCAGCGAGCTGAGCAACGACTATTTATTCGACGGGGATGAAAGGTACAACAATGCCTTGCTAGAGACACTGATCCAAGGCAAAGACGGCATTCCAGGGGACGAACTCCTTGCCCCCGGAAAGCTGATTGAGCGCATGAAGGTAGTCTATGGCACCATCGTGGCCCAACTACTGAATACCGGTGCGCGGAGCGATTTTAGCGACTCGTACAACAAAACTCACTTTGTCGAGCCGGCAACCATGAAAGCACCCACTTATACAGGTGTCTTCCAAGACGGACGGAAATACCTCGTACAGAATGAGATCTCGACCCGCATTTTGGACGGTGTGCTTGGTGGTATGGTTGTTTGCGCACTGATCGCGCTGTGTGCTATTCAGACGAAGCGAGTTCTTCCCAAGAGCCCGACTAGCATTGCTTCAGTGGCGAGTTTCCTCTACGGTTCGCGTCTTCTGGGATCTGTCATTCCCCGCGGCGCAGAGTGGGATTCTGACGCGACACTGAAGAAGCGGGGGATATTTGAGGGATCGTTTTCAATGGGATGGTGGGAAGTGGACAGACAGACTAGTCGTAGGAACTCCGATGTCTCTAGTATCTCCGGTGTGTCGGATGAGATGCATGAGCGTGGTGCGATGGAAGAGTCAACATCCCGGACTCGATTTGGGATTGATGCTGATCATGAAGATTGGCCGTTGCTGCGAAGTCCTCGAAGTTAATTCAATTGATACTGTTTGTACTGTAGACAATACATTGCGAGATTGACAGAAATGCAAGTCGAGCGGAGGAATCAGAAGGCGGAGATTGATAATCGGGGCCGAGCTCTCGGAGTCTGCGGAGATACTCATTCGGCGCATTTGCAGTTGTTCTCTTATTTCTTTCTTATTTCTCCCATATGTCTCCTCACTTTCACTTGACTCACTCGTTTACTCTGTTGCATCCATGAGACTCACCTTCGCGCAGTCGCTAATGCGCACCTGGGCCCCGCGATGTCAACGCACGGGTCCGGTTCGCCGCATGTCCAGCACAACGATCCGCCGCAGCAGGTTACGGGCACGGCTGGAAATTCCTCCTCCGTTTCCAGTCACTAAGAGCTGCCCCGAGTCCAGCTGCAACTGCCCACCCACCCCGGACATGCCAAGGGGCATGCCGATTGATCACGAGCAAGCATTGAATGGAACAATGGCGGCGTACACAGAACAGCTATTGGTCTGTACTGGACAGCAGGATTGGGCCAGTCGCATTGAAAATGACGGCGAGAACCAAGGCTGGGGAAATCTCGTGAGAGGCTTGAAGAAGCTACTCGGTCGCGGAGGCCCATATCTCGACGCATGTGAACCATTTTCCCACGAAAGCAGTCAACATCTAACCAATGCGCCCTCTTAGCCTTTCAACAATGTTCTCGTTACAGCTTCGTCAATTGCGCCTGCAACAAGCTCTTCCACCGCGGCTTCGGCATTTTTGTTTCCAAGTTTTAAGTACATACCTTCGATACCCGTCGACAATCACGCCCACCAAACCGGCCTCACGACCTTTGTTCGCGCATATCTTCTCCCCAAACGCCTTCATGACATGCACGCCTCACTCCCCGTAGCCAAGCAAGTGGACATGACTCGTTTCCCGGACCTACAGGGACACTTCCCCGACGCAGTGGACATTAACTACTCTCCCACCATTTTGATCTGTGGACATGGAGGGCGCGACATGCGTTGTGGTACTATGGCGCCTGCGCTGGAAAGCGAATTCCAACGGGTGCTCCAGGCCCGTGGTTTTACTTCGGCGAACAGTGAGGGAACTACAGTGGATGCTCCGAACCATGCCCACATCGGGCGCATCAGTCATATTGGAGGACACAAGTACGCAGGCAATGTGATTGTCTATCTTCCCCCAAAGATGACGATTGGCGGCGGCACAGAACCTCACCCGCTTGCAGGGAAAGGAATATGGTATGGGCGCATTGAACCTAAGCATGTGGAGGGTCTTGTTGAGGAGACCGTCCTTGGTGGCAAAGTGGTGACAGATCATTTCCGGGGGGGCATTGACAGAAGTGGTGATATTTTACGAATGTAGGCCAATGGCCATAAAAATGTACGAGTACAATAGGAATAATGCAGCATCTCCGAAAGTCAACAGCAATGGAACGTATGTCACGCTAGTCCCGATCTGGCCTAGTCCTATCAAGCTCCGGGGGAATTTGAAGATGCGCCAACTCGTACTTTGCGCAAATATGGCCTGTTCACACCCTGCCCGTGATCTCTGCTCATGATCTCCAGAATATAATCAGCAATGCAATCCCTGCTCCGACATCGAATGACTGGCGCCCTGGCGCAGAGTCGACTCTGCGCGCGCCCGACTCGTCTTTCGCCAACATACACCCTCACCCGCCTCGCGAGCTCACAGCCCCGCCGGCTAGACCTTCCAGCTCTTGATAAGAAATGGCAGTCCCTGTGGCAAGCGAAGGAACGGCCAACGCCCGATGATGCGAAGCCCAAGTCCTACATCCTATCCATGTTCCCATACCCATCTGGAACGCTCCACATGGGCCATTTGCGCGTCTACACAATCTCAGATGTGATTTCACGATTTTGGAAGATGCGCGGGCATGATGTCGTTCATCCCATGGGATGGGATGCCTTTGGGCTACCGGCAGAGAACGCGGCAATCGAGAGAGGCATTGATCCTGCGGTGTGGACACAGGAGAATATTCAGAGGATGAAGGACCAACTTAAGTGTATCTCGGCGGAGTTTGACTGGGACCGGGTACGTGGCAAGAATTCAATTTGAAGACAATGGCTGATGGAGTTAGGAATTGGCTACCTGTGATCCGGAGTTCTACGAACATACACAGCGTATATTCTTGATGCTCTACCAGAAGAATTTGGCTTATCAGGCCGAAGCACTGGTGAACTACGATCCGGTGGATAAGACGGTCCTGGCGAATGAGCAGGTTGACGCGAATGGCTTTTCCTGGAGGTCCGGCGCTAAGGTTGAGAAGTTGAACTTGAAGCAGTGGTTCTTCCGAATCACAGAATTCAAAGAAGCGCTGCTGAAAGATCTTGACTCTCTCTCTGGGGGCTGGCCCGAACGTGTCTTGACAATGCAGCGCAACTGGCTTGGAAAGTCATATGGCGCGAAAGTCACATTCCCGGTCACCATCAACAGCGCAGGAAGTGAGAAGGTGAATGTAGATGTTTTTACCACTCGACCGGACACATTATATGGCGTGGAATACCTTGCGCTTTCTTTGAATCATCCTATCGTGCTGAAGGCTGCTGAAAGTGACGAAGCTCTGCGCAGTTTCTTAAGCGAAGCCGCGTCGTTTGCACCGGACTCCAAGGCAGGATACCGACTGTCTGATGTTAAGGTGACGCATCCCATGTGCAGCATTGACATGGAAACTCCCCACCTGCAGAGGAAGCTTCCCGTATTTGTGGCGCCATATGTTCTAAGCGACTATGGCGAAGGAGCGGTCATGGGTGTTCCGGGCCATGACACCAGAGACATGCTTTTCTTCAAGGAAAACGCAAACCCAGAGTCTATTCCAGTTGTCATTGAAGCTGAGTCAAGTGGCAGTGAAGCGACCGACAGCGTGGTTCCGAAATCAGACAAGGCTTTTACCCAGGAGGGATTCTTGAACTCGCGCTGTGGGAAGTACCAAGGAATGCACTCCAAGGAGGCCTCGAAACTGATCGTCGAGCACCTGGAACAAATCGGACAGGCCAAATTTGTTGAGAGTTGGCGTTTGCGCGACTGGTTGATCAGTCGTCAGCGCTACTGGGGTGCACCAATTCCCATCATCCATTGCGGTGACTGTGGACCTGTGCCAGTGCCCACTAAAGATCTTCCAGTCAAGCTACCAAAGATCGAAGGAGATTGGCTCAAGGGCAAGAAGGGGAACCCCCTGGAAACCTCAGAGGAGTGGCTGCACACAAGCTGCCCCTCTTGCGGCGGACCTGCAAAGCGCGATACGGACACCATGGATACCTTCGTGGACTCTTCTTGGTATTTCCTGCGATTCTTGGACTCGACCAACAAACAGCTTCCCTTTTCTCCCGAATCGGCACAACCAGTCGATTTCTACATTGGGGGCGTGGAGCATGCAATCCTGCATCTCCTCTATGCTCGATTCATCTACAAATTCCTTTCTGGGTCAGAGCTGTTCCCGGCTGGACAGCCTGCCGGCGCAGAGCCCTTCAAGGTCCTTTTGAGCCAAGGCATGGTGCACGGCAAAACCTTCACTGAACCTTCGACAGGGCGCTTCCTTCTCCCAGAAGAGGTTGATCTCACACGCCCAGACAAGCCCCTGATCAAGGGAACGCAGGTCACGCCCACTATATCTTTTGAAAAGATGTCAAAGAGCAAGTACAATGGCGTGGATCCTACGTTGACCACATCCAAATATGGCGCCGATGCCACCCGCGCGCATATCCTATTCTCTGCGCCGGTCAGCGAGGTTCTGGAGTGGGACGAAAGCAAAATTGTGGGTGTCGAGCGCTGGTTTGGTCGACTCTGGAAGCTCGTCCAAGATACTCAGCAATCCCTGACCAGTTCCTCGTTTGCCACTTCCGATGTGGAAGCCGCCAGTAGCCAGGCTACTTTCCTGCCATCCTCTCTCCAGGATCTGAGCGATGCCGATGCCGAAGCCATCCTGGCCACTCACAAAACCATCGCATCAGTCACGACCTGCATCGAAAGCAATCCGTACGGACTGAACACAGTTGTGTCAGACCTCATCAAGCTAACAAACGCGCTCGCCTCGGCGCCCGCGTCCTCTCCTGCCATTACTTACCTCTCTGTCTCTTCTCTCCTTCGTTTGCTAGCCCCCATTGCCCCGGCTCTAGCTTCGGAGTCATGGGAGGTTCTGCACACCAGCAGTGCGGCATCGTCAATTCTCTCATCACCCTGGCCTAGCACACTCCTTACAGAGGAGCAAGTTGAAGTGCTCTCTTCTCGTGGAGGCCAAACGGTCGCTATTCAGATCAATGGAAAACTCCGATGTGCGGTTACCATCCCGAGCATGGAGCCAGCGTCCCCGCAGAGCAAGAAGGGCCCCTCTCAGGAAGAACAGGACTGGATTCTCAGTCGGGTTCTGGAGACTGCCGAGGGTAAGTCGTGGCTTTGTGAGAAGAATGACTGGGAGAAGAGGCGACGAGTGATCGTTGTCAAGGGGGGCAAGCTAGTCAACGTTGTCTTCTAGCCTCACTACAGGTGAGATTGTATTTATAGATTAGACTGTACATTATCTGAGCTATAGCATAGAGCTCCCCTCTCTCTTGGTCGCCCCTTCAATCAGCGTCCGAAGCAATCCATAAATTTCCATGGACATGGAGCCCAAGCTGGGCCAGTAAGGTAAAAAAGCAATCAAATCTTGCTCGTGGGTATCTTATTGTGGCATATCATCCACCAACTTCACTCCCTTCTCTATCTCGCCCTGGCTGCTGCGGCTCTAAAGGGAAACTCAGGTGTTTCCAGTCCTCAATTTCCTCAATAATACACTTCAATCGATCCCGGATACTCTCCACCGCATATGTCCCCAGAATCAGCCTCAGAGGCGGATATGAGCAATGACCAAGTTGCCAGACTAAATGAGCCGCTTTGACAGCACTAGCGGGCTGCTTGTCACCCAACCACATCAGCATTCGTCGGGCATGCGCAGCAGGCGACGTAGAAGTGTTATACGGCTCACTGGGCGGCTTCACCAAAAAGTGACCATACAGCGGCAAGGGGGACGACAGATTCTGCTCCGGATTCGCCGCCATAGCAGAAGGAGAGACAAGGTCCGCGATATCGTCACGACGCATATGCCCCGGCTCCACGAGCGTGCCCTTGATATTGAAGCTGTCAACCTCATAAAGCATACTCTCCATCAAGCCCTCGACCGCATACTTAGAAGCACAATAGGGACCAAGACCGGGGACGCCCAGCGCACCAGAAGTAGAGCTGAAAATCAGGTATCGACCGGCGCGTCTCTGGCGGAAGTGCGGCAACGAGAGTTGAATCATATTCAAAGTGCCTGTGAAATTCGTTTCGAACTGATTACGAATGTCGAATTCGTCCTGGTCTTCACAGGCTCCGATAACGCCATATCCTGAACAATTGGCAATCACGTCGATATGGCCGAAGCGCGCGATGGTGGCGTCAATGACTCGTTTGACGGTTTCGCGGGCCCGGACATCGCAGAGAAGACCCATGCAGTTCTCGTGTTCGGATTCGAGCTCTTTCATTGCCTCGGGGCTGTTCTCGTATGTGCGCCCTACTGCGGCTACAAGATCGTTATGAGATAGAGCGGTCTTCACGAGGGAGCGACCCATATGGCCGGTTGCGCCGAAGATCTGACGTCGTGTTAGTGAAGGGCTGAAGGGCGGCGGGGAAGGAACACATACGAGCCATACGAGGGGTTTGGGGGGATTTTGAGGGCCTGGAGGATCCGTTGTTGAAGGGAGATGAAGTCTTGGCTCTGCGGGAGAGGAGGGCCCTCCTTTTGGAGATGTCTGGTCCATTGCTGTCGAAGGGAAGAGGGAAGTTCTCCGCATGCTCCCCACACTATGCGGGCGGTGAGGATCGGCTTTTATATTTGGACTCTTCCGAGGTTTCCACTATACTGATGGTACTTGATCGACTGTTTAAGATAGTGATTCTACCTGTTCTACTTGCTATATTGACCAATTTATACTATTGGATTGTGTAATGTAATTGACCATTATATGCCTAACGACCAACCTCCCGTCGCAGCCGTCCCGCAGCCGTCGAGGGTCCTGGTTCCGGCCAACTGCTCACTGCATCATCGACCTCCTCTAAGAAGGTCGTACTATTGTGAATTGAGGTACCGCTCAAGACCACCCGGACACCTGGTGAGCTTGCATTGACCTGGGCAACCATCTTGGCCTCCTCATAGGTGACACCACCAACCATGAAGATGATAATATCCTGTGGCTTGTCGCGCGTGTGCCCACTGCCTTCCAAGAAGGGATATTGGAGTTCTTTCAGGCGACCTTTGATCAGGTTCTGAATAGTTACTTCCAACCGGGGGGAATGTTGGGTATAAACATTCTCGACGCCCTTGAGGCCCTTGAAACGATCACGCGCACCAGAGAAGAAGGAGGTTGATTCAAAGAGATCGGAGAATCCCCCAGCAACGGGGGGAGCTTGGAGAGAATGGTGATAAGTGAGGAGCTTGGGAATTAGGTTGACGCGGTTAGAGGGGACGTCGCCTGCTGTCACGAGCAGGTCGAGGAGGATAGGTAGGGCGTGGTTGGGTTGTTTCTCATAACGAAGAGCATAGAGGGCTACTAAGCGCAGCTTGTTGTCTGCCTGCACATTGGGCAGTCCGATAATTCGTTGGAGGGACTAGAAGTAATGATGAGTGAAGGAAACGAATGCTGGCTTAAAGTTCCACCGTACCTTGAGGTCATTGGAGTGGTTATCACTGCATGCAAGACTTTGTTCTAATTCACTCACGTCGAGGAGGGTGTTCTCCCCGACTTGCCGACTGAGTTCGCCGACGAGGGTAACGTGCTTGCTCACATTGCCGGCCAGCTTGCGGAACTCCGGGTAGTCCTCCACAAAGCGTTTCATATCGGTGATGGATTCGATATTCGCCGTACTCTGCGTTTTTGTCTGATACTGCTCCACATATTCTTTAATATTCTGACCCAGGTCTCCGAAGTTCTGGTACATGTTCTTCTTGAAAAACGGATCTTGATCCTGAGCCAGGACGATCTCCTTCAGCTCGGGCCGGATCTCGGGGACATCCTGTAGATCAACACGACCATTGTTGATGCCAAGCATTTCGTGGACCATTGCCTGATACGTCCACTGGGTCAGCAGTGGGGTGATGGGATCGTCGCGGCGGTCGAGCACAAGCAGGATAGGCGGTGTATCCGTCCGGCGGAAATTAAACAGCTGTTCCTCTTGTGTGATATGGTATCGGACCTCGGTGGCTAGCTTGCGGGCCAGCAAGCTGTTCTTCTCGTATCGAATGAGCGGGTTCTTCTTCAACGCCAGTAGCAGCGCCAGCGCGCCTTCCGTCGCTCTCTGCAGGGAGTCCGGATTCCACAGGTCGGGCGAGTGGCTCCATATCCTCTGCAAGGGGAAGCCCATGCCCATCGAGCAAAGGTCTGGGTTGGTGACCAGGAAGTCGGCAAATTGTTCTTGTACCAGCTGCACGACTTCATGGCTATCCGCTTCGGCCAATCGTTCGAGGGCGGACTTCCGGATAATGTTGCTCAGAAAGATATAATATTCGCCGTATTTCGGCTCGCGTAGCTCGTCGATCAGGAACTGGATCGAGGTAGGGGATGGTCGTACAAAGCATATGCACCGCAGATGGCGCATCTTCTCGCGCGCGGCATTGTCCAGGCGGTCGATCAGATAGACCTCGTGATTGAGGAGAGCGGACTGCGTGATTGCCGTTGAGACGATTGGGACCTGTGACCGGTTAGCTTCTGATCGGTCGACTGTCAGCTGTGATTCCCACCGTCTCACTGTCCAACAGGAGGATCTTCATCTTGGATGCCGCAGTCGCCTCCCCCACGGTGACCATCTTGGAGATGTACCCCGAGGCTGCTGTGACGACGTCCATGGCGCGTCGAGAAGAGACAGCACCAAAAGATAATTAGCAGTAGCAGTAACAATCGAGGCAGAGAGTAACAGTGCGAGTCCAGGAATAGTGTTCAGGAACGGAGAAGTGGAGAGTGGAGAGCGGGAAGTTGAGTCCGCATTCCACATGACTTCTTTTTTGGTTTCTCTTTTCCTCCTCTGTTCTTGTCCCTGTCTTTGCTTGTTTGTGCTTTGGTCTGGCTTCGAATATGCTACCTTATGTAGACCAGGGTGAGTACCTCCAATACCTTGCAACCTCGGTCACTAACATCCCCGCAGTATTCGAGCTGCCAGCTCGGCTCACTGGCGCATCAATCGACGAGCGTAAGAGCTATCACCTGGGCATTGATCAACAACCTGACCTCTTTCTGACCTCTCTACAGTCAAGCTTATCGGTTCTTTCCTTCTATCCTACCCTCTAGCAGCTCTTCTCAAACGTATTCCCGACGCCCAGCCCTGGAAGAAGAATGTCTTCATCATCGGAGTCTCGTTGTTCTACCTCGTGGGACTCTTCGATCTCTGGGATGGTCTACGCACCTTGATGTACAGCGCCGCCGGAACCTACGCCATCGCATACTATGTGGACGGATCGCTGATGCCTTGGATTGGGTTTTTGTTCTTGATGGGCCACATGTCGCTCAACCACATTTTCCGCCAGATGGCGGACGATGGCGCGACGGTGGATATCACGGGCGCCCAGATGGTTCTCGTTATGAAGCTCACCTCTTTCTGTTGGAACGTGCACGATGGCCGTCTCGCTCAGGAGAAGCTGTCGGACCCGCAGAAGTACTCGGCCATCACCAAGTTCCCCGCCATCGTGGACTACCTGGGCTATGTGATGTTCTTCCCCTCCCTTTTCGCTGGACCATCATTCGAATATGTGGACTACCGTCGCTGGATCGACACGACATTGTTTGATGTGCCCCCCGGCACCGATCCATCCAAGGTTCCCGCAACCCGAAAGAAGCGCAAGATTCCTCGCAGTGGAACACCCGCTGCGAAGAAGGCAGCCGTCGGACTCATCTGGATCTTGATATTTATTCAACTAGGCTCATACTTCACCACCGACTTCCTGCTGTCTGAAGCCTTCCTGCGGTACTCTTTCCTGCGCCGCGTGTTTACCGTGCACATGGTGGGCTTCACCGCACGCACCAAGTACTATGGTGTCTGGGCTCTGACCGAAGGCGCATGTATCCTGTCTGGTATGGGATACAACAGTTTCGATCCGAAGTCTGGTAAGGTCTTTTGGAACCGACTGGAGAACGTCGACCCCTGGGGTCTAGAGACAGCCCAGAACTCCCACGCTTATCTGGGCAGTTGGAACAAGAATACCAACCACTGGTTGCGGAACTACGTTTACCTCCGCGTGACGCCGAAGGGCAAGAAGCCTGGTTTCCGTGCTAGCATGGCTACCTTCGCTACCAGTGCGCTGTGGCACGGTTTCTACCCGGGATACTACATGACTTTCATCCTAGGATCTTTCATCCAGACCGTCGCAAAGCGTATGTTGAAACATTGACACCCTCCAATATCAAATACGAAGAGCGTCGATTGCTAATTATTAAACAGACTTCCGCCGCTACGTCCGCCCCTTCTTCCTGACTCCGGATGGACTGAAGCCCATGGCGAACAAACGCTACTACGATATTCTCAGCTGGCTGGCCACCCAGCTGACGCTTTCTTACGCCGTGATGCCATTTGTCCTTTTGAGATTCAACGAGTCCATGACCGTCTGGGGCCGGGTGTATTACTATGGTATCATCAACTGCGCCGTCTCACTTGTCGCATTCGCCTCATTCTCCCCGCTCAAGGGCCACCTTGTTTCCCGACTCAAGCGTCGCAACAAGCCCCACGTTGGTCGCACCGCCAGTACCGAGTCTGTTCGTCCACCGGTCCTCGGTCTACCCAATGACCCCGAGCGCGACTTCGATGAGGCCGTTGCGGAGATCAAAGCCGAGATTGAAAACCGAGGCCGCCGTGGCAGCACCGTTACCATGCCTACCGGTGATGACTTGAAGGCTGCCGTGGAGCAGAAGATTGGACGCAAGCTATAGATAGGTTAAGCAGAATCTGGTCTGCTTGAAATTGGGCTGTAATTCAGGAACGCGGGGTCGTGACGGAGAGATCGGAATTGGAGTCGACCGTGTCGTAAAACAATTTTGACAGATCCATAACTATAATTAGGGTCGAGTTGATCTCTTTCAGGTTTGCTGTCGTGTTCAATTAGTCTTGAAGAGTGTTCTGGAAGGATTGGCTCTCTATTCACTGGGATTGTACTCCCGCGAGTGTCGGGCACGGAGTAGAGAAACTGTTCAGCGGAGGGTATTAATCAGTAGTAAAACCCTCCGACGCTTTGAAATGATCAAGATGGCGGAATCACAAAGGTGAGATTGCTAATATGGCAACATGATGGCGTGTCGCAGCGTGCTCTTCGGTGCATATAACCCTACTTTCCCCGCAGGTACGAAACCTTGGAATCTATATTCTTCGAGCTGCAAGATGGGAAGCATAGCACCAGTCAATCCTTTTGAAGACATCCCCGTGGGCCGAAAGGGTAGGTTGAACTGAGACACGTTGAACAAGGCTGACAATGCTCAGAGCCCCTCGAGGCCCTCGTCACGCAATTCCGAGCTGATACCGATCCCAATCGGACAAGTCTGCTCGTGGGCGTGTATAAGACCGATGAAGGGAAAGCATACGTGCTCCCAAGTGTCAAACAGGTATGGTTTCGGATTTCATCCCAGATGGACCAAAGCTAAGACATCTATCTTCCAGGCCAAGAAACGAATCTTCAATGATCCCGAATGGCATCATGAGTACCGACCTTCTGCTCAAGGCTCCCAAGCTTACAGAGACTTGAGTACCAAGCTGCTCTTTGGTCCAGATCACCGCCTCGTGCGCGAGAAAAGGTACAAGCCCTTCACGTTCAGAAGATAGGACAACAGCTTAACAGCTATACCAGGATCGTGTCGACGCAGACACTCGGCGCAAGTGGCGGATGCCATGTTGGTGCGGCTCTTCTGAAGAGCCACTACGGGCCGTGGAAACAGAGCGGAAATGCCGAGATCTTCCTTCCCAGCGAGACCTGGTTGAACCATCCTTATGTGTTCCAGGCTGTAGGGATCAAGACCAGTTTGATTCCGTACTTCAGCAGCAAGACGAACTCGTTTGATTTCGAGCAGTTTGCCGACACCCTCAGATCCTTGCCGCCTCAGTCTGTGATTCTCCTTCAATCTGGAGCTCAGAACCCAACCGGGAGTGACCCAACATTGGACCAATGGCGAGAGCTAGCTTCTATCTTCTCTGCACGGGGTCATTTGGCATTTTTCGACGCTGCGTATCCCGGCTTTGCATCGGGAGACATTGACGAGGACCTCGCAAGTGTTCGGCTTTTCGCCGAGCAAGAGATCCCCTTGGTGTTTATTTCCACTTACGGAAAATCCTTTGGGCTTTACAGTGAGCGAGTTGGAATTCTCTCCGTACTCGCTTCCAACGAGGAAGTTGGGAAGAGAATCGAAACACAGTTGAAACTACTAGCACGCGCCGAGACTGGTTCGCCGCCTGATTTTGGATCTAAGATTGTCGAGACGGTTCTATCGGATGAGGTCTTGGAGCGCCAGTGGCGAGGAGAAGTGCGCGATATGGCCAATCGACTTAAGCATCGTCGACGTGCGCTGAGAGAAGGATTGGAGAAGTTGGAGACACCAGGTAACTGGGAACATCTCACTGATCAGAATGGAATGTTCTCGTAAGTATCACCAGATGAGGTTCCCTTCTGTTGCAGTCCATATTGACCTTTTTAGATACGTTGGCCTCTCCGTGGAGCAAGTCACTCTCCTGCGGGAGAAGTATCATATTTATCTTCAGGACTCCGGGAGAATTTCTATTGCGTATGTTCAATACGCATTTTTCAAGGAAACTGGAACTAATATCTTTCTGTCTCTAGTGGGCTAAACGATTTTAACATTGACTATGTTGTTCGCAGTATCAGCGAGGTTGTTAAAGCGACTAAATCTTGAGGTTGCCTTGTTGTCGGTGAAAAGGTGGGAGACTAACTTTGGAATTGTAGCATAACGTCTATTGTCTGTCGATATAGGACCCCGAAGCGAGATGTTGTTACTGCATGAGTGATAGCGATAGAAAAAACCTCCCATTTGAAACTAGTCAAATTAAGTTAATAATTAGGCAGTAAAACCGAAAAGTCTTGATCGTCCTGTGCAGAACGTTGAATCTGTATGATCCAAGCAACAAACGACGAGATGAGCAGTAAGGTTCACTTCCAAGATCTGGCCAAAGCCAGATCATGCAACCTTGATAGAAGCCCGTTCGCTGAGCGGCACATCAACATGAACCACAAGCTTCTTATTCTCAGCATCGTATTCGGCATCATCGAGATTCTTTGGCTTCTTGTCCACACCAAAAACGGTAACCGCCTCAATAGAAACGCCAGCCTCATATTCAAACGAGCCAGTCATGCTGAGCTTGCCATGCGCGTAGCTAAAATCAATCTCAGACACGGCATCCTGCACAACAGACTTGCCGTCATCGAGGTAGAGCGAACCCTCGGCACGACCATCGAGACCAGGGGCAATCACGATGTTGAAGCCCTTCTTGCGCAGGGCGGTGGTGGTGTTGGCGCTCTCGATACGCTGGGGGTAGACGATGCCACCCTTGTAGTGGACTGTGATGTCGGTGTAGTCGACCTCAGCAGAGAGGTACTCGCCGTGTCCGCGGACGGGCTTGCCAGTCCCCCACTCGTAGAAGATGTCATCGGGGAGGTAGTAGCTCAGGGATGTGCTGTTTTCCTCTGTGACAGGGCTGACGAGAATGCCGTCACCGTAGAAGAATTGAAGGTCAATGGGGTAAGTGTTGGGATCACTTGGGTAGTTAAAGAACAGAGGGTTGAGGGTTGGAGTGCCGGTCTGGTTCTGCTTATAGATGGCTGTGTAGATATAGTCGACTAAATCATTGTCAGTACTGAAGGCGCCAGAGAATGGTTGATGGATGTGCATGACTTACGAAGCTGGTACCTGATAGCGATTCCTTTGCGCGCAGCCTCCGCGACTGTCGGCCAGCGGTAAAATTCCTGAGGATCCGCAGAGATTTCGGCATGGTTGCGGAAGAAGGTGTAGAAAGAACCAAGAGATGCCCATCTATAAAATCATTTTCGTTAGAGTAGCTCCATTTACTGTGCGGAGTGATCGGCTGCTTACCTGGCACAGAGCGTCTCCGTGACATTACCACCAAATCCGCAAACATCAGGACCCACGACAGGGACTTGGTACAGAGATGCAAATTGCAAAATCTGACTGATGGAAAGACGGTACCAGAGCCACCCAGAAATGTTATCTGTACAGTATTTAGCATGAAGATCATGGTTTTATCCGATGGTCGGAAATCTTACCTCCAAGCCAGTGGGACACGTCCTTTCCAGAGCCAGCGAAAGTGCTTCTGGTAATGACCAAGGCGCGATCATCCGGACGTCTGGCACGCATGGCATTGTGAGAATGCGAGGACATCATAGCACCGTACAGATTGTGAGTATCATATTGAACGTATCCGCCGCTCTGCACGAGGTCGGTATCGGCGGTACTGTCTGCGAGTGTAGGTCCAGCGCCATTCTGGATCATGAAAGGAGGTCGGATGAAAACGCGATTGGGAAGACCCTTGCACTCGTCAGGTCCACATCCAGATCCAGTTTTCCCACCGTGCTGCCAGCCGGCCTTTGATGAAGCGTCGGGGGACCTGGCGGAGCGCCAGTGGCCAGCACCGAGGTTACGACGCGAGTGAGATTGGGGTTGACGCTTTTGGGCCACAGATTCGGCACGCTTCTGGTTCTTGTTGCCGGAAGCAAAGTTCGGCTGAAGGCTGTCTGGGAAACCGGGGATGGGGGCATCTGGGCCATCGCGGACCGGTGGCGGCTTTGGGGGATCACCATCCACCTCGGCGAACTTCTCCGGGGTGGTGTTGTTGCCTGGGTATGGGCGGTTGTAGAAGTTGGCCGGCTCGTTCATGTCGATCCACAAAGCATCGATGTCTGGGCCATTCGTTCCGTCGAAGAACTCTACAAATTGCTCGGTCCAGTACTCCTGCGCCGAGGGGTGGAACCAGTCAGGGAAGTAGCTGGGTCCTGCCCAAACGACTCCCTGGTATTCGGAACCGTTCTTTTCCTTCATAAAGGCATCGTATTTGAGACCGGCATCAAGCGCGGGGTTGGATTCCTTGTAGAAGACGGCGGGATCAACCATCACGATGTAGTGCTGATCTCTTGCGTGAATGGTGTCCACCAGGTCCTTGTACAAATTGGCAGGGAATCTTTCCGGGTCAATGGTGAAAATGCGACGGCGGTCCATATAGTCAATATCCGTCCAGATAGTCTCCAGAGGAATATTGCTGGAGGAATAATTGGCAGTGACTGCGGCGACCTCGTAAACATCTTGGTAACCATATTTACATTGGTGATATCCGAGTCCCCAGTAAGGAGTCATCAATGGCAACTGGGTGATTTCGGCGTATTGCATAGCCACATCACGAGGAGAGGGACCGGCAATGAAGTAGAAGTCCAGAACACCGCCGATGATGTTGTACTCGAGGTACTGGCCACCCTTGTTGTCGATAAAGATGTCCATACCGTTGGAGTTGAGCAGGAACACTCCGTGAGTACCCTCCTTTCGGTGATCGAAGTAGATTGGGTGGGCACCGTACAGGTTCTCGCCCTGAGGTGTACCGTAGGCATCGCGGGTGTAGATCGTTCGAGTGTAATTAGTCGCGTTCAACATGAACGCGTCGCTGTGCTCGCCCAATCCATAAAGATGCGGGTTCTGTGGGAGATGGGTCTTGAGGTAGACATATTGACTCTCGAACACTAGCTTGTTGCCAGTGGTATCGAATAGCACCTCTCCGGTATCAGTGCGAGATACGGTGAAGGAAAAGGGGTCAGCCTTGAAATCGAACTTGAGCTTGGCGTTCTTGGGTGAGCACCATTGACCATATCCGGGACGCGGGAAGACACTGTCGGGCACTTGGTAGACAGTGTTGTTGGTGTCCAATATTTTGACGTGGAGGCGATCACTGGTCTGGTATTCTACTTCCAATTTTAGGTCGGGCAGATCCGTTCCGAACACATTGCATGCTGGTCCTGCAAGGGATAGCTCTGCGTAGAAACCAGACCGAGTCTCCCACTGCTTTGTCGCTTTGTATCCTGGACATGCAGACAGGTCTTTTTCGTAGAGGTCGTTACCAGGGGCATCAAGATCCTCGACACCAGCCTGGCTTTGAGCCCAGACGCCAGTGGTCAGGGCCAGAGCCGACGTGGCCAGCTTCTTGAAATGCATGCTGAAGACTTGGATAACAGAGGAAAGAATGTCGGTCAACCACCCTTATATACCTGTCCATTTCTCCAGGGTTCCCTTTTGCCAAGATAAACCGTGTTGTCCATGTGGAGACTGCAAACTGCAGCCCCGGCCACAATTCCCCCGCAGAAGGGGATACTAGACATTGCAAGTGACTCCGACTGTTCCACTCTGCGCAGCGGCCTTGGTTTCTGTCTCGCCGCTGTTGAGATCGGAGTGGGTAAAACCTTCTCCTCCGTCAACCGCAGTGGCTGGGGGATTTCCGCGATGAGGGCCGGAGTCGGATCACCCCACGCGAGATGCAGCGACGATCGTATTTGCCGAGTGCCCCGATAAAAGCCCGTTCCATGACGCGGGGGAGCGTAGTATCTCCAAGGATTCTTGGCATCCGCTCATCTCCGCCAAAAGCCCGTTGCGGGGCTCCCTTCCCGGGTGTGTTCTGAGGCGGGTCAGCCCGACCTCTTTCAATGTTGGATAGTCTTCCAGGATAACCTGATTACTACCGTTGTAGTTGATGAGTGTAGTAACCTGGGAAAGGATGCCGTACCACGTAAACACGAGACGGAGAAGGGTTCGACACCTTAGCCCTAAGGCAGCGACTGCAACTCGGCTTCTGTCGGGCCGACTTCTCGCTGCTCTCTCCCGTCCTCTCGCGACAGTCGGACCACCTGGGCAAGTCGCACAGCATGGATCATCCTCGTTCAGCCAAGTCGTCAGAGCCTAAGGCAAACATCCAACCGATGCCCTCGCATTTGTTGATTCAGAGTCCAGATGAAGACTGGAGAGGGATCACTGATCCCGTTGTGCGGAAAAAATTGCAGAACAAATTAAATCAACGTGCTCAAAGTATGTCTTTGGAGTCCGCTTTCCCCCACATAGTTAGCATGGTGGATTACTGACGCAGATTCACAGGAGCAAAAAAGAGTCTCCTGCGAGAGCAGAAGAAAGCTAGTCTCCAGTCAAAAACCAAACGCAAAGATGTTCTGATTCTACCACGTCCCAGCCAGGGACTGAAGACAAAACACTTCGCCCAGCCAGAATCTCTTGCAGAAGCAGTAGTCATGATGACTCAATTCAATGCCACTGCCTATGCCGCATATTATACCGCTAACCCGTGTCTCGACCAATTACTAACTCTGTCAAAATTCAACGTCCTTCGCGCCATCGTGGATAATATCAGTGCGATTGGACTGAGCTTCCAGCATATGGACGACGATGCCATCTCTCCATTCAATATGTCATATCCCAAATTTCGCGGAGATCAGATCCTCCCTGCCAGTCTTTGTCCAACCGCGGCTCAACGTTCCGTGCCTCATCACCCCTGGCTAGATTGTTTCCCATTCCCCCAGATGCGGGACAACTTGATTTTTGTCCCCGATACTTTTGACGATTGTACGCTCTGTGGGGATATCTTTGACCCTGCGAATGGAGAATTTGGGATGCTTGTCTGGGGGGACCCTTACCTTCCCCAGAGCTGGGAAGTATCCGAGTGGTTTATTCGAAAGTGGGCTTGGGTGATTCGCGGATGTCCGGAGCTCTTGCGATCGAGCAATTATTGGCGGGATAAACGGGGCTTGACGAAGCTGAATCTAAAAGGAATCCATTAGGATCTGACTATCAGACAATGCTGGAGCCACAGACAGACTTTGTGTCCTTTCACTTCATATCCAAGGTTTTGTTGGGTTAGCGACCACGATACAATTGTGGGGCAAAAGCTATGCGGTCCCCTACTTATGATTCCGTACTAGCCCGGCAATGGGCTCTGGGCTTAGGGCCCCATTGAAGGCCCGGTAAGTAGTAGTTAGCTCTGGGTTGGGTTGGGCCCTAAGCTCGAAGCCCATACTGGGCTGGGCTAGTGGCCGGAACCTCGGGCCCAACCCGACCCACTGCGGAAGTCTACCCCTACTCATCTCCTGGGAGCCTCTATGTAGCAAGGATTGAGCAAGGGCCATTGTAGTGATGTTCATGGGAACGCCTGTAAAGTATTCCAATTGAAATATTGCATTCCATTATCTCTTTAGTTGAATCTTCCTCAAAAGAAACCTTCAACTGTCCACACTATCGCTGCTATCTTGGTCCTTTAGATTTTGACCTTCAAGTTCAACATCAAGGCGCGCTTTCTCCATCACAGCAAGAGCCTGATTAAGACGCGATAGGGGGAGCGGAACACCACCAGCAGCAGCTTTATTTGATGATTCATTTTCGATGACTTCCACGAGCCTTGAATGCCAGAAATCCCATCTCTGAACGCTGAGCGGGGGGATGTCCGCGCACAATGGCCCGGGCTTCATAGATAGCGAAGTCTCAGAATCCAACTCTTCCTTGGAACTCATGTCCCGGAAGATGATGCTTCCACATCGGATCAACCACTCTGTTGCGGCCCAGATTTCGCATTCAAACACGGCTGCGTCTTCTACGACAGTCTCCAGCCCAGCGGCTATTTCCCAATAAGGAAGTATGAGCCATGGTGTAAAGTCCGGAGACAACAGGCGCGAAGCAAATGAGTTGAACTGCTTCCAGGCCTCGAGGTCCTCAGGTGTGTAGTCGTCAAGTTCTGTGGGGTCTTCTTTGATGTGAGAATGACGGGACAAAATTGGGGCGGGGAGCTCACCGGTCCATTTGTCAAAGAGATACATGCGGAGAAAGGGTAAGTCTTCCCATTTGAGCTTCAGCTGTTACTATGATGTCAGCTTGTCCAATCACTGCTTGGTGGTCACTGACATTACTGGCCGCGACCGTCCCACCTTCCCGCCGAAGCTCATCGACAGTTGCAGTGAGGATATCATGCCACGGATGATCGACAGGCACGTTGAGCACCACTTCCAGTAATATCATCCAGAGATACCAAAGATTTGTATTGGCGATGTTGAGAGATTCAGATCCCTGCGAGGAGGGATATTCCCGGAGGGAATTGGCCAGAGAAACCGGTGCTGCGACGGGGTCGACTTCAGACGTCAAGGCCTCGTTCATGATGTGAAGCATATCCGCTTCGCTTGGAGTCAGGTCATCCCGCTTTGAGGGATCGATCTCAATAACTTCCACCATGCTGGAGAGGTTGGTTCGAAACAGAGCGTGGAAGTGTGGAAGTGTGGTGAGTGTAGAAGGGAAGTTGCGAAAGGGGAGAAGTGTGCGAATTTGGTCGACGCCAGGCATCAAGACTCAAAAAATCATTTGGCTTTCACCTCTCAAAGGGCTTACTGTGTGCTAGAATACTAAGAGTATTGTAGTACGACTAACGGAAGTCGACATTATCCGCATCGACTTTGCCATTGCTGAGTTGAATAACCACTCACTCCCGCATCACTTCTGGAATACCTTCGGTCTTATGAACAGACTAAAAGCCTCGCAATACTCAATCTGCGTTGATTCAGTCATTAGGAGGACATTTCCCCTCTGCTCCCTTCTAACAATCTACTTTAATCCCACGAGAAGCTCAACATCCCTTTGATCCTTCACCAAGCGTGTGCTACCCGTGGACACTTTCTTGACTTACAAAGGCCGTCCACGTTCCAAGGTTGGCAACATGCCTACGTCCGAAAGTCACGACGAAGGTCGTGGGGGAGCTGCTGATACATCCGGTGTGAATGAGAACTCCGACTCACCAAAGCGAACCCCAACAGAGTCCTCATATGTGAATACTCATACTTGATCAGCTCCTTCTAACCAATGCTAACTTAAACTCAGTATGATTATGACGGTGTACTGTACGACGCGGATAACCCCAATGCCCAAGATTGGCACTATGCACGGGATGTGAGGGCCCAGGTCGAGGCAGCCGGCCCTCGATCTGGGTTCAAAAGCAAGAAACATCCCTCACATTTCGGGAGCAAGGGCGATACTCCACTAAGTCTATCGGCTTCGAAGCCCCTAACACATGTACCAATAACACCTCGAAGTTCGAAGCCTTACTCTGGGGGAGATCCAGGGGCTCACCGAGCTGTTTACAATGACAAGGATCGATCGAAGATTGATGTAATCTATCATGATCCACGAAAGCCAAAACGGCCAGGAGGGAAATACTCCGAATTTTCCAAGGCAAAATACGTTCCTCGATCTGCCAATAAACCTCTCACCAGTGTCCAGATAGCGCCGGAGACATCGACTTCATCCGAAGATGAGACCTCAGGGGAGGTGCGCCTCAACAACAAATGAGAATGATCGGGCAAAGATTGACAATATAAGCTGCCAGGGCTGAAACATTTAATCTTCTGCCATGTAAATTAGCAGAATACAATCCGTGTGAGCATGTGATTGCACCCATGTTGGTTCGAATTTCTGTAGTTATCTCAGTATCGAGCCGATTGTATATGTCAACTTCAGATTTTACACGCACTCTTACCTAGGTAGGTATAGTCTAATAGACAGTGCGGCTCCTTTCATATTTACTCCAGCCCCAGCAGGCCAACATTCCCAGGCTCGAAATTCACACTTTTAAAGTCTCAAAACCTTCCTCGGAGGTCCGGGAACAACGGCCGGGTCACCCCTATCGGCGCCCAAGCCCATCACAGATGTTGCAGCTACCTCCAGGGCTACACCCCGGATATCAGTTGATCAAACACACACACACACACACACACACACACACACACACACACACACACAAATCAAGTTTCAAGAGCGCAACGCTCAGTTAACAATGGGATCGATCGTACCAACTTTGACACGATGTACCCTGTCCTCAAAAGCAGCTATTGCCGGGCTCAACATTAACTCCCATCTCAAAGACTCAATTGCGGGTCTCTTCCCAAGCACCTAGATTTAGCTCAGTGAGCTTTATCTCCTCTGTTCCCTTTCTCAACAAGTTGCAAGCCACTTTCCCCTCCATACTCGTACGGCCAAAGAGGCTATGAGGCCCGCGCTGAGTAGCTATCTTTGAATACCTGCCCATCTGAATCAACAAAAGAAGCTGCAGGGATTTCGCAGCCCAACAACAGCCCCACCCGCCGATTCGTACCCGCTCAACTTTTCATGCCCCGGGCGTCGGGGAATAACCGCCTAGTTGCACCTTGTTTGTCGGCTTCGAAGCCTCTCACGCATACCGCACCTCGGAATCCTAGGCCTTACTCTGGAGGAGATCCGGGCGCCCACAGAGCTGTATAAAGTGACAAGGATCGATCAAAAGTCGATGTAATTTATCATGATCTACTGAGTTCTCAAAAGCGAAGTACGTTTCTCGGGCCCCTAGCAACAAGGACCCGACCACAGGGGGCGTCCAGGCCCCTCGCCAGTGTTCTCATGACGCCCGGGACATCGACCACATACAAGGATGGGATCCCACTCAATAGGCAATGAGAATTATTGGGATTGGTGGGTGACGTGAGGTACCATGGCCCTAGCAAGCCACCTGGGCAGTATTGCTGGGCTCATAATCCAGCCAGGGTATGAAAATTTTCACAACATTCCTAAGGCTGAACATATAATCTTCTGCCATGTAGTATTGTCCGAATACAGTTATCTCAGACATATGATTACACCTATGTTGATCCATTACTTTGTATCTCAATGCCAAGCGGCTTGTGCATGCACACTCATCCAATTCCTGAAGCCCGGCGAACGTATTCGTGTTTTGAAAAGCCAGTGGATGCTGCACCTGCTGATGGCAGCTTTTCTCTTTGCTTTTCCCTTCATCATCTATCTGAGTGGGAGTCTATCACTTCTCTCTAGCCTCTTCCTTCTATCGGTAGCTGTCTCATTATAGCCCCCTACTTTTGGCTCGTTTCCCGGCCCTGTGGCTTTGACATGCTCTCAAGTTAGTGGCATAATGCCACGTTTGTGGGTATGGATCTTGATTGTGATTCAAAGCACCAACGCAATCATACTGAGTAGAGGTTAGCCATAGCCAGTCAGAATCAGATATAACTCACTTATGAGCAAGATGTTGGGGCCCGATTCAGAGATGAGCTGGTGTCCATTGAAAAGGTGATATAAAATCTGGAGAAGGCCGTTTAGGGTTAACTTGACCTTGGGAACACTGGAAAGCGACCAAATCTCACGCAACTTCCCTCTCGAATATGATTGGACAGTCGGACACCTGCATTAGCGCCAAAGCTTGTGAGACTCAGATCCACGGACCTGATCGATTCTATACATTCCGACTCCCCTCTATCTTTCATGATCCCATCTCTCATGTCTACAGTAAAGCACTCGGTTCAATCCCGAAGACATCCAGGACCTGAGTGAACAGGCAATAGTCGCAGCTGCGCTTGGGTTGATTGAACCCTCTGTTCTTAAAATAGTCTCTTTGTCTAATACAGGGGGTAAAAAGAAACCCCAAAATCTCTGCCCCCAAAGCTCCCCTGCAACTGCCAGCTTTTTCAACGTTGCCTAACGTGAGTACATGCAGGCTGTGCTAGTCGACCTCCAATGTCAATCTTAAGGTGAGATCTCGTACTCGTACACAGAAATGTTCAAGTGGGGGCTTGTACTCAATTGGGACTAGCAAAATATTAACCTAGAGCCTTCCGCGTATTCGTATTCATCGCTCCCTCTTAAAAGCCTTCATCCACACCCCTTTTCGATTCTGGAATACGGATTACACCATATCTACCTAGTCTGAGGGCTTCCTACCCACTTGTATGGGGACCTGTGGAAATTCACGTACTGCATGGCAGGGTTGGTGTACAAAAATAGGGTAACGGACATGTAGTTCCGATAGGACAGAGTCTATGCGTGCCGTACTCATAGTTATGTAGTAGCCTGATTGCCTGATCCTGGGGCTCTATGGATATTTCTGACATCAAAAGCCGCTGTAGAGCCTATTTGTGTGGGGGTTCTCTACAATCTCGCTGCCTTCGTTTCAAGATCGATCCTGGACCCACACTTGTCTTATACCGACCGTGCGGTGTTTAATGTATTCACAGGCATTCGAAGTCCTCTTCGATATCCAGTGCTGGGAGATTTCACCAATTAATGATGGAATACTAGTGGATAGAGCGTCTTTGTCCGCGTCATCTGTTGAAAAGATTCTGCAATCAACGCTCCAGTTTCCGATGTTGGTCTGATGTCGGCGAAAGGTACTGGGAGTTGTCCTATACTAGTACCCTTTGCTGCATTCTATTTTCGGTTTGAACAGCATACCCACTTCTGTCTTAGATCCTAGGGTCTCAGGGAGTGCTTCTGGTGACATTTAAGCCCCGGTGCGGTTTGATTTCAACTTCCAGTATGTCTGTGTATTCGAAATCATCCAGACAATGAGCTTATTACTTCTTTCACCTGTCAGTACTATCTACAGTTCTGGCTCCGAGCCTTTCCAATTCGTCGGTGATCTCACCTCTTCGTTGCTACCAGTGGTATACCTCTTCACGGTCGGCTCTCTCTTCTTCGACGTCGTCCATTACCAACTTCACCAATGTACTCGATCCTCCCATCCCCTCTTGCGGCGCCTCGCACGTATCCACAACTTCCACCATCTCTACTACAATCGAAAAATGAAATTCGATCATAAATATTTGCGGCAGAATCAATTCCAGGCTTTACCTCTGGAATTGGGCTTCCAGGTCATCGGCAGCTGCCTCGGATACATCGCGGTCTTAGCGCTCAGCGCCGAGCGATGGGTTACTGGAACTCATCTGTGGACTTTGATAGGGATTCAAATTCTCAGAACGGTGTTTGTCATCGCCACTGAAGGTCGCGATTCCAATCATCTCACATACCAAACCGCACCGAAGGACCCGAGCTGGATGTTCGTGGGTCCTGAGTTCCACTGCCTCCATCACGTCTACCCCAAGCGATACATTGGCTCTTTCGTCAAGTGCTTTGACTGGGTGTGGGGCACTGCGTGCTCATTCCGCAGCAAACGATTTGTCGTCACAGGCGCGAGCGGCGCTTTCGGTCAAGCTATGGTAGCCGAGCTGGAACGGGAAGGCGTGCAGTGCATCCGGACTCTCAAGTTCGGATCTGATTGGAACAACGATGATTTCGAGGGTGTGATCTCGACCTTTTCAGAGAGTGATGTTCTCATCCTGGCGCATGGTTCGAAGGGAGAGAACGCGACAGCGTCGAATTGCGACTCATCTGTTCGGCTTGTGCAATTATTCAAGCAACACAGCCGGAGTAGAGAGACTCACTCGACGTTACCGGAGGTGTGGTATGTTGGCAGTGAAATCGAATTCCATCCAGCCTGGGGAATTGCCGAATTGCAACGGTACTCCATTTCGAAACGAAAATTCTTACCATATGCTCGTTCTTTCTTCGATGACCCTGACATTTTGTATCGGCATATTGTGCCCTCGTCTTTTCAGTCGTCTATGGGATATGCAATTGTTTCAGGGACGTGGGCGGCGAAGGTGACGATGTGGTGGATTCATCGTGGTGCCCGATATATTCCTACAACATACACTGGCATTGCATTCCTCAACTATGTCAAGTTCATGTGGTGGGTGCCCCATGCAGATAAGAGTCATACAGGATATAAATAGAGGCTCGGGACCAGCGATGACCTGGGGAAAAATCCCATAATTTCAAGATTTTCAAACATTTACTACTTAGGTACTTCCCATGGTTGTCAAAGAATAGTTGATTAGCGCGGGGGACCAGGAGAGGGCTACGGGTGTGGGCCCAGTGCCGGGGTGGTAAGGGGGCGGAGCCACCCCTTCCTGGAGGGGGCCCGGGGGGCCCGGGGTGGAGGAGGTGATCGCCCCTTTGGGGCGGCAGAGGCGCTGCTTCATTTCCATTAGCTTCCTTCGTCAAGCAAACAGTCAAATTCACTGCCATGGCTGTAATAACCCTCCTTGGCGGTTAAACAAGCAAAATTGGCTACCTAGGTAGCAATTGCGAAGTCTAAGGATAGAATGGGCGGATCTCGGTGTAGTATGAACCTACCTAGGTATCTTTCGGGCGAGCGTCTCTATTCATGTTAGCTACTTTATAGCCACCATAAGGTGATGTGAGGAAGTAAAGGCCGGGTTGTTCGACTAGGTATGAATACTGAGAAATGTAATCCATACCCCGCTTCCTTTCTTGTGCGCTTGCGCTCGAAATCTGTCACGCCTATTTTATAGGATGAGATCTTCAGTTTCCAAATACTGGATTGTATATGGCTGGGCGAGGAATGCTGCAATTTTCCAATGCACGGCATAGAATGATCCCGTGGAAGCCGCTGGTGATATCGCAGACTCCGCTGTCTGATGCCGAACTTCTCTTTGTTTCTGAGACGGTCTGATTCTGAGCGGAATCGATGAAGGGTTGAAGGACGCGATCTTTCTCTTCATTACTATTAAACATTATTTACAGGGGTCCGACCAATGCTATCTCAGGCAACCTGAACACCCTGCGGATTGTGGAAGATGTTCTTTGAGTCGAATTCTCCTTTCAGCTCTTGCAAACGTGGAAGATTATTGCGCCAGTATGCATGCTGGGCATCGGGCATCCTGGGATCTGGGCACCCGAGATATGCGTGTTCCGCACTCTCTGGGACAGCCTCAGCCAGAACATTGTAGAGACCGTCGGTGAAATTATATGTGGTCTGAGAGATCGGCCCAAGCGGGTTGGTTACGAACAATTGGACCCAGAAAAGCACATCGCGATGGCCATAAGCGGTGGCATCCTCAGGCACGGCATTGATAGCCCCGCCCTCTAGACTGAGCGTGACGAACCAGGCTAAAGTGTCGGCGTTGGTGTTGTGGATGTATTCGAAAAAGACATCGAGAGCAGAATCGGGAATGAGTGAACGGGGGGTGAAGCCTAGCGATTTGGCATAGAACCATGTCGGCGAGTCTCCGACTACTCTTAGAATGGTATCTTCCAGCCCATGGCCAATCATGCCCAGCCAGTCTGTCAGAACCAGCACAGTTCCGGGCTCAGAGGTGGGGAATTTCTTCTCGATGTCGAGCACGTCGTACTGCTCTTTTGAGCCGAAGAATATTCCTTCGAGGATGATCTGGCCGTCGAAGATCACCAAATTGGAATAGAATTGCCAAGTGAGGTTCTCTTGAGCTATGAAAGTCTGCCAGTCTTTGACGAGCTTGGCTTTTTCGTGAGGAGTTCCCAGATTAAAGGTGAAGGAATACTGGACAGCCAGTCCGGGTGCTGGTTCCGTGCGCACCTTGAATTCCGTCACGATGCCAAAGCTAGCAGCGGCACCTTTGATGGCAAAAAAGAGATCCTGATTCCGAGTGTCCGATGCCCGCACAATACTCGAGTTCGCCAACACCACCTCCACCTCCTCGACATGGTCCAGCGCCAGACCCCACTGACGCGCCGTTGGACCAAGTCCACCCATTGTCAGATGGCCGCCTGTCCGAATAGTCGGGCAAATCCCGTGCGACATTGCCCTGTTGCCTGAATTGTATAGCTTGGTGTCGAGATCTCCTAGAGAGGTCCCAGGACCGATGGTAGCAATGTGAGTCGATTCCTCCATGGAAAATTGTGCGAAGTGCTTCATATCGACCACAATGGCACCATTTTGTCCTCCAAGGCCTGGTTGGGGGAAATTCTTGTCAATTGAAAGTCACATCGCTCACCCACATGAGAGTCATACCATAATTGCCGAAACTATGACCCCCACTGCGAGCCTGTACCTTGTAGTCGAAATCAGAGGCACATTTGAGTATAGAAGCTACTTCATCTGCCGATTGAGGGTATGTGATCGCAGCTGGCGTGACTGGAATGTTCAAGTTGTACGCCTCGACCGCTGTGGTTTGGTAAAGAAGCTGGTCTTGAAAGGAAACCCCCGCATGACCCCCAACAGCGGAGACTAGACAGTCACGTCCAGCCGCGATACTTGTTGTGTTTCCCATCGTCAGTACGAGCGACCGACGAACTTCGCACGGGAGATGAAGATAGGGGACTTGCGGGGATCAGGTGACCCCTAGTGGGAGATCGACATTGTAGCAATAGTTCCCTGGGCGATTGAGCGCTAAGCTGAAAGAGCTCTAGTTCCAAGCAGCATATTAATTAGTATTCTTTCTCCCAGACAGGAGCGTGTGGAGAACAGTTTTAAACCATTCATCCCGTGGTTGCAAAGCGTATGGCCATACCCGGCCTCTAGTGGGGGATAGGTGCTGGTTACTCATGATTTGTTATTTTCACCAAGTGAATTGCAGGCATGTAATGAGACCGACGTGGAAGTTCCAGATCAGACAAATACTAAAAAGAAAAAAAGAAACTCCGATAGGGGGAATCGAACCCCCGGCTGTCGTGTGAGAGACGACGATGTTAGCCACTACACCATATCGGACGGTCGAAATTCTTTCTGCAAATTACGCTATTAGGCTTGATACTGGCCTTTTCGGTCTAGCGTCATAGCGCCCTGTGCGTCGCCGTGCTTCTATAAAGTCCTCCCCATCGCCCCTTCAACTTTCTGGCTCTCCTGCTCCTCCTTTCTCCCCCCCTCCGGCCCGCACCCCATGCGCGCCTTGCGGATGAGGCATTTTTGCCCCTGGTCCGCCACGCCGACCAGCAGATCCGTCACATCACATGTCGGTCGGCCGGTCCGTCGTCGATTCATTGCGCCCTTTGGTTTCAGTCGCACTAGACCCTCTGTGGACAATCGCCTGTTTGCAGCAGGTTCGTGAATCTGCCTTGGGGCCCAGTACGAGAGTGAGAGCTTTGTGGCTGACGGTGTCCAATCAATTTCGGACCGAGGGGAATGTTGCTTTAAAACGCATCAATTACATATTCGACCGGACGCTCCTCGCTACAATTCGCGCAAGCCAACAATACAAGCGTCTGCGAAAGCTGGATAATATGATCAACTCCTCCTTTCCCTGCTCCTCATGATGTGAAGCTTCCATAGCAGCCATATTAAGGCACCTCAATGATCTCTGAAATCGCTCGCCGTTCTCCCCAGACCGTTTACACACCTCCGTTCCCCTCGATCCTTCGTATCATCATTCCATTTTCACAAATAGCTGAGTGGAACTCAGCTCGCTAAATACGCCTTATCCTTAACAACCCCTTTAACGTGGTTATCTATTAGCAGACACACTGAGATGGACGGATAAGATAGCAGAAGATGAATCTTTTAACATAAGCTACATATGGACTAGAGACGATTAAGCAGCTTTAATCTCTTAGTTAGTACCACATAAGCATCTTATCCACAACCATTAGTTACGGAATAAGTGGCAAGTAGAGCTCAATTGACTGGGCGCCTTATAACCGAACTCATTGTCTTCACAATCGATTAACACAGAGGACTAGATAGAAGGATAAGGAATAGGTTATGCAGACTGGAGATAGAGGCAGCGTGTGTCTCCATGTTAGTCCGCTCTTCCACATTTCTCTTTTGTCTCAAGTTATAGAACGACTAGCAAGCAGAGCTCAATCAATCTAGTGGTGATGACATTAGGCGCAGACGATGCGCATACTTATAGTTCTCCAGGAATGTCAGTATCATTATAGTATGATCTCAGGGTCGCGGTCGTCCTTATTCCGGAGATCTACGTAGTCCCGACCCTTGTTACCGAAAGCGCTCTGTGACTGAAATCCTTATTGGCTTCATGATTGATTGGTATAGATGGCGAAGTGGACCGATAAGAGAATAGGATTTACTCCTATAGTATCTGCGTCGCGTAGACTGGGGATGATGAGGGGGTCGTTAGTCTCTATGTTGGTCCGTTTTGTATGTTTTCGTCTTCTATCTTGGGCTACGGAACGACTAGTAAACAGAGATTAATTAAAACGGTGGCGATGTTACTGGGCGCGGTCGATGAGTAGGTGTCAGGACCCACATATTGAGACGGCTTGATATCATGTATTCCGGCAAGTCATGAGGGCTTGCGCGGTCGGGGACGCACCCCAACGGGGTGCAGTCTACATTGCGATCCCCAGCCTTCCCTTATGCGAAGGCACATGACTCACACACAGTATATAACCCCGTACTGAGCTGGGGACTAGGATCCTCAGCGATTAGTTCAGCAATCTACTCTCACATATTGCTACTCCACTTATTGCCCGAATCCACATAGATACAGACTCCTGCGAAGAAAGGTCTAACAGTAGGAGTGCAGTCCTCCGTAAATAGTAATAGCGCTTTATGATGTTATTGGATTAAATGGACGATAAGCTGGTTATTCGTATGGTATTCTTATGTAATGTGTTGTGAATATGGAGACGATTGATAGGTAGGCCTCGTCTAGAAGCGATCCTATTACATCTTACCGTTTGAAGTTGAGACTGGATAAAAGTACCCGCTATAGCCTATAGGCTAAATAAGGCGTAATCCGCTAGACGAGGGCTATAAAGCTATGTATCTCTGTCAGAGATCGAGGGTTCTTTCCCCCGAGTCACGTGACCTCGTCTCTTCTCTTTTTCGTCTTGCTCAGTCCTTTCTTCCTTCTCTTCCTTCCCTACGCATGCCAGTCTCTACGTTTCGTGATCCTTTCCCAGTATCCTCGTAGCTACTGTCTATCAGGTCCCGAAGAGCCTCGAATTCTTGAGCAGAATTGTCCCCGCCTAGATGATAAAGCAACCAAGGACAGAGCGCCTGGGGTGATGCAAGATCAGTCCGTTGCTCTTTATGGTTAAACTAGCTAAGCGAGTATGTTATAGCCCATTGCTCTTAACATACTTTTCGTTGACCTTTGCTAGAGACTGATCGAAAGAAATACGAAGACAGTAACTATCCGGTTTGCGGTGTGCCGGACACCTGCTCGATAAAGGATCAATCTCTGATGTAGGAAACACCACACAGCACCACGAGATGTATTGCGAGTGAACCACCTCATGGCTCTTATGGCAGATGGTCAGCCAAACGCAAACTTTCAGATGCTGACACCGTCTCCCCTGAACCGAGACGATCTGAACGATTGATCAAAAGGGCCAACCAGTCAGTAACTCGAATGTGAACTCGTCTTGCGTTGGCTCGTTGCAATTTATGGCAATGCTCGTCTCTGAATTATTTTGATTCTTTTTACCAATTCCAATTTTTCCTAACACCACAAACTCATTCCAACTAGATGGCAAAATAATTATTGCTAGCATGAAGTCTGGAACAAAATGTGAATTTGATTTAACCAAGTTGGCTACATCCTCCGCTTCCGTTGTTTGATGTCAATTTAGTGAGATGATTTGTCGTCATGCTCAATGCCATGTAAGGTAACTAACAGGGAGTCCCAGTGAATGTGGACAGTAGCTAGATACTAGGGTCTGGATGATTGATTAAGAAACCGACTTCCAAGGCCTAGCGCACGTCATTCATTTATCGCGCCGTATTTAGTTGAGGGATGTTGTAAAATGCACCGTGTATGGTTCTGTTTGTTACTCCGTAATATCACATCCGGTGGTTTGAATGTTGGCGGTAAACGTTTATAGCCATGGTACTAGCTAAGGAGCATTTTACGGCGGCCCTCAACTAAGTAGGGAGCGATCAATAAATAACGTGCGCTAGGCCTGGAAGTGGGGCCCGAGAAAAGAAAAGTAATTGGTAGGGAGGAAGCTGATCTCGCTAGTGACTGTACCTCCCTTCCATGTTTCCGATTTCCGATCGGTTACAGGTTAAGAGGTCGCCGGGGTTCGATTCCCCGTCAGTGCATTTCATTTTTAGATCCTAAATTTTTGCACCCCACACCGGCACACCGACATCGACCTGTTCACTAACTGTAGAATGCTAAGCACCCACGGAGTAAGAAGATTGCGAGAGTCGAGTGTTTTGAAGTTCAACAGCTGGGCAGGGCACCCACTGTGCAGCCTGGCGCTTTGTTTACCTATTCAATGACCCGGCTGTTTACACCAAGATGTCTCAGAGCGATGCATCGAGTACAAAAACCGGAGGCAAGAAATCGCGAAAAGTCCGGTCGCATAAACAGCATAGGAAAGCGCAGACAAAACAGAGTCAAGGGATCCCTGGTAGTCCAGTGTGTTTTCGCTCGTCCATACGCATCAACAAACTGCTGGGGCATCAGCGTGAAGCGGAAGCTTTCGACACGGATGAAACCACTTTTTGGGACTGTTTGCTGAGGAATTGCCTCGAAAGCCCGTAGTACTCCGTATACGTCCTGCGATCACCGAGGGTAGTACAGATCCATTCCCCCTTCCCGTCGCCAACGTAATCCAGTGCCCTGTGGCATCTGCATCCCAAATCTTGTCACGACGGTTTCAAGATCCGTTCCGCAATGATACATGTGAAAATATTGGCAGACTTGATGCGTAAATTGATGCAAACAAGGGCGTCGAAAAGGAGGTATGAACCATATGACTCGTGCTGGCCCAAGTACCTTGACCTGAGCCGATGTGCTTTTGGAATGAGACGGGATGTGAGCAGAATATATGAGAATTTTCCGACAAGAAACCAATAAACGACTTGATTCTCAGAGCTTGCCGGAGTCTGCCATGCTTCCGTTGGGGCGGAATCAATCATTTAGGATTTTACTGGTGTGTTAGTAGAAACCACGATACAAGTTGCAGCTCCTGGCCCTCGTCCCGATCTTCTGGCTCCTTCATTTGTGCCTTCGCTGTGTCGAGATTCGTCCGTTTCGTCCAGTTCGTCGAAATCACTGTCGTGCGCAAGTATTAAGAAAGTATCGATCAAAATCGATGGTGTCATTCTGAAGGTTTGATTCTATGGTATAGAAGTGGAATGAAAGAAGTCTGAGACCCTATAGAGAGCACTCCGTACTCCGTACTCCGTAGATATACTGCGGTTGGAGTGGAGAGATGATCAGGGAGCCCCGCTACTGCAGGGGCTCGCGGCCCCCACCTGGGAGGATCATCGGCGGTGGCAAATAGCGGGGCTTTGCGGGTTGCCGCGTATAAAGCGGCATTATGCCCCCAACGGACTTCCGTCAACACTTGAGTATACCATGACTGGTTCAACTTTCACGCCCCTACCCCTTGAGCTTTGGGGATTAATCGCAGGTCATCTGTCAAATGCCGATATCAAGTCTTTGCGCCTGACTTGTACCCAAGTGAACAATGCAGTCCCTCTTCGCATCGACCGAGTTTTTCTTTCCGCCAACCCACTTAACATAGAAGTCTTTGGCAATATTGCCTCACACGAGAAGTTCCGTCATTCAGTGACCGAAGTGATCTGGGATGAAGCACGCTTGCCACGGGGCCCACAGCGAACGAATCAAACTGCCCAGGGGCACGAATTACTCTCAGACGATGATGAGCCCAATAACACTAGAGAGTGGGCTCAAGTCTATTCCGAGTATTTCAGAGAAAATCTCATGAGCCAGCATCAACACGACGAAGAGAGCGGATGTCCCAAATGGTTCAAAGACGCCTGTGAAGAAAACCTCCGAATCCTCAGGAGCCGAAAAGGAGCCGATGTTGATAGACCTGGGCATATTGCATGCAGAGAGCAGATCCTCGCTCAGCCTCCGCTAGGGGAGTGCTGGAAACATTATCAGCATTTGCTTCGTCAGCAAAACGATGTCCTCACTGGCGATAGCGATTACGAAGCATTTTCATTTGGCGTGAAACAATTTACTGCTTTGAAAAGGGTCACTATCACACCAGTGGCTCACGGATACCTCTTCGACCCGCTCTACCCGACTCCGATGATTCGCGCGTTCCCAAAGGGCTTTAACTATCCCATTCCGTGTGGCTGGCTATTCAGGAGAGCGATATCAACACCTGCTACCTCGTATCCGTGGAACCACTATCCGGAACTCAGAGAAAGATACCGCGGATTCCGCAATGCCATGCGTGTGCTAGCCAATGAACCAAATTCTGTCTCTGAGCTTGTGATGACTTCCAACTTTGTCCCCACGGGAATCAACTGCACAATCTTCGACGAGCCATGTGAAGAGTATGACAACTTTGCTAAAGTGCTTCAGAACCCGGGCTTTCGCCGTCTGGATATCTCACTGCTTGTTGGCGGAGAAGATGAATCAGACCTTGAACCATGCTGGCGATCTTTTCTCAACGGTCGTTTGCGCTGTGCACTCAGTGGTGCAACGGAAATGGAAGAGTTCAGGCTGCACACCACTTTCGACGAGGATATTCATGCTGGGGAACTATACCCACTGGTTCCTTTAAATGGCATTGTACCAGTGGAAAAATGGTCAAATCTACGCCACTTTGCACTGTCCGGCTTTGTGATCTCACAGGACGATCTCGTCTCGTTCCTCAGCACCCTGCCAACATCCATTAAATCCATCGAACTGAGCATGTTGGAATATCTTTTTGATGCGGACTTGTATACCTTACTGGAAGAGATTCGGCGAATGGTATCCGAGAAGACGTCATGGAGAGACTCGAATGCCGCTTCCAGACCCACAATCACGATCGGAACGTCAGATTCGTATGGGGAGCCCGAGAATTATGGAAGGGCTAGATGGATTGAAAAGGAGGTTCATGATTTTCTATACGGTGATGGGGAAAATCCCATCGAGGAATCATTCCCTCTTCAATTCCCAGATAGGACGGGCATGCTAAAAGACGCATTTGATACCAGTTATCAACGCCCGAACGTGAAATGGGATGATTTAGTATCGTTGAACATTTACAAGGAGAGTTTTGACCCATTCAAATACTGAACAAAACTGATCAATTGGAACGATACTGCCCACGAGCATGGCACGAGCGCATCTGGGCCTCTTTCTCCTACACTGCCAAGATTACACTGTCTGTTCATCTCCCAAGAGCCAATTTTACTACTCAGGCGTCTGGTAAATGTGGTTAGCGGATTTGAAATCAGTTGATCTTCATGTACTCACGAGTTGTAGATTTTGGACTTTGAGTAGACGACGCAGCAACCGATGAGGGACTTTGGACTCTGGTTGTCTGAGTATTGGTCGGCTTGGAGAGCTGCACACAATAAGACGAGCTGCTTTGAAGTTTACAAGGATAATTGTAACCGGTGGCATTCTTCTCGAGCGAGGGGTTCCACATAATGAAGTCCTTGGGTTGTCAGCATCGACATATCGAAAGGGGATTTTGAGATCCCGAGGAATTCTAGTCCATACCTCTTTCGGAACGTCGATTGTCATGGCCATTGTCCAGCAATCCGCGAGCGCATTGTCGGTGATGTTTTTCATCCAAATGTAACTAATCGAAAATGAGCCATTGCCTCAAACAATTGGAAAGCGCACTCACTCGTAACAGTCCTTTCTAGTATCCTTGGCAAGAGGAATGGCAGGGATGGAGTTGTTCTTCAAAGCGCCGGCAAAGTCGGGTCTAGAGGCCGACGAAGGAACGGAGGTCATGGAGACTTTGCTGAATCGATCTGAAGTACTTCCAGCATGGCCCGAGTAGGTTGTAATATCCCCAACAGCCTGCACACAGTAGTACACATCCTTTTGGAGGTTTGTGCAGGTCTCCGTGAGCTCGGGGTTCAAAAACATGCTGCATAATGTTAACTAGACTTTTCAATCTCTTTGAATAATGGTACCGAGACTCACAAGTCAGATCTAGAAATACCGGTTTTCTCTGTGACAGTGTCGCAGGTCTCATCTTTCCCAATTTGATAGTACTTGGCACACTTTGTATTTGTCCCAGAGACAATTGGCGAGGGCACAGGACTAGAATTTCTGTGAGTATGCACAAGTCAACCGCTTTTCGAGTTCGTCAAAAAAGCTTACGCTGTGGTGGTGATAATGCTTTGCGAGCCAGTTGCACCACTGGAGGACGAAGAGCTGGTGGCAGGAATTGCATAGTCACCGGATGGATTACTGACGCAAATATTCTTGCCAGAGAGGTCACCGAGGTTCCTAGAAACATGCAATCAGTTTCATCCCTTCGTCATTCAGTGAGTCTGTATTCACATACGAGCATTCGCTGTTGATATCGGAGTTCCAGGAGAGCAATTGCGCCCATGTCGCTCCACTCGATCTGCCAATACTTACACAGCTATCTCCGTCCTGCACAGTGTATGTTTTACAGTTGTGACTACCGGTAGCCCGGCGGTGGAGAGATTGGTGGCCGAAGTGCGAAGCCTGCACAGAGGCAACCACCGCAAAGTAAACCAAGCCTTTCATGTTGCTATCAATGTTCTCGAAACTCTCCAAATGAGTTTTCTAGTGAGCATAAGAGAAACCTCTCAAAATGGAAATCGAGCATATCTTTCTATATCGTAGAAATTGGTTCGGGTCCACTCTGCGTAAATGCCCAAAAGAGATCTGCAGGAGACTGAAATCCCTCGTTTCAGATTTATGGGCTTATGAAGGCTTTTTTCTAGGTCCAGGGTATTTTGGGGCTGGAAATTCTGCCAGGTACCGGGGACCGGGGGCCAGGGCAGAGATTCGGGCTCGCTAAATGGCTGAGTCTGGGGGCGAGCTAAGCCCACCCGTTTCCGAGTCCTCTCCGTCCTGCGCCCCACCCGTTGTGCCTCGCCAAAAGACCCTTCGGGGGCCACGCTAAAACAATCGTAAATACAGATTAGTTTTCGTATTCGATCCACAACTGCTTGGCACCTTGGCATAGTGCTTGTGTGATCTGTTTGTTCGGATAAATAATGCAACCTGACATTGCTGCACGACTTGAAGGTTGCTGGTCTAATAAATCTAACTTTGGCAACCAATTGTAACTGAAATTCTGGAGAAAGAAAGCCTAGAAAACTCGACAATGAAGCATCAAAGAGTCTTCCTTTTGTTCCTCACAACATGTGATGATAAAATTGGCCCCCATGTTTTAGCGAACCGTCCACAGCGAAATCCGAATCTCGAATCCACCGTTGGCTGAAGCATCTCACTATGTTCACTACCCCTGCATAAGTGCGCCTCAACCTTGACGGATCCACTCCAAGGGACTTCAGGTCGTCCCACTTGTACTTTTTACTCTTCATTCACAATTGAGAGGTCTGAGTGAGGGATTAGAATCCGTCTTTCTCTGGCCCCCTATGGAGAATAAACCTCTACAGGATGGCTTCTACCCCCACTGCATATTTGTTTCAAATTATTCCTCAAAATACACCTTTTAGATTTTCATAGAGTGGATGCTACATTCTCCGAAGCAGAGAAATAGTTGGTGGATAGCCCATTGGGTCCAAACCGACGTGCATCGCTATGCCTGTACTGGATGTTAGAACAATCTCCGTGTCGGCGAAGATAGGTATTAATACTTATCTCCCATGCGTGCCGTATACAAAAGAAAGACCCTTCAGTCCATTGCCTTGCATTTGGAGAATATACTATACACAATGGTCTCTCTGAAACGAGGGCCGAGACCCTTCCTTTTGCTACTGCTTTGCTTGCCTTTCTTACTTTCTTTGATTACATCTACCTATGCCAAATCACTTACCGCCGACGCCATCGCTGTCTCATCCTCCGCCAACGACCCTTACACATGTTCTAAAAGCAAGCCGTGTATCAACGGCGCTTGTTGTGGCAGCAGTGGTCACTGTGGATTCGGTCCAACATACTGCGGTGATGGCTGCATGCACAACTGCGACGCAACTGCTGACTGTGGAAAATATGCAAAGGTTGCTGGACAAGGCTGTCCTTTGAATGTCTGCTGCTCCGAATTCGGCTTCTGTGGAACAACCAGTGAATTTTGCGAGCAAAAAGACGAAAAAGACAAAGGCTGTCAATCTCACTGTGAACAACCAAAGCCATCAGTCAAGACATCCAATGTCCAGGAACGTGTCATCGGATATTGGGAGGCCTGGAACATGGACCATGCCTGTGGTACCATGGAGCCAGGTGAGATTCCTGTTCAAATGCTCAGTCACTTGATTATCTCCTTTGGTTATATCACCCAGGAGTACAAGATCACCAACATGGATGGTGTATCTCCTGATTTGTATAAAATTGTCGGTGATCTGAAGCAACGGAACCCTAAGCTCAAGATCATGATTGCTCTGGGAGGATGGACATTCAATGACCCCGGAGCTTGGCAGAGCGTTTTCCCAACGATGGTGTCAAGTGAAGCAAACCGGAAAACATTCATCGATAACCTCCTCGGATTCCTCTCCGAGTACGGCTACGATGGTGTTGATTTCGACTGGGAGTATCCTGGCGCGGATGACCGTGGTGGCTCCGATGCTGATGGAGCAAACTACGCCAAACTCCTCAAGGAGCTCAAAGCGGCAATCAGCGTCAGCGGTCGTGACTACCTTGTCACTTTCACATCTCCAACTTCCTACTGGTATCTTCGCCAATTTGATCTCAAGGCGATGGCTGACAACGTTGACTGGATCAATCTGATGGCATATGATCTTCATGGTGTATGGGATGGAGATAATCCCATCGGAAACCATGTCCTCGCCCACACCAATTTGACCGGTATCGATGAAGCCCTTGATCTTTTCTGGCGAGTGGATGTCGAGCCATCGAGTATTGTTCTTGGCTTAGGGTTCTATGGTCGAACCTTCAAGCTGAAGGACGCTTCATGCTGGAAACCGGGATGTGAATTCAGTGACCCAGGTGCTAAAGGCCCTTGCACAGACACCGAGGGAATTCTCTCATACAGAGAGATTTCGCAGATTCGCAAGGATACCAGAGGCACTGCATACCTTGACAAGGAAGCCGGTGTCAGGTACATGGTCTACAATAAGGATAGCTGGGTCGCCTTTGATGACGCAACGACGTTCCAGATGAAGATCGACTATGCCAACAAGATGGGACTTTCCGGTCTGATGATCTGGGCGATCGACCTTGATGACAACACTCTCAGCGCCCTGCGTGCTGTGTCCGATTCGGATGCATTGGGCAGCTCTGATTCCGGATATAATCTCGTCGATTACGCTCACATCTTCCCATCCGAAATTCGCCCACAGAATACGACAAAGCCTGTGTACGGTATCTCGACATTTGGATCTGCTGGATCCCTGGCGCCAAATGGAGGCGGTTTTGGCTTCCTTCTTCTTGCTGGCGAGTCTCATGCGGTGTCAAGACTCCGAAGGCGCGACAACGAGCCGGAGCCTTTCCATTTCCTCGACTGCCCTTCAAATGTCACAGGTGCTCCGAAGGACCAGATCCATACCGCGCGTGTTGTTTGCCTCAGTGATGATCTTAATGGATGCTTCCAAGTGATGGAGCGAGGTGTTGAGGGCACAATCGTTGAGATGCCAGACAATGTGAGTTTTCTTTTCCATTTCTATTTGGCAGATGAAACCTCTACTAACGCTGAAACTTCAGTGCGCTCCTGACACTTTTGCCCGCGCTGTTTCTCTTGAGCCTTCTCAAAGTGAGTTCTCAATCAATCTTATCATTCTCCTTTTTGGCATCCAACCTGCCTCCCCTTCCAATCATCGAGGGCAAATAAAACCGGCGCTAACTATTTCCTTCAGACCAAGTGGTATCCGCTAAGATTAAAAAGCGAAACCCTACTTCAAAGGTCTACGACTTCAAATTTGACTACAACATGGACTTGAGTCGGCGTGATACGACCAACCACACAAGTGTCCGCCTAGATTACTCGAACGTCCAGGGCTATTGGGACAAAATAGTGGACTCTCCTGGTATTGACGAAGACGATGGATCAAAAGAAGCTAGATCCCTGGTCAAAAGGTTCTACTCTTCGTCCAACTCAGACTGGAGATCGAATTACGGAACCTCCAACACACATTTCCAATATGAAAACACCAATGCCATCCCCGTCAAGCAAGACCTCAGTGAGCTAGTCTGGTACCAGAAAGCCAAGGAGTGCAAGATTGAGGGAGAGGACTATGGCGAATCCTTTGCAGCTTATGTCACCGGTGAAATCGATGCCCAGATGTACATTGGGTTTTCAATGGTTGGCGCGTACTACCCGGGAGGTGAGCTGACAATCAATCAGGCAAATGGCTTTGTCAAGGCTGCCGGTAAGAGTGACCTGACATATGGAATTCGGGGCTTTGGAGAGGTAGACTTCTCCAAGGCAGACAAGGGTAACCCAAGCCATGGTGCGAAGCGATCCTTCGATCTCAAAGGAGCCACAATCAGTGCTGGCAGCAACAGCTTTGTGTCTTTCAGTCCATACCTTGACGTCTCCTACGAGCTTGCCTCCCTCAATGGAACCAAGAACACCAACTTCCACGACAGCGCTACTAACTTCATCGGTCAGCTCGAGACCCGTGTGACTCAAGACTTCTCCAATGTCACTGCATTTTGGCCAATGAACTACCCAGAGGACAAGAAGCCCGAGTCTGGTTCATTTATGCCAAATGATGTTTCTGTTGGCAAGGACAACAACATCTGGATGAGCGACAGTAACGGCGGAACGCTGGCCGTTGGAACATTTGTGAGATTCGGTGTGAACGTTGACCTTGAGGTCCTTGGGCAGACCAAGAAGAAAACGCTCGACTCAACTGCAGTGGCAGATGTAAGTTGTTCCCCGTTTGCTACTATGACTGAATATTTCTATTCTCAATGCTAATTAACCGATTCTAGATGGCATTGATGTACAACACCTTTGCGCAATTCTCTTACCACCCTGATGAAAACCATTCGAATAAATCTTGTTCTGATTTTACCATCGCGTGAGTCAAAGATTAAGTGCTTCCTTCCGAATTTCACTAACCGCGAGTCTTATTATAGAACGACTGTTTTCCAAGAAGCCAAATCGTGAGTCTCAAACCATGTTGTCTCCGAAATCAGGACATGTCTTCTAACCCGCAATTTATCCACAGAGAGCAGCTGAAATCTCGGACTGGATGGAAGGACAGCGATTCTAGTGAGATTGGGTCTGACAATGTGAGTTTTTCTACCCGAGAGAATTTTGACGTGCCCCTTGCTCATCTCGCTATGTGACAAAATAGCAATCACCCAAGTCTGGGTCTATCTGTTACTACAATAATGTGCTGAAGTCAAGTGGAAAACGTGACTTTGATGATGATGTCTACAACTTGACTGCCTCTGCCGAAAATACCGAGGAAAACGATCTCCAAACCCGTGGTGATTACGTCCCTTCATTTGAAGGAGCTTTCAAATACGGCGCACAGAAGTTCCAGCCTCCCAGCCCGGAAGAGTTGCTCAGCAAACAGGTGTATGGGCAACTCGGGGATGCAACGGAGGGCAAACTTGGAGGCAAGAACGATGGATCCTGCACCGAAATCGAAGAATTAGAAGAGGAACAGCCATGCTGCGGCTGTGTGAGCATGGACTACAAGTATGGGTATAGCGATATCCTGTCTTATGATAGTTGTGACTGCTGCTCGACAAGTCCCACAAACGGAGACTGGCGGCGCGCAACAAGAGGGAATGTCATTCCGTTGAACAAGAGAGCCTCTGATGCATCATTCACACATGACGAAGAGGCATTTGATGGCAACACAACCTACTACTCTGAAAATAGCCTCGAAAAGAGGGTATGGGGAACCGCCGGCAGGGGCGAAAAAGAAGTCACTATGTGCGGCAAGAAAACCTACGCCCGGACTCCTGGCACATATCCCCAGTTCCCCGAAGACCCCAATGCGCCTTGGGCCGGGATTCAAAAAGGCAAGTGGGATCCAATCTCAAGATGGTGGGGCAATACGTCGTCCCATTGCGGCATTTGGAATGTCGGACCAAAGCAGGATTTCGACACAGAGTACACACCTCAGGGAGTCCAAAGATCGATGTACCAGAGTAAGTATCGTCTTCATGATAGGACGGAACTTTGCTAATAGATATAGCCGAGCATGTCTTTGAAGGCCAACTTGTTGGTGACTTTTTCACCCATTGGCTTGCCGAAGGTGAAATTGTGAACCAAAACCCGGCGCCAACAAGTCGAGCACGCACATTGAAATGCGATGATTCTCTCAAATATGTTTTCAACGACAAGCGCTGGCCTAGCACTGACTACAGAGGGAAACCGGTGACACTCACATTCTTCCATATCATGCTTAGAGAGCTTGGCAGCAACGAGCACCTCGACCGACTGACAATTTTCAAAGCACGACCTAATGGGATGAAAGGCGCTGTAAGATCTCTTCCTGTCTAAGCGCTCTGAGGAGAAACACCGCTGACCAGAACGACTAGATGTTTGGAGGGAAACAGGCCATTGATGTTGCAAATAGCTTCGAAGGGAAACCGGCAGATGACCAGCTTTCAGCCGCCAAGGAGATGGGCATGGTCTTCACCTACATGAATGATCCAACCGTATGGAAGATGTTCTGCGACACATATGAAGCCATATATGATCGTCTTGGTGAATTCGACGATTACCACCGACAACAAAATACCGGTATTCCCTCTCTGCAGGATGAATGGCCTAGATTCATTGACGCTGTTCTCTACTCGATGGCCAATCGGGCGCAGGGGACTCTCAAACTGATGTTCTACAAGCGAGCGTGCGTATTTCACCTCTATGTTGCCCCATCATCAATACTAACCAAGATTGCAGGGAGAAATTTAACAGCCATTACATTTACTTCTGGGGACACAACATGCTTCACAATTATTTCAAGCTCAAATTGCCTGGAAAGTGTCCAAACCTGCCTCGGTCTTAGGTTTGCTCTGGACAACTATTTCTTTCGCTTTATATTCACTTATTTTACATTCATCTTACTTCAGCTTTGGATTATTTTCAATTTGCTCTTTATTTTTAACATCGTAAGAGAGTTAGTATTTTCAGAGGTTGCAATTTCAAGGAGCTCAAAGCCATTGACGAGGATGAAAGCCCCCGCCGCTCTATAGTCGAGTGGCGGAAGTTTTCGATGTAATTTCTCCCAGCAAAAAACACAACAGAATATGACACAGATTCTCCAGATTCTCGACAAGCTTACAGATGTCTTGATGTCCAAACTAGCACTAGTGCAGTCGGAACGCGACCGTACGCTACCCAAAATAAAATGAACCCCGATCAGCGCGACATTGATCGACATCTCCAATGCGGTATTCCCGTCCTCGAGATACAAGCCATGTTTGTTCCCCGGATATCACCAACTAGAAATGTGGCTGCTCTGTCGCAGTCTTGTCGGTCGTTACATAGCCTCGGCGACATGCAAACACGCGAGCAGTGCTACAAGATCCGGGTCGGGCCGAAAGACTCCAGCATCAACAAGACTAAAATATTTTGAAGGGTTGGGCTTCTGCCACCTAATTCATACATTTTTATAGCTTTGGATGGGGATCAAATCCCTCTACTTGTCCTCCATGTCAACGCCCTGTAACCTTGGAAGTGCCTGGTATCATCCTCGATTGGCCCCAGTCTGGCTTGGATCAAGAGGTTTCCCTCAACGATGGCCTTCATGGCCTCCAATCCGGGCTTCGTGGCCTCCACATTGGCTTTTTCGGTCGTCCACTTCTCCTTGTTGAGAAGGTATGTGAGGGTCTGGTTCCACGCTGTGTGGAGCCCGAACAAAATTGTTGTGGTCCCCCACACATAGGTTGACCAATGAACCTGAGGCGCCGGAGCCGCCTCGGCACATATATGGAGATCTAGAATTTCATTAGCACGGGGTGTTTTCCCAGCGTGGGACATGGGACATACCCGTTGGAGAAATGAAGAGACCCGCAAAATCAAGGGACATCAATTGGAGAATGAGCTAGCATATGAGTTTAGCGTCTAGTCACATATCCATGCGCCTGAGGCGCATGGGATATAAGCATGACTTACGAGAATTCCACCTCCACTGTCCCCAGGATGGCGCAAGTTGCTGCCTTTTTCCACGGAGGAGGCAGCCAGTGAGTGCTCGACTTGAAAGCCGAATTACAAGCGAAGAGGGCCAAAAGAGGAATGCTGGCCAAGCCGAGCACGATTGTGGCACTGGCGAACGGGGAGCGAGATGAGATGGGAAAGATGAGATGGAAGCGAGAAACCACAGACCAGGCAGGGAGATATCTCGTGTTTCAATTCTGTCCCGCCACCAGTTGTGGAAAGCGCAGTCTACATTTTGGACGAACATACCGAGTTAGTAATATTTCAGTATCCAGAGCCAAGTATTCAACATCCTTACCTGGGCACTGTGCATTGGTAATTTGGGGAATTGAAAGTGAGGTGAAACCTTGGAGGTGAAGTCCACCAACTGAAGGAACTCACTTCACAGATATATTTAAATGTGAAGGTGCGGATAACCATTACCTGAGGTAGGAGCGGGTTAGATGTGACGAAAGGAATAGGTAATGCGAGAAATATATCTTTTTCTTCTCTTTCATTCATTCCAAGGTTCCTGGATCGAGTATTTTTTTCAGGGGGAGAACCTTCCAAGGTTTCTATGAGAGATACTCAGACCTCAACACACGAGGGGAGTTTACCTTCGAGGACCACTGAAGCGGTACCAGGGTGTTCTCCCTGATCCACAAAACACTGCCAGTATTACCACTCCCACTCATCAAGAGTCTTCCAAACGTCGAACGCGGGTGGATTGATCAAGTTGTAATAAGTCAGAACGTCATCCGTCCACTTTCCATCCACTGGATACGAGCCGCGAAACCCTGTGATCCATAGACTGGCAGATGCTTGGTCCCATATAATCTTTGTGATATGCTCCCCCACTGGAGCCCAGCCACAGGACGACATTTCCCTAGTTCTGGGTAAGTATTATCCCGTGGAGTGAGCCGTGCACTTACTCATATGCAGCTCGGAACTTTTGGCGAAGGAGATCGCGTTTTGGCCGTTCCATTGACCAGAAGATGTCCGGAGTGAGGATCTGACCGGGGACCTTTTTCCAAACAAGATAGGTTATGTACCCACCAGGTACAGGTCCGTGGTCCCCTTGCACAGACTGGCCACACCCAAGCAGTAGAGGCACACTTTCGCATCCGTGTTGCCTGAACTTCCTCCGAGCTGTAGCTTCCCACTTCTCAAAGTGAGGATTTGCCTGTTGGGCCCGAACCTCCGGTAGGAGGAATTCAGTTCCCTCATCAGGGCCTTGACAATAGACTCTCATAAATGCTTCGGTGTGTGGGAAGTCGTGGTCGTGACATAGATATTTAGCCGCCCAATTGGATGGTTGTTGCTCTGGATCAGAAATAGGCTTATGTACTCCATCGACTCTGTTCTCATCCAACTTCTCGTCGATAACCCATGTACTCGCATTCAATTGGATAGCCGCGAAGCTAGGAAGGGCGATCTGAGTGCCTTTGAAGATCTGAGTGATATCAGCCATCTTAAGGGTTCAATGTGGAGTGCGGAATGAAGTTGCGAGGATGAAAGGAATGAGATAAGAGGAGGTTTTCGAGAGCACATAAGAGAAATGGAAGGGGAGGTCCCGAAGACAGTGACCTCTTGAGGGGAGATGGGCTTCAATTATTTCCAAGGTCAACTGGTCACTGTGATACACTGTGCCTGAGGCGTCACCACAGGGCATAGTGGATGCCTGATTATGGTGCCTTGATGCCTTGGTGCCCGAGCCAGGGAATCGGTGCCTGCATGCCTGAATTGCCATCTATCTCCAAGGTTCTTTGTGTGTATTCCGTAGTCACCCTGGAATGCGGTTGCTCCTGTTCAAGCACGGCATTGAACTATTTGTTCACCGTTCAAAATGCACATCATATGGAATGATACTAGCGACACAAGAGCATATGATGAGGTGTGTTGGGCCAACGTCTTCAACCTCCGGCGGCCCAAACACAGACGACCGCGGGGTGTGACGAAAGCAAGATGTGACGAGGACATCCTGGCCGCAGTAGAGCGAGCAATTCAACTCGGCCTTCGAATCGCAGTGCGGTCGGGGGGTCATTCGTTTGAAGCTTGGAGCATTCAAGACAATGCCATCATGGTGAACCTGTGCGAGTACAAGCAGGTGAAGGTTGATACTGCCCGTCGAACGGCGAACGCGACATCCAGCGTCACCAGCATCGAGCTCAACGAGATCCTGGCGCAGGATGGCCTGTTCTTCCCTGGCGGGCATTGCCCAGACGTTGGACTGGGTGGGTTCTTGTTACAAGGGGGGATGGGATGGAATTGCGGGGTGAGCACATCCCGACCTTCTGAAAGCGGGACGATCGTGGAAACAGGGCGTTGACTGTTTCCCAGAATTGGGGCTGGGCATGCGAGCTAGTCCAGGGTATCGACGTGACCACGGCCGAAGGCAAGCCGGTCTATTGTGACATTACGCAGAACTCTGATCTCTTCTGGGCTGCCCGTGGCGCAGGCCCGGCATTTCCTGGTATCGTCACTCGATTTCACTTGCGCGTCATGCCATGCCCACAGTCCATCTACTCATCCTGCTATATATTCCCACATGCTTTATATGCGACCGCATTCCGTTGGGCCATTACGCTTGTGGACGACCTGGATACCGACACGGAGCTCACAGCAAAGGCCTACCATCAGGATTTAGGGCCATGCTTCTCCATCATTATCACCACATTCAAGCATAACTTTCAAGATGCGATGCAAGCGCTCCAGCCGGCCCATGAGTCCAGACCTGCAGGGACCCTATCGGAATGGTTCTGTTCTCCCGAGAGTATGTCCAGTCTGTATGCGGCGCTCGCGAGCATAAACCCCGAGGGACATCGCTACTCCACGGACAACGGCTTTTTTCATGATGACCCAAATATAGACCTTGTTTCCAATCTTGAAGAAGCATTCCTCACCCTGCCACACGAAAGCTCCTATGCATTCTGGGCGCCCATGCGCCCCTGGAGCCGACGGAATATCGCAGAAATGGCATTGAGCCTACAGGGCGATCACTACTTTGCCGTCTATACGATATGGGAGGATGAAAAGGATGATCAGCGGTGCCAGGAGTGGTTGCGGCGGACAATGAAGCGTGCATTGAAGAGTTCCATCGGGTCATATATCGGAGATTCAGAATTCTCTCACCGTGATGCACGGTATTGGAGGGATCAAAACACAGAGAGGCTTATGGAGATTCGGCGAAAATGGGATCCCCAGAGCCGGATTGCAGGGGGATATCCAAGCTCACTCGCACTTCCTAATGGTCGTGCTTCAGTTATTGAGGAGCCTAGCAGACTGGATGATGAGCACATGTAGGTAGGAACACATCCATGGATGCCACTGATTAAAGTGTCTTTGCCCTAAACCGCACCTGTCCGTGTTCAAGGAGGTTAGGCCCTTTCTACTTTGAGAAAGAATCTTCCGTCCCGATTATGTGTAAAATCACTACTTCGTTATGCTATGGTACTGCCACATTTACACGGATATTTCGCATGGAATGATTGAGAGAGCCCCTAGCCGAGAAAGAGCTTATACTCCTAACATCCAGTATATCAAATGGCAGGTTTCGCAAGACAGCTGTACCGTCCAAAGTCTATTCAATCATTGGATGAGACAAGAACATTGGACGAAGTGGGCGAATGTGCGATCTTTTGCAGGAATGAATGTCGTTTTGTCTCCCTGGGCGAAGAGCACTGGTGATGATGGCTCGTGGGGACTGTCTTCAGCTAACTCTTACTTCGACTCTCTCCTTTTCTTCCTTTTCTCTTCTCCGACTCCTTCACTCCAGCATCCTTTCTCTTCGTGCCCTTTGAATTTGACTTACCACCAGCGACCTCCAGCTTGGCGGTCCAAGATCGTTCGAGTGCTATTTCGCGGTAAGTACCCTCGCATTTCTCTTGAGTCGCAAATTGTCACTGACAGTGACCAGCCAAACTTGGAAAGGCATCGAATCCCTCTCCGTTTACACCGAGAGCTCAACGCCCGATCGTCCTTCGCTTTCTCAATTCCTCATCGACGCCGTTGCGCAGAGGTGCCCTCCACAATCGATCTCAGCTCACATCTTCAATTTGCTCTTCGCAGGCAATCGCAATGAGCGCAAACGGGGATCCGCTACAGCGTTGGCTCCAAGAGATTTGCAGCCAGCTTCAGGCATGCATAAAATCGGAACGGAAGGAAGCGCAGGATCAATGTCACAATCCGTCCGACTGGCGCGAGGGAGATGGCCCTGGCGCACCTCCACAAACGTCCCCATGCAGGACAGATCTTAGTTCAATGGCCTCATGGAGGGTGATCGCAACGCCACCAAATCCGAACGATATCAAGGCGTACTTGAAAATGATATGGGATCCCTCCTACAAGAGATTGACCGATCTTGGAGTCATCTTTGCACTTCTTACACTGCACCAGAGATACCGGCGGTATTATCTCAAATATGATTTTGACGCAAGAGGCCACATCCGAAAGAATCGAGTCCCACGAGCACCGACCGCTGTGTTGACACTGAACAACGTTCGGTATTTGCCTGTCTTTAAAGACACTTATATCCTCAGCGGGGGATTCCTGCAAGCGGGTTGGCTACTTGGTGACAGCTACCCAGTCAGCTTCAAAATTGGCCAGGAAACAGTCAATTGGTGGTTTACAGCAGGATTGGTAACAGCGCCGCCGTCCGTGGTCTCATCGCCAGGCCTACATGGGCTAGACACAACCCTTCAGCAAATGATTCCGGACACAGCCCAGCCCGGTACTCTCACAACAACCTGGGAATGGGCTCAGCACAACCAAGGTGTGTTTCTCTTGGGCAGACATCCACCAAGGGTTCTTGTTCTCAGTGACTACACCTGCGGCTACGCTACGGCCTCGGCAGAGACCATCACGCCCGATGACATTGCGAACTTTACCCAGATCAAATGGTCGGAAGTTCCTGCCTTGCGTCGGGAAGACACGTTCACCCTTGCACAAATGGATGCTCGTGCCCAACCAAGCTCTGAGCCAAACGATCCCCGATCCGTCGAGTATTCAAACACAAAGAATGAAGTGTACACGCTGGTAGCCACGCAGCCTCTGAAAAATAGCAACGGAGAAACGCGGCCACCCCAGCAAAGCCCCCACGTGAGCCAGCTTTCCAGCGACGCTTCTGTGCAAAATTCAGAAGCCATCTCGCTTGTTTTGCCGCCACGTTTAAGTGTTAAGTTCCGCGATCTCTCTACTCCTTTCATTCATGAAGTAGGGCATCTCATGTACTTGTCACGCAGTGTCTTGAAAGCTCCTCTTCTCTACCAGGCTTGCGTGAACCTGGAGTTGACACTTGTGGCTCTTTTGCGTGTTCCTCTTACAAAGCTTCTTCTTGCATACGGCCCAACCAGCTACGAGTCCCTGCTCCCACAAACGGGGGAACGGGATTTGGCTCAGTGGAGTCACAAAGACCTAGATGCTCTCACTGATCTGGGCAAATTCTGCAGCGACCTGCCTACTTTGTCTGGGGCTATCATGCAATTACCCTCGAATGGCGAGTTCAACGTCTATAGGTCTATGGTGGGCCTTGCACAACGAGGATTTATCCCCCACCAGGGCAAGCGGGATCAATTGCTGACCAAGTACCTTAAGAGCTTGCCCGAGGGAGGTTCAGCAAATCTCCCTTGCGTCGCAGTATTGAGGGAGTGGATATTGTTGCATGGACCGGCGGCGAGTGATGGACAAGCTTTACCTTAAGATGCAAATACAGAGGGGCAAAACGATATCTAGATGTCTATACTTCTGGTTTTCGTCGCTTCAAAGCGTTCCAAGCATGGAGTTCCTTGCACTTCACCCCGGCTCTTGTTCCCGTGGTTCCCTGAACGTATTTGCTTGATTGCAGTACATTCTGCCTTCCTTTCAATGTTTGCTTATGTCCAACGTTCACACTTTGTAATACTATTAGGATCGATTGAACTACCAAATATTCCACTAAAAACTCAGCATTCCAATTCGGAAAGTTTTTCAAACCCACAAAATTGAAGTAGACTTTGGATGATCAAATTAGCAAAGCTATCCATGGGACCAGCACACCCTAATTACTCCGTTTGAGATCTCCAGGCCTTCTCACCCTCTGTATCCTGTTTCATCCTGTCGTAGATCGGTCGCTTGGATGGGGAAATAAATGTCGGAAGAGCTGGGAGGGCTCAATACAAGGCCCATGCTCTCATACATCCCATCTGGCCACACTTTTGAACCACGGAATCGCGCCGCATTGTTGAACCCAATTTAAACCATAATTTTGGTTTTCACCGGAGCCTCTGGATTTCACTCCTTCACTGGCTTCGCTTGGATTCTTGTTCCCTTCATTCACAAAGCTCTCTAAATTGTTTGGTAAATTGTTTGCGGCCATTTGCCACAATCCAAAAATCGCAAATCTAGTGCCTCGTCCCTGGCTCTGCAATATCTGGTATTTCTAAGGTTTAGCTTTAAGCCTCTACAATCTATCAACTTGATGAACACAGATTTCGCCGGGAGAGCCGGAGGACGGGAAGGGTGCCTTATGCAGCCGTCGGCATACATTTCCACTTTCCAAGGTTGCGAATGGATGTTGAGGTTGGCCCTGTATCAGATGTGAAGCAACCTTGGAAGGGATGAGGGCCTATAAATGTATTTTCACCCATTCATGGATCTACTAGTACACGTAGCCAAACAAGACGCTAAAGATTCCAAGAAGAACAGTGAAAACAATGATCGCAGGGCCAAAAACTATCTTCGATAATAGAAGAAAAGTCTTCTCTGAAAACAGAGAAATGAGATGGTCTTTCAACGAGAAGGTTTCGGATTCGTCAGCGCTTTTTGCAGTATACTCATCAATGAGTTCTTGTAAAAAGGACGTTAGCTCCTTGGCTGTTGATGTAGAATCTTGAAGTCGACCAGGCACTGCAGATAATTTGAATAGTTCGTGGTCTGACTGATCGAGGCTTCTCCAATAGCCACCATGGCCACAGGACGAGCAGAAAGCAGTATTGGGGCACCTCCGGCAAACAGAAATCGAGTCCCGTATGTATTCTTCACATCGGAAACACTTGATTCGGAAAGTCCCAACCCTCCGGGACCAGTGAAGTTGAAAGAAATAGGTCGCTCTTTCCTCATCGTTGAGAAATAAAACAAGATGACCTAATTGTTGTACGAGAGGCCACATCCGTTGAATGTTTGGCAGAGAATTGAGGATGGTTTCCGCCAGAAAGAGTACCGAATTACGTGCTGTGAGGTCTTGAGTTTCACGCGGTGTTGGGGGGGGGTTTTGAGCAATGCCGTTGAATCCGATCCATCCAAAACCTGTTCCCTTGTATCCAGTCCACAATGTTTCTACCATAGCCATCCAGAATCGAGGGATCCGCGCCAAGACTAAGAATTTTGATGGCAGATGACGGACGCAGCCCTTGGTAAATAGCTGCATGGAGAGGAGTTCGCAGAAGTTTATCCCGGTTGTCCAGGGCCGACTTGAGAAACGGGAAGTGGGAAATTATTGTATTGATGCGCTCGAGATCGCCTCGGGGGTCTGAAAGTGCAATATGAAGTGGATTTCGGTCAAGTCCATCCAAAGGTAGTGGGTGTGTGGCTGCAGTAACAGAAAATTGATTATTGTCAGGAATTCCAGTGGGTAGTGACTGTATGCATGATAGCCCATTGGTACTTACCGCCTTGGGCGTTAAAATCGACATTGACATCCGACAGAATGCGCAGGATATCAGTTTGCCCCTCGAGGATGGCCGCCTGAATGGCATTTTCATATTTACCACCCTGGGCTTCGACATTGGCTTGGACAGCAAGCAGCATGCGTACTATATCGGTTTGTCCTTTCACCGTGGCTGCTTGGAGAGCATTTCCATATCGATCATTCTGGGCATTAACATCGGCGTGAGTATCAAGCAAGATCCGCACGATTTCAGTACGCCCGCTGCACACGGCAGCAAGCAAACAAGACCCAAAAGGGCCGTCTTGGGCATTGGCATCAGCCTGGGCATCAAGCAAGATTCGCACGATCTCAATATGCCCTTCGAACGCTGCAGCTTGTAGGCAATTTCCATATTTACCGCCCTGAGCATTGACATCGGCGTGGGCATCAAGGAGCAATCGCACGGTCTCAGCCCGCCCTCCGCACGCAGCGGCCTGTAGGCAATTTCCAAAAAAACCGCCCTGCGCATTGGCATCGGCGTGGGCACTGAGCAATATTTGCACAATCTCAACATGCCCTGCGTTCGCAGCGGCCTCTAGGCAATTTCCAAACAAACCGGCCAGGGAATCGGTATCGGTGTGGGCATTGACATCGGCTTGAGAATCAAGAAGTGTTTTCACTAGCTTAATATCTCCTCGGTTCGCAGCGACGATTAGTGCATCAGCCTTTTCGTCGAACATTCCAGCCACTGCTTGTTGGTGTAATAGCCACTCAACAACTTCCAGATTTCCATGAGCAGCCGCTCCGTACAATGCGTTAGAGCCAAAATCATTCTTTGCCTGGCAGTTTGCACCCCTCTCGCAGAGAATTTTGCATGCTCGTACATGACCTTGTTTCGCGGCACAGTGCAGGGGTGTGTTCCCCATGTAGTCCGTTGCGTCAATATGCTCGCCCGCTTCCAGAAGTGACTCTATAATATCAACCAGGTCATAGGTTGCAGCAACATGCAATAGAACCGCGTTGTATACAAATCCTGGTAAGTTATTCCATGGGTAGTTCTCGGAGTTTCTAACCTGAACCCAGTACTCGACAATTGGCTGCAAAATATTCACTTCGTTCTTCAGGATGCCCATCCGACATCCTTCAGCCTTCTTTGCATGTGTAAAGAGGTACTCTGTGGCGTAACCGAAAAACTTCTCTTCTTGCCCATCTTCCATTGTGAAACTTTCTCGTTCTCCGATCGGATCATTTATCGGGTCCCAGGACTGAGCATAGGTTGCCACGGAAAGCAAACATGTCCGATAGAGAATTGCCTGGCATTGGAGGAAGATTTCCCCATGATCGAGGCATGGTATTCTGGCGGTGGTATGACTCGACAATAGTCCAAACCCCTTTTCACCGAAGAAATCATTGACAGACTGGTGTACCACCTGTACAATCCCGTGGTCATTTCCACTTGGGACCACCTCAGCTAGTCCACCAGAGAGAGCCTTGATTCGTGTCCTCATGCGTTCATCATTTTCGATGAAATCTCTAGTACTCTCCAATGATTCAGGACAAGTCGATACCCGAGATACCGGAGTTTGGGATAACGAAATCTGCATGTTCTCAGTGGCCAATGCATATCGCAATTCCTTCACGGTCAGGGGTCGTTCTGCTAAACAGACCCATTGGAACAGTAGCAGTGACTGCCCCCGATTCTGTTTCTCAATCGCATGATCGATGATCCACACGTAGATCTCTTTGAGGCCGGCTGGAACTTCACGCAGCCCGGAATATATATGATCGAAAGGTTCGCAGTCGGCGATTTTTCGTTCGATAGAAGGCACAAGGAGATGAATCCACTGGAACACCCCATCAGCTCGACAGATCAAGTGCTCCGTCAGGTCTTTCAGTCCTTCCTGGTTTTCCCTGGTCGCCATGTCAACAAACACATCTTCGATGCAACTTGCGATGTCACCACGGTTGTGCGCCTCAACGATAATATCAACAGATTGAGCGTCTGTGACGATGGGATAGTGTCGACAAGAGATGCAGATCTTAACGGCTGCATCCATCGTATCCGCGCGGGCAGTGAGTCGATGGAAATATGTTGCCACGTGCCGGGCAGATTCAGCCCCTGCCTCATCGAGAGCATCGACAAATATCATCACTTGGTGCTTTCTCGCGGATTCCAGAATGGCATCTGCCAGAAGCTCTTCTAGCTTGATTTGCGTCCATTCCCAGTGGTTGTCGCCATAGCCATACTTCCGACATCGATCTTCAAAGATTTTGCGAACTGGAGGGCGCACTGTCTCATCGGAGTCATATAATTGATTGAGCAGCGATCGGAGCATTCCAAGCGGTGTGTGTTGTAGCTCAGTGCCTCGGGCACTGAAGAAGAAATCGAGCTGGATGCCTCGATCCCTGGAGGGTGGTTGGTGCAGCTCTTGCGATTCGTTAAACTGATTGTAGAGAAATGCCATCAATGTTGATTTCCCAGCACCCGGTTTTCCTTTGATCCAGAGTAGGCCGCGGGGCTGGAGTGTCCAGTTTTTGAAATCGTCGAGGTCTAAGATCCACCGGCAAGTATCGGTATGGGCTGGCGCGATGTTGTCTCTGCGGTCCAGCATCTGCGGGAAGGAAAGTGATCTCAAGACACCTGCCATCACCATCAGTCATCGCCACTTTGCGCATCGTGATGACACCTACCCTTGTCTGTGTCCTGCTGTTGATTCACCTCACGGACTGAGCATTGTCAGCTGGGTTGACTTCGTTTCGAATGAATTCTTCGACACATACCATGCTGATAGTTTATTGAGCCGTAGTTGATTCCAACCTGAGCGCCCTCGTTGAAGGATACGGACCCTATCATCAAAAGCGGGTTTAGGTAAGACAGTGATGTCGACGGAGGGGAAAGCTCATCTTTCCCACGATCGGGGGCCAGCCTCAGCCCCCGCTCAGGTGACGATCAGTTGCAGTCTTAGGACATCGTGCAGGAATACCAAGACCACGCCTGGTAAGCGCGCGCGAACGGGTGATGCAGTAGGCGATGAACAGGTGGCACAAATGAGAGTCAACCCACAAACTTGGAACCCGCAGACCCTGGACCGTAGAGACTGCATTGGCCATCCCGATGTCCACTTCGCGGGCCGAACCGCTTTGAGCCCCGAAGCGAAATTGGGAATGAGCCGGTCGACTCTCAATCACCGGGATAGCGGCGTGAATGTTTGGCCAGGTCTTTTGACATGATGGTGAAGCAATTGACGGGCTGCTCGATCGCGACCGGGAGAGGATGCGTGACGGTGCACGGAGACGCACAAGGACAATAAGCGCAAATTCCCGGTATCTTTAGCACTTGTTCCATCCTAAATCCCACACACTGCGAGTCGAGGTGGAATCGAAGTCACGGCTGTGGGTGCCCAGGGTGGAGACATTTTTCGTCCAGCCGACGCGGTGGTAGACTTCCGCATTGGGCTGGGTTTAACCTGAGGTCCCGCCCGGAGGCCCAACCCAGTAATGGGCTCTGGGCTCAGAGCCAAGGGCCTAACCCAACCCCGGGTTGGGGTCCACGGGTAGTAGGAATGGGCTGGTGCGGAAGTCTAAGGCTGGTGAAGATCCCAGTGGGGTGTATTGGGGGCCTCAGGCCTACCAGAATTTGGTGTTTGGTGCGCGGACGACGCCTGTTTATTTGGCCAGGGGTTGAGAGACAATACTTTAAGAGACGAAAACACAATGAGTATTAAACTTGTGTCCAGAGATCGGATTCAGAGGTAGCTTGATTGAAGACTTCTGAGGTTCAAACAGTGTGATTGGAGAGCTGTTCGAGAGAAACCGTCTACCATAGATCCAACATCCAAGCTGGGTGTCGGAGACTCAAAAACACCACTCCCAGAACTCCTTCTCTTCAAGATTCAACCAAAATCCTCCACCTCTTCGTTAAAATGCCGAATGTACACTCGCAACCATCAGAAATAGCCTCCAGCTACGACGACCCACCTCCACCGTACTCGCTGAATCCACCAAAGCCACCAAAGCAAATCAATTTTGACCAGATCCTCGTGGAAGTGTATAAGATGAACAAGTGGCTTGAAAGGATTGCCGAGGTTGAAGCCGACCTTGAGACCTTGAAATCGAACGCTCCCGGCACATTGAATCTCTCCTGGTCGGATCATCTTGCGCACCAAGATCAAATACTACGAGACCTCTCTTCAGCTGCTGCCCAAAAGCGCAGACTACTGCACCAGTGTGATAGTGAATGGAGCTCGACCTACGAGAGAATGTCAGCCTATCCCCCTGACGAGATCGAAAGAAGAATAAACAACCTCATAGGGTGTTCCGATGTCCCGAAACGAGGGCAAGCAATCCAAGGGCCTGGACCCATAACCTGATTGGAATCATACGGCGCTCCACAAAGGTATCGTGAAGTTCCTGTCCCACCACCCGATCTCTTGGGGACACTGGGACAGGAGCTCCCGCCCGCCCGCGTGAGCCCGCTGGACGTTGGTAAGAACAAGGCCACGAACAACGGCAAGAATGGCTTTCGGGGGAGCGTTTGGGGGCGCTAAGCTGGGTCCTAGCTCTACAGTGCCCATGTGGCATACAAAAATCGCGTGGCTCTTGTTGGCTTCCAAGTTGAATTGCTGTGAATTCGCGAGAGTGCCGCTTTGGCCAGCTGTGGTTTTGTCTTCAGACTTGTTCTGTGAACGAGAACGACTACGAGCACTGGGGTATTTCTAGAGGCACTAGCGCTAGTACTACTTCGTTTTTGGAGACTACTTCGCGTCGTCAATTTCGTTTCAATTCTCGGGCTACGACAGAAATGAAACACATGATATTTCACCTTAGGATTACTCGAAGCCATTCTAGAGTATGGATTTGCCCAGGAGCGCCGCGAATGCAAATATCTCCGCCGCCGCCGTACAAGTCTGTCTGCGTCGAGTTCTACTGCCCGCTTCTCTGCGTATCGATCCTTCCGATAGAGATTGAGGGATCTTCTAGGCTTTTTGTAATTTTTGCTGTCAGCCACTACGGAGTAGATTACGTCCGATATCCAGGTTGCAATAATTCGGGGTGCATCTCAACCAACGCCAAAAGATTATGATTTTCAAGTGCAGTTATTGCCTGTCTACGAGTGGCAGTGTAGTCTGGAACGGGAGTGCCGTCGGCCGTTCTTTTTGGGAAATTGCATCATTGTAGAATGACGAATTTGGAGGACACAGCAGTGTTGGTTCAAGTTCAAATAAGGTGTCGGACATTCTCTCAGTTTGTCCTCTCCATTAATCCACTCCCAGAACCTACTCTTGGATATTCAACAATCCCTTCGCCTGTTCTCCAAAATGACAGATCTACTCTTGGAACAATCAAAAGCCCCCAACGACGACCCACCACAGTACCAACCAAAGCCAGACCGACTTACTCAGATCATTCAAAATGAGTATAGAATTCGGAAGCTTTGGAAACGCGGTGAACATTTGGCACCTGGAATAGAATCGAGGGCATCAACTTTTCCGAATTCATCGAGTGATCCTGATATTGCGGACAATCTCCAACACGCAATACGAGGATTGTCGGACGTCACTTCGACACTTTCAGAGATCGAAAGTCTTCACCGCGAGCGCGATTATGAGGACATGGAGCTCTATAAGGCGATAGGAAAGCTCAGCCAAAGCGAGTTGGATCGAACTTACGCTTCCGTAACGCAAGGTCACGGTCGGCAGATACTCCAGTCAGGGTGGAATGGGGTGGGGTGCCCAGCTAGGACGGCCGGGGGCTTTTGGAAGAGAGTTTGGAGGCGCATGGTTGGCACTTAGTTCTACAGTGGCATACAAGATTGCGTGGCTCCTCTAATATTGGTGGGATGTTGTGGATTTGCTAGATTGGCCCTTGGTCAGTCGTGATTGTGTCTTGAGAATTTTTGCATTACATTAATCGCAGTAGTAAGGTTGAGAAAAGACGATAATATTTGAGATTGTTATTGTTTTAAGACGAAATTCCCAGACTCGGGGCTCAAAAGCTCTGCGTCCTTCCAAAGTAATTTTCCTTCTTCTCAGGCCATCCAGCTGATGAACCCTCTCATTTTTCAAGAGACCTTCCGTTTGATTACAGGGCCCAGCGTCCGCCGGAGTGGCGATATTCATCATCACAAGATCGATCTGTTGTGTGGGAGTTGGAGTATTCCGAGTTGAGAGTCAGACGAAACGCGTGCATTCACCATGCCGAAAGAAAGGAACAGCACTTGAAACCGTCTCCGTGCTTGCCTTTGCGACATAAAAAGGGCTCAAAAACTTACCTGCTGGGATGAAGGTGCTTCACGGCTTCCTCTCGTGAAGCGTCGCTGCTAGTCAATCAGGACTTGCACGCCAAAATATAACATGACACCAGAGAAGGACGCCGGTGAGAGCACACGACAGATCGCCATCAGACCGCAAGACATGGAGCACGACAGAAAAAAGGTTCCATCGTCCTCGCCGCGGTGAGAATATTGGGAAGAAGAAAAGGGCGAAACAAGAGAGGAACGGCGTCAGCAACCTAAGCTGCCGGCACCCCAGACATACCGGCCACCACCACATTCGCCATGTTCTTGATGCCCGTCCGCCATGTCTTGGCGCTTTCGGTTTCATTGAGACTCGAGAGGGAGGAGCCAATTTCAGCCCAGGGGGCGGGGCGACGAACTGAACATCCCCGACTCTCAAGTCGGCTGGCGTCAGCCTTTCAGCAGTCTGTCCCTCTTCACCGGGCAATCTTTCCAAAAGGATGCACAGGGGGGTTGCCTGTTGGCCTATATGATCCAAGATTGTTGGTCATCTAGAACACCAACACGGGTCGTAGCAAAAACCTACCATCTCTCTCTCTATTTCTGACCCACTGGTCAGTCAATGCAGACTGGGGGTCCCTAATTCATAAGGTCTTAGCCAATTTTGTTCAAGACCGTCTCCAAACCGTTCCTGGAGAATGGTGATACTCGACTCACCGTCGGATCACCCGCTCTTCCCAGTTTTGTTGGGCTTGATCTAGTCTCTTGGTCACCTTTCTCTTGTGGCGAGCCCAAATACAGCCAGCCAACGCCCCAATGACAGTAATTCCTGTCAGCAAAATTAGTGCGTTGATCGCCGGCGGCAGCCTGGCGAGGTCGTCTGTGGCTTAGGAGTCAAAGAAAAGGCCATGGATGATAAAGTGGACAGATGATCGTGCCCCGGTGGTGCTGAAGATGATCAGAGGAACCTTTAATGGAACAAGATGATGAGAAGGGGAAGAGGATGGGGGCAGTTGGCAAGTGATTGTGATTTGTTTCCACGGCAGTCGCGACGCAGCTTCCAACCTTCAAGGTTGGAAGGTTCCCTTCTGGGTTCTTACCCCACAGGCCATTAGTCTATGCGCTCTGTGATCAGTCCTGATCGTGGAGGATTGGAAGTCACTGTCCAGGTGCGATTATGCTGGTTGCTGGGTCTCTACCTAGGTATATCATGGATGTTCAAAATCTCATACTCAGCTGACCATTGAGTTGGCCACCCGTTGGGATATATATTCCAACCTTGGAAATCTAAGAGGTTCCCGAGGTCTGTACCTACCTAGGTACCTAGGTACAACGTAATTCTTTTGGTAAAGAAACAGCGGGACTTTCACCTGGTACCTGGCAAAATGTCGAAAGCTTGAAGTCCAAGCACCCAGTAAAAAGGCGAAAATTGCTCAAAAAACCTTGGAAGCTGCCCATTCCCGCGAAAGGGATTGGCGGGATCAACGATTGACCAAAAAAAGAAAGAAAGCAGCGACCGTGGTACGGGATTGAGATATATTGCAGAGTTGCAATCTCACGCGTTACCTAGTACCACTGCGCCGCCGCTGCAGTGATGGTGGATCCCCCAAATGGTGTCTCTATGAGGCACGCAACACGATGGAAGTTCAACCGTCTGATCTTCTCCCATCTCGATCCTGACCCTACCTAGGTATTTCTCAAATTTAACCCGATCGAAACTCACAGCTTACGAGATCAAGAAATTAGAAAGAAGAGACGAGAAGACCCAAACGAAATGGCTAATGATTTTTTACCTCTTGTATCAAGGTCTATGCAGGATAATTTGACCCTGCCAAGGTTTGGTATGCAAACTTCCAATCCACCTCACTGGCAGTAGTATGAAACGAATGGACGTGAAGGCGAGCACAAGGACCACCCCAAGGTCAAGCGCGAGGAGTAAGCCTGACCCAAAGTGGCCCCTTGTCCCAGATAAGAAAAGCCCGTTGATCGGCCCAGTTCGAGCAATCCTTCGACAGCTCTAAGTCAAAATTCCAAATCAGCAGAGCGAGTATCAGGCTTGCTTCACCAAATGCCAACCTGAAATCAAATTAATGGACTGTCATCCCCTTCACATGGTTCCGGGGATATACTTACCGCTTTCCCGGGCATGCCCTCGGGCCTACTGAAAAGGGCTGCATGGCATCTTTGATATCGAGGATTTTTGAATCACCATCCAGCCAGCGTTCGGGTAGGAATGACTGTGCGTCTGTGAAGTTGGACGCGGACTGATAGGTCGCCCACGACGCAACAGCGACTGATGTCTAGAAATCATGTTAGTCGATATCGTATTCAGTCAGGTTGAGTGTGCCTACCCCCCCTGGTACAAACTTGTTTGATACAATCGACCCTTCAGTAGGCACAACACGCGGCATACCGAGTGGTAGGGGTGGGTACATTCGCAATGTCTCCTGAAGCACAGCTCGGAGGTATTCTTTGTCTTCTAGCGAGGAAAAAGAAATTTCCGAAGAAGAGGTGAAACTGTTCCGAATTTCCTGCGAAAGCTTCTCGTGCACTCCTGGCGACCTCAGAAGAAAGAACGTACACCCCGACAGAAGGGTCGCGGTAGTCTCACTCCCTGCCATCATCATAAAGCTGTGATTTGAGAAAACTTCCTGGGCAGAAAGAGTCGACTTGGGATCTTTTTTAGCCCGTATGTAATTACTGAAAGTGGTTCGATCAGGATCGGAATCCTGCTCGGACAGTTTCGATGAGACTGAAGCATATTTTTTGTTTCGTTGACGGAGAATATCGCGGTAGAAAAATAGTGCTAGGGCGTAGATGATCCATGAAAAGGCTGGGAAATATGCACTCTGGCTGAGAACAGCCCAGGCCTTGATCGAGTCAAATAGCATCCTTACCCATGAGTGATTCGTCTCACTTTCGAGGCAGCCCAAGGATTCACCGAACAGCTCGAGTGCCATGAAATCGAACATGACATGATTGTACCATACAGTCATATCTGCATAGCTATTAGGTTTGCTTGCCGCGTTTTCCGAAAGTCTTTGAATGAGCGTATCAACAAATGGCCGAAGTATCGTTTCATGAGACTTCAGTGCTGGTTCCGAGAACGCTCGGAGAATGGCCTTCTTCTGACGGCTGTGAATTTCATCAGGAGCGACGACCACACTCGGCGCTTTGTTATGAGAGACATGATAGAATCGCATGTCTTTCGGAAAGTTTCTCGAGTGGCCGTGTATATCTTTCCAGGCTTGGTCATTTCGGAAACTCAACTCATCAGGGGCAACCCGCACAACGTCGCCATACTGATCATGGAGATCTTTGATCCGTAGGTGTAGATGTCCACGTGCATATGCTGCTGCATAGGGAACCCTTGACACCGACCAGAATAAGGGACCCGGGTAACTGGCCAGGGGGTGAAGATGTCGGGTGGAGAATATTCTCCATAGGACGAATGAGGCTAGCTGATGCCAATCAGACCCACAAGGCTCACGGTGCGCACAAAAACACTTACCAAGATGGCAATGTGGGAGAAGCCGGGGAATTCCATTGCAGGCATGAAGCAGGGGAGGTCGTTTGGCCGAAGCCTTGAACAGAGCCAATATGATGCACGTAGATTGTACTGTAAGCTAATGCCACTACTAGTAACCAGCAAGTAAATAAGAAGATCGGTTAGTGGCTGTAGATTTCTTCAGACCGATCACACCTCACCGCTCCTTTGCGTCACTTCCTCCACTTCATCTCAGCGACAGACCAATGATCGAAGTAGCACCTCCCGAGATCGCAGATCCCACCAAGATTAGGCATTGGTCTGATGGCTCCAATCCAGCAAGCTGGTTCGCTTTTGCCGATCGAACGCCACTTTTCATCATGCCTGTGCATAGAATACCCTGTCCACGCTGATTGGGTCGATTATACTCTATCACCACAGTCAAACTCAAGTCCAAGAACAAGCCCGTCTTCAATTTTCGGGTTTTGGCCTCGCTTGCAAAGTTTGTTGGATCCACAAGGTTCAGCCGGAGGTATACATATAACCCGTGTCTAATCCAGGGGCGCCACGCTCTACGGGTGGAATGATTATAATCATAGACATTTGTCCCGCTTTTGCGTCAACAACTTCCAATACCTTTGAACAAACTAGTTGCGACAAACCCAAACTATGCACGTGCAACTGCCGACGATGGCAAATTCCAAGCCAAAGACCGTTTTGATAGACATCGGAGCCGTCATCAAGCATCCATCCACCGAGCAGACACTCGGCGCAGGGAAATCTGCTATCACCCTGCGAAGACTCATGTTGACATCAGTCTGGATGGACTACGAATGCGGAAAGCTGTCTGAGCAAGATTGCTTTACACGATTAGCCAGCGAATATCACCTCGAGGAAAGTGAAATCAGGACGATGGCTGGTACTATTCGCGAAAGCACCACGTACAACGCGGATGTTGTGGCTATTCTTGACACTGTCAGAACTTCCGGGACACGCGTTTTTCTCGTCGCAAACATCTCTCACGAGGACCATGCGGCTCTCCGAAGTCGGTGGGGTAATGGTTTCTGGCCCATTTTCGACGGTGTTTTTACTTCATCCGATCTCGCCGCTCGCAAGCCCAATCTCCGATTCTATCGTCAAGTCCTCCAAGCTACGAGGGCAGTTCCCCATGAAACTTTCTTTATCGATGAACGTCCCGAGAATGTACTCGCAGCTCTCGGTCTCGGTATGAAGGGCACTTTCGACACATCTGACATTTCCCGATCACTCGCCAATTTCATCGGCGACCCTGTGGAGCGAGGACTTGCCTTTTTGCGCGGACAGAATGGAAATTTCCCTACGACTACTCAATACGGGGAAACAATCGATGAAAATTATGCCCCTCTTCTGATGAGGGAAGTTTTGGACGACAAGTACGCCACAATTGGACAACGATCCTGGCCATTTGCTAATTTTTTTGATCAGGAGTCTGGTTCGATTTGAAGTTCCTGATCGACTTTGGAATTTCTTTAGTGGTGGGTGACTGAAGAAGACTTTCCTTCATTTATGTCTAATCGATACTCAGGCAAACCGAAATACACAACTGACGAATACCCCCCGGACTTGGACACTACATCACTTGGCATGATAGCTTTCCCTCCAGATGAGGAAGCAGCCCACTCAATCCTGGACGGCATGCTGGATTACATCGATGAAGATGGCAACTTTCAAGCAAGTCCCCTAGCACCTATGTTGGCACATTGGCAACAGAGCTAATCTTCAACGCAGGCGTATTACGATAAGTCGAGACCACGAGCCGACATCGTTATCACCCTGAATATCTTGATCATCTTCCACAAATACGGACGCAGCTACCAATTACCCACCACTATGGAATGGATGTTCAATGTCCTATTGAACAGGGCCTACATCAACGGCACACGCTACTATGCAAGTGCAGAGTGGTTCCTGTACTACATGGTGCGACTTCTTCGCGAGTCCACGGATCCAACCCTCGAAGGAAGAATCAAGGATCTTCTCCGGAAGCGGGTGACCGAGAGAATCGGAGCTCCTGGCGATGCTTTCCCTCTTGGAATGCGACTGCTGGCGTGCAAATATTTGGGTATTGAGAATTATCCGGATAGCCAGAAGCTTGCGGATATGCAACAGGAAGATGGCGGCTGGGAAGCTTCCTGTTTGTACTATTTCCCGGGGAAGAAACGAGAGGTTGGAAATAGGGGAGCTAGTACGGCTTTTGCCTTGAAAGCTCTTGAGGGATGGTTCTAATCATGATCTAGTCCAGTGAATTTCGAGCGTGTTGACAAGAAGCAGAACCAGGGTTTGTGATCTATCACTCTGATGCTTGGCATTGTCGTTCCAATGTTGTCCCTACAGCTCTACGAAAATAATTTCCTACAGATATTTTCCAAGGTAGTAGCAAAGAGCAAAGGAGCACGCGCTCCCCTAGTATCAATTCTTAGTCAATTAGGATCAAGAATGGCTAGAGCCTCCGCGGCAAGTCAAACGGCACTTTCTCACTCGACCATGTAATCTGAGTTGAGTAGGGACGACCTAATATCACTGCTTTAGGTACGTCAGAAGAATGGCCATTGGATAAGTGTATCAACGTACTCTGCAGTAATTGTTTTGAGAGCGTCTCAACAATAGGCCAAAGTCCAAGCACAACGGGCCATCATGGACAACGGCACCCGTGCCATCCAGTAGACGCTTGGGAAAGGATATATCCAGATTGAGAAGTGGGTCTTCTCCTTCCACCATCAGATATTATCAGAGAGTTCTTCTCCCTCTTCTCTCCTCGACCACCTTGTTGACAAGGAAGCTGCATCATCAGCTCAGTTGCTCGAGGGAGTGATTAATGTATGAGAGGTTCTGCCATTGTGGCAATTTTGCTTGGTACGACTGTTCAAACTTCGAAGTCTACCAACAGTGGGTCTTTCCCTCGTTGTCGCAATAGCCACCAGTCCCGGGCAAGTGGGGTCGTTTGAGTCTCACCATTGCACGTCTTGTACCAGGTGGTTGTATGATTCCGACTGATGGCTTAACAATTGACCACCAGTAGCGAGGGCGCTCGCATTTGGGGGATGTCGACTAAGTCTTTGCGTTGCTCGCGCAGACCCGTGGACATCTTGTCGAAATAGTTAGCATTTCGAGCTTCGAATCGACGCCTTTCTGGCGAGGCTCGAACGAACCGGGGAGGAACAGCGCTGCATCCCCTCGAGGATGAGAGAGGCCAGCACACTGGCAATCTCATGAGTCATTCTCCCGAGGTCCGGATGCTTGGAGGACTATTCTGGAACCCCCCCTTCATATCCAGTCTGTAGAATATAAACAGCTCTGCATCGCTGAGCAGACCGTAAACAGTCCAACTGGTCTGACCGCGCTTTTTGTGGTCTGCTTGGACCGTGGCCATATAGGCCAAAAGTTGGCCGTGGCCGTCTGACCCGTCTTGCTTCGCCTCAATCATCACCACATGGCAAGACATGTGACTTGTAATTCGAAATGACGCAGCAGCTGTTGAAACTCACCTGAATATGCTTGAACATGTGCGATCCCGAAACCAGTCCAGGTTCGCCTGAACTTTAAGGCGTGGACAATTAAAACTTCGAGTATCCATCCAACGCCCGCCTGCGATGTTGCTGTTTGAATTGAGGCAGTTTCGATCAGAAATTGACAGTTTTCTGTAGGAAGTCAGTTCTAGAACTCTCCAAGTCGTGATTTTGGAGAAAATATAGGACCAACTTGTTAAAACTATTGATCACTTACGATTTGGTATTTGAAAGTCATCTCAACCACGCTTCAAAGTTCAAAGTCAGCCTGAGTATTCGGACAGTCGACTGCGCAGGAAGCTGCTCAAGGATGTTGTGTGTGTGGCTTGTTGCGGATAAGATGGATCTTAACACCCAGAGTGAAAATGATTTTTCTTTTTTAGCCATTGCCGGGAATTTCCGAGGGTTGTGTGGGATTCTGGATTTCCCATCATTTTGAGGTATAATCGTAATAATAAGAACCAGAAGCGTTTGAGGAGATCGTGGTGCTGTAGAGTAGAGACAGGAGGAACGTGGTTGAACCATGGTTCATTCCCGACGCCTCTTTGGGATGAACCAGAAACTCTATTTGAGTTAATGGTGACAGTCAGGTGACCCATGTTTCTCTCCAGGGCTGACTATCACTCTCACTCACATTCACTCTTCTTCGTATATCTAGGCCCCTTACTCATAGTAAGTGGAGCTGATTGTATTTTCTTGAGTGCATTCTTTATTTCATCAAGAATCGACAATACCATCGCCCATCTTATTTACAATCTACCAAGGTATTTCTTGTTCTAAATGAGTTGGTAATGAGAGCCAGCACCTCTTCCGGAAATATGGAAGTGAGAAGTGTGAGAAAAGTAGGCTTGCGAAAAAAACAATCCCCATTGGCACTTTGCCCCCACCGGCACGGAGGACGGAGCATGCAGAGGCACCATTCCATCCCGAGAAGGCAGAAATATAGGCGGTCAGCAAGGCCCGCTGGTTATTGCGCCGCGGGCAGTCTTTCTCGCCTACCGAGGCATCCCACTCTTCGATCATCCATATTTCAGCATTCCCGTGTCAGCGCCTATTCTCTGCACGATGTGGGAACCAGTGAAACTACCATTTCAGAACACATGGCCTCTACCAGCTCTACCTACAACAGATGAAATACGCGCTTGCACCAATCTTCTCTGGGACTCCCCAGCCTCCAAGGTTGTGGCAGTAAACGATGATATTGTCGTGAAATACGGTGGCCGTGTCTCTGCCCCAGAAGGTCAGGCCTTGGTATACCTCGAACGGCACGTCCCGGATGTCCCAGCCCCTCGACTTTACGCGATGTATCATGACTCCGACCAACTTTTCTTAATCATGCAACGTATTCCTGGCGTGCCGCTGAGCTCGATTTGGTCATCACTGGCACAGTCTGAGAAGGATGATATCATTACAAAACTGCAGCTGGTGTTCGACGCAATGCGGAAGGCCGAGTGCCCCTGGCCTGACTTGTACGGAAGCCTAGAAGGGGGCGGCTTATCCCACTACCTATTCTATGATCAATCCGGCACCAGGAAATTCTTAGGGCCTTATGTTGGGGAACCCGCTTTTGTTGCCGGTCTTGTTGGTAACTATAGGACCTTGGTTGATCGGAATAATCACCCAGACTACAAGTGTCGGCTTTTCGAAAAATACATCGGACAGGTTCTACAAGGTCACCGACCGACCTTAACGCATGGAGACGCTCAGCAGAAGAATATTATGGTCGTGGAGGACACGAGTCGCTCTAATGATAATGGTGAGCGATCATTTGACGTCGTACTAGTCGATTGGGAGGCATCCGGTTGGTTTCCGGACTTCTGGGAATTCTTTTGTGCAGCCCATCCTTTTATCTTTGATTGGGACGAGGATTGGTCCTGGCGAGTTCAAGATTTCCTCCAAGTCTGGCCGGCAGAGTATGCCACCATGCAACTGATTCAAAAGGAGATGTTGTGATAAAGTACGATAATAAATGATCACACCAAAATGCATGCATTTTCCCAGCCACCGGGGAAAACAAAACAAAGCAAAGCAGAATCACTCAGGGACCACCTACTGTACTAACTGTCAATCTAGGAATATGCTTCCAAGTTCTTGAACCCACACTCGTGACATGGTAATAGCGACAAGAAACGCACGACATCGACCACCCGAGAAAGGAAAAAGAAGCAGAGGATCGTTTATCGAGGAGGCACGGTAAATGCCTTTCTCATGTAAATCTATCATGCGACTCAAACCTAAGAACCTTGGAGGTGAGTGCCAATGACCTTGCAGGTCTAGAGCAGACCTACCCAAGAAGCGACGGTTCTCCGATTTCCTCAAATCGAGGCAAACCAAAACCAATACTTCCACTTAGCAATGCAAAATCCCTTCGTCTCGCAACTTGGGAATTGCAAGCTCATGCGTCCATTCATTACACTTCATGATCGGCCGACGCTCCTCGCCCGGCCCGTAGAGCTCCCCATTTTCCTTCGTCCAGGTCAGCTTATTCCGCAGAAGGGGATCCAGACTCCAAAAGTCAAGCCCCTGCTGCTTGGTCGGCTTCGGCAACGCTCTCAAAACAGGTCCAATTCGGGAATAATCGGCTTTGCGAATCCATCCGATTCCTGTGATCTTGTGAAAATAGGTGGACGAGACAGGATCGTAATTTTCTCTTTCCTCGTATCGCATGCCACTTTTCGCGAAAACATCACCAGTCACGTGAAACAGTGTCCCCCTGCCAGTTGTTGGGTCCAGTGCAACGAAGACACCTGTGTGGTATCTTTTAGGGGGATCTAGAAGATCGAAGGCTACTTTGTCGAGCTCTGGGGTGAGGACTCTGTACCACTCGTGTGTTGGAAAGGCGCTCTCTTGCGACTCCGCCTTTTCAAACATATTTGATATTTCGCCGAGTCGATCGGAAGGGAATGGGCTTTACAGCAGTCGGGTGAATTCAGATGCCCAGGGGCTTGACGCCGAGAGTTTGGTTGCAGTCAAGCCAAAGAGGAGTGAACCCCTTTATCTAACATGGATGGGCATGGTCCTCCTTTTATGTGCCCGAGGCAATTCCAGGCGTGCGCGGGTGCTTGGACATGGCCTTCGAGCCTTCAAGGCTAGTAGATCCTAGTCATTATTTTCCGCGCGCCAGCTGGTCAGGCTCCAAGCTGAACAAGAATGAGTGGGCGGGGGTTCTCGAGGAACTGAGTCAAAAAGCAAACATGCATGTTGGAGGACAATGGTTGGTTCAAACTGAGGCCCCCAATCGAAGGTCAGCTTCAGAGTGATTTTACCATTTATACCTGGCGGCAGCAAGGAAATGAGAGCCTGCGGGGTAGTAGCCAATCGCCTCGGGATATTCAGCGTTGGTTTTGGCCTGAATCCTACCCTAGTAGTGTCCGTATCGGTTCGATGGTCCGGGGGCATAGTTGCGGACCCTATCAATACTCCCTAATTCACGGGGAGGGTTGGGCGAATGGTTGGATAACGAACGTTCCGCCGTAACTTCTTTCCCCTCATCCCGCTCACTCTTTCACCTCGCAAACATTCCAAATTGGAAGAAGTATACACTCTGCGTATCATCTGGACAAGCATCCTCAAGCCTAAGGTCTGTCAGAATTGGTAACATCCACATTCTTCGAGCGGTTGTGAAATGGAAATAAGCGCCTTTATGATTGGGAAAATCTCCCAGATCGCGGCTCCATTTTTGCTCGTTTCCGCGCTTCTGATAGTACTGACATACCCGACCTTGTGAAGTCCATTCGCAACGAGTCCCTAACTGCAGTGCAGGCGGTGAAGGCCTTCAGCAAGGGAGCAGCCTACGCTCATCGGTTGGTGTGTTGATGAATGCCCGGGACCCTACGGGCTCGATAATTAATCCAGCAGCTTGGCAGGGCAAGTTCTTGCCTGAAATCGGATTTGAGCAGGCAATAGAGAGAGCCAAAAGGCTGGACGACCATTTCAGAGAGCATCACGAACTTGTTTGTCCTTTGCATGGCATGTGGCCTTTGTATTAGAGTATTGCGCGTGTCGTCATCCAAACCCCGGCTGCGAGTCTGAGTTGTACCCGCTGAAAAAGATGTCGATCAGGGTAAAATCCCTTTCCTGGAGATTTTGGGCTTTCACCTCCCCCCTAGGTATTCGGTGAGCGTCAACAACCTCACCCAGGCGGATATTAGCGGCCTGGTTTATTCGGCTCCACAGGCCATGTCGATGGGCCCCGGGGTTTGTCTTGTCCAGACCCCCTTTCGCGAAGTAGGGGATTGAGAAGATCCGCCCCGTCCGACGGGATAAGTGAGAAGCCGAGAACGGAGGGAAGAAGAGATCAAGAGACTTTGCTTCTCTCTTTGGTAACTTTCTAGAAAACTATCTCTTTTTGGTTATGTCGCACGAGTGCTCCACCCCCTGGGGGGCAGAGCCCTGCCCAGGTGCCCCGGTGGAGGCGAGGGGTGGGTCACGTGACAAATGTCAGAATGAGGCTCTGCGGGTAAACGCTCGGGATGTGGGGATCTCACGACAGCGCTGGAAACATCAAGTAGATTGAGGCTGATGAAGTCAATGCTCAGGTCCACGGGTGCTCTTGTTAGAATTCCTGATACGGCATTGGCGGCGTCGAAAGTGATAACAGCAAAGTCCAATATCTAACCACGTGCCGATCCTGACATGATTTTGGTAACTATACAGAAAGCGAAGCGACAGCGACAATGATTAGGTGACAACGGATCATAGAGAGACATTTCATTCGAATTCGGTCACAGAAAAGAAGTTAAATTCTATTTGGCCACTCGTCTACTCTGTCTGTCGTACCGCCCAATACGAACTTTTGCCCACTCCGCTTCCCATATAATGCGGGGAGGACTGGTCCTGATGGGCTGCTCGGGTGCGGTTGTGGTGGTCGTATTGACCCGATTAGACATAGGAAGCGATTGCAGGAGGAAAATACTATATCATGCTTTTCTCCTCTGTTGTGCCGCACTCCCTAGAGCCATCTTCCGCTTTTTATGTATCTCCGCGCGGAGAAGGGATTCAATCCGGGAACGTACATGGAAGGAGGGTCTGGAGCAGGGGACTCGGAGTACTGGAACAACTAACAGAAAAGAACATCAATGATTGTTAGCGATGAAGCGGAGTCCCCATGACCTTTTCATACCTTGTTTCCATGTGTTTCACGTCTTGTCACCTCTTGACGTATGCGAGGCGAGTCTAACATGACCAACGCCCAATCAACAGCGTCGCGCAGACCACTTGATGCCATGATTGCGCGTCAAATTACGCTACCGGTCCACCGGTAGCAGGCATCTGCATCCATCTTCACATGATATGGTCTGCAAAATTTCATCGGCAGAGGTCAACGAGATTTGCTGGATGTCAGAGGAGAAGCGCGGTACTTCGAGCTTAAGACACATTGGACAACTCGGATGCCCTAACTGTTTGTGCTTTGGGCAAAGACATTAGACATCTTGCTTATCTGAAATTGCCGAGTAGCTGATCCACCTTGTCATCGACGGAGAGCCCCGTGGGCTGACCGCACCAAGAAGTGGGCGGCCTAAACCAAGACACAAGTCTTGGGTCGAGCATGCAAGAAAGCACAGTTGCTCAGATTGTGAGTCTTTTTTGCGCTCGTTGTATCTATGGGATTTGTTATTAGCAGGTGTTCGTTGATGGGAGATGGAGACTTACTCAAATCCGTAGCTCACGGCTTTGATGGCATGTGTGAAAAGTATGCTGTACAGACAGTGGACCGCATAAAACGATATCATTGAACCAATCGCCATCAGCAGCTTCCAAGGTTGTCGCCGAATTCCTTAAACAAGTTCGTTAGGTCCAGACTGAAGGCAGGCAAGGCGGCCCGCCCTTTAGGTCCCCCATTTGGTGTCTTGTTGTTGGCCATTGCCTTTTTCTTGCACATGTGTGCCTGTTCACCTCCAAATTTGTCTGTTAAGAGTGGCAAGATGGTTGTCAAATAGAAGAGGAAAGCAGAAAGAGAAGACCTTGACATTCGGAAACCCCCTTTTACTCTTCAATTGTCAGGCGCGACCCGACCCTGCGGCAAACACGGCCAATATTGCACCATAAGCCTGCCTAAGCTCCTCAAGTGCTCCAGACCTGCTACCCGTTGTCCACTCCCAAGGCTGCAACTGTGAGAGTCTGCATATCTTCAGTTCCAGTTCAAGGAAACAGGAAACTCTTGATGAGCTTTCAAGTTTCGACCTTGGAACTCTACCAATACACCCAAAAATGCCAAAGTTTAATCTCCTATGATCACTAGAACTTTGACCAGGATAGGAAAAAGCAGTGAGAGAATTGATGATATGAAAACTCCCATGAGGATAGCATTGGTGTCTAATACAAAATTTGAGCTTGAGTTGGCTTCGCTCCGAATTGGAGTTACTAGTCAACAGCGCTGCGAAGAGACCAAAATTCGTTGCTGTTGGCCGCACTAGGGGAGCACTAGCTAGATAACCCGCCTCTTACGAAGTTTGAAAAGTGAGCTTTGCTATGTGCAAAGCGCTAAACCGGTCCAGCAGCTAATAACAAGCGGTGGGTCGGTAGAGCAGCCCACTCCAAGTGCAACACCGTCTCAACAGCCGCTCGTCGGCGATGGACTAGTAGAGAGCATCGGACCGTCGCAACAGCTGTAATCAGCGATGGATCTGTCTGTCTGTAGCGCATCAAGCCGTTGCAACAGCTACTAGTCAGTAATGAATCAGTCTGTCTACAACACATCAAGCCGTCGCAATAGCCGCTAGTCGACGATGGATAATAGGGCAGCTGCTACAAACCCTGAGCGCCGACATGTGTTGACAGCTTTCGACGACAACGACCTCTGGCCAGGATGGGGTACCTCATCCTGATCTTGGGTAGATGACCTACCTGGGCTGTGAGCGTTCTCAGCCTATTGGTCGCCTTCTTCTCCAGTGGTGGCTTTGGGACGCACCTCTGGTGGGTTGACACTGGAACCAGGGATGCGCTGAATTAGCGCAAGGATCTGCCGGTCTTGCGCCTCAAGGCGGGCGATCATTTGTTCTCTCCAAGTGGCGAGGTCCAGTTGGATATCGTCCACCCTCCGATCCACTTGGTCGAGTTCAGCCTCGATGTCGGGCTCAACTGCATCCCATTCGCGATTCTCGCGCCTACGGGACTTGTTATCCATGTTTCTTAGTGGGGTATTTCTGTGGCTTACCTTTCAAATCGATTGTTCAACCAGATCTCGGTGCATTCCCATGCCAATGAGAACATGTAATGGACCGGACCATGTATATCATTAGCAGCACCTTAGCGACATCAAACAGCGTCAGAGGCTCGTCAGCCTTGGGTGGGAAGTCGCGAGGTTCGCCATTTTGGTAACTCAGCTGGAAATTAAGAGGTAGATCAAGGGAGAGAAAAGTGAGAGATAGTTGAAGAAGAGAAAAAGAAAAGAGAAGAGGAAAAAAAGAGCGAACCTTGAAAGTGTTTTCATCATGAATTCAGGCACCCAGGCATCTTACACCGAATCAGGAATTCCGTTCACAATACCCATCCATGAATGGATTTCTATGTTTACTTTCGATATTGATTCGAATACAAGATATCGTCTCCCAGTATGGCCTCGACAGAAACTGTACTCCGCAGCAACCTTGGGGTACTGGAGTAAGGTGGCCCATGAGATCGAACTTGTCCAGAATATGTTTCCATAGTAGAATCTGCCAGGGGTTGGATCACTGCGTAAATCTATGAAGTAGTTACTCTATAACTCGATATACCTCGAAATAACCAGTGGAATTTCAACAAATTACAGTAGACCCAACACTTGAAGGGTGATTCTAGAACCCTGATCGACGTAGAATTGTGCAGTGTCTCATCTCGAACAAAGGGCTAGCGCTGACACTGCGGGGGCTGAAACCAACTCGCGTCTCCAACTTCAATCTTGACCTTCCTCTTGCATCTACTGTAAGATCAAACACAGTCCTCCCATCATGGGTAAAATCGATGATAAGTCTGTTGCGACGTGGTCCTTTCACAATGTGGCTGCCTGCTGACCGTGCCCCAGGTTTATTGGCCTCGCACTGGCCGTGCTATCCTCAATAGCCATCGGTTGGTCTTTTCTCGTCGCATTTCAACAAAATACTCACGATCGGAACCCCAGGATCAAGTTATGTTGTCACCAAGAAGGTTCGCCTCTCCCGGATTGTCTCTGTCGCCATGCGCCTCAGCGCTAACACCTCACCAGGGTCTCATCCAGGCAGCCGAGAAATATGGCTTCACCGGCGATGGATTTGAATACATTCGGAGTGTGGTGTGGTGGTGTGGCACGATCATGCGTATGGCCCAACGACTGCACGGACACCGACCGAGGCTGACACGTTTACAGTCGTTACCGGAGAGTTGATGAACACCGCCGCGTATGCGTTTGCTCCCGCTGTGCTGGTTACACCCCTGGGGGCATTGAGTGTGCTCATCGGGTACGTCGGACGATCCTCGATTTCACATTCGCGCTAACTCGAGACCAGTGCCTTGATGGGATCATATTTCCTTAAGGAAGAAGTCAATGTACTCGGAAAATTGGGATGTGCCGCGTGTCTCCTGGGCTCGGTGCTGCTGGTGCTTCACGCGCCGGGTGACAAGGACATCCAGACCATCGATGAGATCCTCCATCTGGCGATTCAACCATGTCGGCAACCCTTAGTAGCGCGTTTTGTTTGACTGTACTGACATTTTTCAGTCTTTCTTATTTATTGTGCCTGCGTTACTATCCTGGCCAGCTACGTTATTTGGAAAATCGCCCCGACGCAGGGGCGCACGAACCCGTTGGTCTATATTTCGATTTGTTCCTCGGTCGGATCGGTGTCGGTCATGTCTGTCAAGGCGTTCGGAATTGCTGTGAAGCTTACTGCAGGCGGCGACAACCAATTCACTCATGCGTCGACGTATGTTTTTGCATTGGTGCTGGTCGTCACGACCCTGACGCAGATGAACTACTTGAACAAGGCCATGGGCCAATTCCCTGCATCGCTGTGAGTTTTCAATTTTTGACTCTTTGATTCATCAGCAGCATACTAAGTCATCAATAGGGTGAATGCGATGTACTACGTCGGTTTCACAACATGTACCCTCTCTGCCTCCATCATTTTCTACCAAGGATTGAACACCAGCAACTGGACCAGCATCCTTTCGATGATATGCGGATTCCTGCTCAACTTTACGGGCATCTCTCTCCTGACATTGTCCAAAACCGCGTCATCCGGCCCCAGGGGTAAAGAGCCTGCAAGAGGAGTTGGTATGCACTCCCTCGACCTCTCCCACGGACGATACGACCATGTACGGACGAGCAGCGTGGAAATCGAACACGCCCGCGGGCGGGCATCGTCGGGGACGCACCTCGAAGCGCAATCATAACTGCACGCCAGTGATGCGCATAATTTCGATGTATTTTCCATTTCATTTCTCGACATTCCCGTCCGGTGAGGCAGGCCTGATCTCGAACAGTCCATATAGACGTCTCACTGAATGCTGTACAGATACGTGTGTTGATGTGATGTCGCATAAGAGCAAAAATCAACCAAGTACCCGTGATCAACCAAAATTTGTTTAATTTAGAGTGTACGATACTTTGCTATTTCCTTTGCTGCGACTGATCTTCTTGATTGTCACTTTCCCAACCTTGCCAGTATCAGGAACATGCGTGCCACCACACGGATATGCCCCGGCGCCGACGATATCAACGGCGCGCACAAGTTCCCCCTCAGGAATTGCAACAGCCCCAGGGACAACAGCACATTTCTCGCGCAGCTCGGCTTCATTCCAGAAATACACCTCGACAGGAAGCTCGGCCGCAATGAACTTGTCCACCTGTGCCTGAATCGCATCCTTGTGTTTACTCTCGATCGTGCCTTGGAAATCTACGAATGCGAGATCAGGATAGTGCTGCGCCTTCAGCTCCGACACGTCAGGAATAGACGAGGCCAAGTGTCGAACAGCTAGACCGACGACGTGTCCGCCCGTGTGAATGCGGGAGTTCATGACGCGCTTTTCGCTGTCGATCGCTTGGTCCACGGTGTCACCTGCTTTGAATTGGTCATTCTCGGCGGCTGAGGCAAATGTGCCCAAGTGTAGTATCAGTCCATCAGCGCCGTTGCGGACTGCTGTGACGTCGAATGTGAGGCTAGTGTTTGATGCGAGAGTCATCTTTCCCGTGTCGCATGGTTGTCCGCCGCCTTGGGCGTAGAAGATTGTCTCGGCAGTAACGACGACGTGGTCTTTTGATGCGTCTGCATTTTTGAAGAGCGGCTTATCGGACTCGGTGAGGGAGGATACGGGTTGGACGGAGAGGACTTTGGTGCTGTGCGTCCGGAGAGACTCGTCTGTTTGGTAGAGAGCGTTTGTCTTGGGAAGGGTCTGGATTTCGTCGGTTTGTGGACTGGACAATTGACTTCAGAGTGTAGGGATACTTACCATTGTGAACACAGAGCGTTTCGAAGATATTTTGCTGGATCTGGTATGCAGCGACTGGAGGGGTGAGTGGAGGGTAGCCGCCAAAGTTCGGGGGCGAGGCCAGGATCGCAGCGGGGGAATGGCCGATCTCGCAGCTGCCATTGTCTAATTGGTACAAGCTAGTCGGTATTTCTCCGTGCTGCGGTCAGCAGGCAGCCCAGGAGTCTACTGTATACATCAAGTCGGTACACTACCTTGCGAGCCCTAGTTAGAGCAACTAGGCCACCCGGCACCTGGACACCTGGGCAAACATTAGCGCTTATGTCAGTTTTCGAAATACCCTGGCCTCTAGGCCCGCAGCAGTGGATAGATCAATTTTGTTTCGATCACGCGTATCAACTCCATGCCTCTGCCCGGAGCAATTCTCAAAGGGATGTTTTGGCGTAAAAGCAGATCCTACATCGGGCCCTGCTCTTGAACAACCGCATCAATCCACTTCGAAGACCATTCTCGTGGAGTCCGCGGTATAAGGTTGCAGAAAGCCGATGCCAAATGTGGGGCTCTGGTTTTATTCCCAACGAGTCTCCACAAGCTCAGCAAACAAAGCCGAGAAATTCCAAGAAAAAGGGTGACATCTGGCATAGCCTCATTTCCGAATCGAGGACTGATGCCGAAGTAATGCCGAGCGAAAATAGTGCAATTCATCACGGGCTAGTTGAGTTGCGCGTTGTGAGTCGCAAATGGGCCAACGGCTCGGCCCGATTCAGGCCACCGGCTGTCCCAATGGAGTTTAGCCTTGTTTTGGGATCTGCAGCCCGTCAGCGCTAACCGTGGAACTCTGCCGTCCTTAACTTCGGGACGCGCCATGTTTGATCTATGCACCTGGAGGCTACTGGGGATATTACTATTAACACTTCGACGATTTTGGAATAACGTGTATAGGCATGAATGAGAAACGGAAGTTGATCTCGCCTGTGGGAAAAGTTGAAATTGGCACAGAGGGTGTAGATAGTTTTGAGAAAGGGGGTTAAAATTGCCCGGCTTTATAGACCGGATATACGGAGTACATGAAAAAACTTCAATTGAATACTCAAACTTTGTGGGACACAAAAAATTAAATCATGCAGGGAACAGCGATCCAGCACAATCTGTAACAAACTCCCCGATTTACGACCACAGAATGATCTCAAATCCCCCCGCAGCGGTTGGGAGAAGCCCAATGAACGAACTCACGGTATATCTCGGGAATATTTCCGGCTGTCGCACCGCATTCACCGAGTGGAAATTCCTAGTATATGTCAGCTTTCCAGTCCAAAGGCCAGTGTATCTATCTACCAAGAATGAAGTACCTGGAATTAAACAATGTCAACTCTCCAACTTCCGGCTGCACTACTTGTACATCACAGCCCTCAACAGCATCCTTCCTATATCCATACCCAGGGCTGGGCTGTCGGAAGGTCTCATCATCACTCTTGCCTTCCCAGAACCGACGATAGATGACACACTCCCCACCCTGGACCTCTCGTAGAAGCACATTCCAGCTCAATTGGGCAGAGATGCAACCGATTTCCCATCCCGGGGCATCGTATGCACCGTAGTCTGCGTGTATAAGGGCGGAGGAATTGATTAGGCGCAAGAGGCCAGCAAAGTATTCTTGGTTTCCTTCGCGGGCAAGTCGAACTGGTAGCGTAGTGACGGTATGGAGGTAGGAAGCGACACGGCCGACGATATCTATGTTTGCCTCTTTGATGAAGCGGTCTTGGAGGGCTCGGGCTGAAGGGACCGATTCGAAGTAGGCTTTCTTGTCTGGTTTGCATATTCTTAGCACGGCATAGAAACTCAAGGGGAAACAAGATCTGGAAATACCATTCTGGTTGTCAAATTGAGTAACTCCTACCTTGCCGATGGGAGGTTGAACATTGGCACCGTATGAGTCCTGTACTATAAATCAGTCTGAAGGAAATAGATTTGGGAGGCAGGTAGGTACAATAGTGTGAGTTCGAATGATATCAACCATCCGCGCACGCTCCTCACTCGAAAGAAAGTTCTTAACACCAAGATTGGAGAGATCGTTTGTGAGAAGCGCAATGATGCTATCAGCTGTTACGGCCTCATTGCCAACTGCATTCCACCGTGGAAAGGGTGCCTCATCAACCTGACCGGTGGCAGCACTGGCAGTAGCAGTAGCAGGAGCACGATTGACCTTGGAGAAGGAGCTGTAACGAAGGGAAGTAGAAAGAGGAAGACGCCGAGATGCAACACGAAGACAGAAAGCCGTTTGGAACATGATGAAATCCTACACTTGACTTTGGCTTCACCCTTTCCCAAGGTTCCTTCAGACTCGGGACCTGGGTATCATAATGGCAAATACATTTATATCTATATGCTACTGGATTTAGCTAGACTTCAGGAGACCACCTCCATACTCGATTTCGGGCAAGGAATCTTCGATTCCTTATGTCAGACCACCTCCGATTCCTGGCAGGTCTGCCTAGCCTCGAATAGCAGCACAAATGGTAGGCATGGCTGTGGTATGGAGGGCTTCTTCGGTTCGTGATCACGGAGTAGCGTCGACAACTAGTTGAAGCGTTTCTGTACATACGTGTATCGTACAGTTCAGAAATGAACTGTTTCTTACGCAGCAATAGCACTGCTGCTGGCGTTATGGGGGCCGTTCGATATCACGACAGCTAGGCTGATTCCAGAGGTCTAGTGACTACCAACCATCGCTTGAACTAGCTCTCTCAGACCTGAAGTCAGCACTAAAGAGATGAAGCTGGAGGAAATAGGCCCTCCGAATTTCCAAAACGGGCATTGTGGAGACGAAGATGGGAAGAGAACCTTGCGAGCGCTAGATACTCTGCAGGTGCACTTGCGGTATACAAACTCGGGCCAGGTACCATGTAGAGACGAATGAGACAGATAGACCAATCACATCTCATGTCAGCGATAAAAATAAGGTGCCATGAAGCCGGGATGCCGCAAGTGGTCTATTGGATGGAGGACTTTTTAGCAAATGCCGAGCCAACGTGCATAAGACACGAAGCCTTGGCGTAAGGCTGTCTCTGGCTACTCATTCAAGCTGCTACCTTGAATCATTTGTCTAAAAAGAGGGGAATTGCGAATTGTTGACATGCTTACTAGAGCCTGTACTTGACCAGTTGACCCGTGGACCCGTGGACCAGTAGCAATCTAGTTCTGAGGCTGAAGAAAAACGAGATGCAGGAAGCTGAGCTCGAGCAGCAATCGCCTCTTGCTGGATGAGGAAATAGGTTTAGGAATTGTTCGCAGAGCTCGACAACATACTCCGCAGCACCCCCTGTAGTCTGGCAGTACGGGTGTGGGATGGGTGATCATTTTTCGGATGGCGTTGTGTTATTCCTTGCCTGGTCAGTTTGCCGAAATTATGTAGATTGAATGCATACAAGAGAAAAAGCCCCTGAAGATGATAATATTTGCGAGATGTAAGTGGTGGAAGTTGCATAGTAGCTAGTCTGACGATGTGGGCCCGGGCCCGTCTGACAACTCGGGTTCTTCGCTCTTCTCCTTCCCCTCCACCCGGCGCCACTCGACGAGCAGCGAAAATGCCCACGCTACGGCCGCAGTTCCGATTCCGATGTTGAATGCCTTTTGGAATGCGTTGGCAAGCGCCCCTAAAACCCGATCGACCGCATCAGCAGGAAGATTCGCCCGAATATGCTCTAGGTCTGCGAGCGCTGCTTGCTGAATCGCAGAGGGGAGATCCAGACTCTCTAAATTATCGGAGAGAATCTGGCTGAGTGCGATATTGGCAATTTGAATGGCAAATGTGCTAGGACATATTAGTCGAATGATGGCACATCGACGGGGTGGGGTACCTACCTGGCCAAGACCTGCAGCATCAGCGTAACGCTATGGCACAACTGGATTTCCATCTTGTCAAGAACCAATCTCGGACAAACTGTTTGACAGAGAACGCATAGCCCGAACCCCACTCCGGCCAAGACCTGAATCCCCACGATGTATGCAGTTGAGCTATCCACTTTGAACGTGGTGAAAAGTCCCGTGGAGATCCAGAAAATCGACGATCCGACGATCAGAAGTGGATTGATGTGTCGCAGCTGGGTCATCGCCGCTACGGCTATGCCCACACCAAGGGCGGAGGAAACAACGTATGCGATGGTGCGGAACCCACTTTGCTGGGCGGAAAGACCTTGCACCGCCTAGGATTGTCAGCCACGGGAATCCCAGAGAGCGAAAATCAATGATTACCTGGAAAAATAATGGGAGATAGTAGAAGATGGCTCCCAAAGTTGCAAAAAGGAATGACAACAGCCCACAAGCTGCCCAAACATTGCGGCGGCGAATGATGCGCAGGGGAAAGAGTCCTTGACGGGTGCGTTTGAATTGTTGGAACAGAAACACCGGCAAAGACGCCCCCGAGACGCAGAACAAGACGATTATGGTGGTGTCATTCCACGGTCGCTGTACGCCATACTGCAATGCCAGAAGCAACGAGATTAGACAAAGCGCCCAAATCGCTGTTCCCAGCAGATCCAGGTGCATGAGCTTCTCCTTGAGTGGCTGCTCTCTCGCAGGTGTTTTGGGCGTTGAGAACGTCATTGATGCAAAGAGCAGTAAAATCACTACCCCTCCAATAGGCAAGTTGATCCAGAAGCACCATCGCCATCCGGGGCCATCAACCAGCAGTCCCCCGAAAAGGGGGCCAAGGACAGAACTGATGCCTAATTCTTGTTAGCTGGTACCATCATATTGCATCAGACCGCACTTACTGATGACAGAGCTCGCAATTCCGACCAGAAGATTCTGCACCTGCGGCTTTGCTAGCGTTGTGAGAATAATCAAACCGCCCACGGTCAAACCGACAGCGCCGATCCCAGACAGCGCACGACCACCGATTAGGGCACTCGAAGTTTTTGCTGTTGCCGCAATGACCGATCCAACTAATTCGGGTTAGAGTCTCGTTCTGGCAATTCGCTTTAGTACGAACCTTCGAACATAGCGAGCGATCCCAAATATACTGGTTTGATACTCCATACCGCATAGAGTTTCCCGAAGAAAGGCTGCAGGACCGCCTGAGGGAGCAGAAATGCTGATCCATATGCCCCGATATCTTGTGTGCTGTTGAATTCTGATGCGATTGTAGGAAGGGCCGTTGCTGGTACGCGTCAATAATTGCTTTTTCTTGAAGATACGCGAATCACCACCTACTGACAATGGACTCGTCAATGCCAACCTATACCGTCGTCGGTAAATGAAATTGAATGGATTCAGGGGAAATTACCCACTGTCAAATATGTGAGGAGAATTCCCGTAGTGACAAAAGCCAACCTCCAGGTCGAGAGACTAGGGACATTCTCGTCATCACCTGTTGTATCGGAGGCAATGGGCGTGTCTTCTTGCGACGACTGATCGACTTTCGGTTCACTCATTTGACCTCTGTGAATTGAAATCGCACCGATTTGCGAAATAGTATGCAGAGCCGAAAATATTGAACGTTGACATTTTTTGCGGACGCAAGGGCTAAAATCTGTGCAGGGATTATCTTCCGTGTTTTCAGCCTCGGGCCTGTGGTCTGTGACCGTTGAAACTTACTGTTTGGTACACGTATATTCAAGTTTGATACGTACATGAAAACGTGGGGGCCGAAGGTTCTGACTATAGATGGCGGCTTTTTTTAGGCTGTCTTGGGTGGCTTGATGCAACCTGCAGAGATTAAACGAGTGACTCTAGCCCTCACAAGGTGTGGTGAGAAATTAGTGCCCAGGTGGGCTATGCAGGAACAGTAGGTGATCTTGTAAATCTTCCAGAACTCAGTTTTAGAGTATAGCCATTTTGGGAGTTTTGCTTCTTGACGTCTTCACAGTTTGTATCTGACCATCGTTACTATCAGACATCCGTGGATGAAAAATGTCATTCCCTCACGTATCTATGACTGAACAACCAAACCGTCTCAACCACAGTACTCTGTAAATAAGCACAAATAAGTATATTCTATGGACTCCGGAGGTTTCGAGTATAGCTTTGAAGGCGCCATGAGCTAAGGTCAGGCCACCATGCTACGCCGTGGAGTTAGTTTGATCCCAGTATTGCTATGTCTGACGTGAGCTCCCCATGCAGAAAATCACTCGTATGCAACTGATATACTTAGTCTCAAGTAGGAGAAATGACCCCTGTCCAGTTGCCCCACATCGCTCACCTGTACACTCGCACGTTTCGTCGACTCAGAAGCAACCTTGGAAGTATATGACTTTTGCAAGGTTCCAACTGCATGTCTGTACTGATTGGCTCAAGTGGCCATACATTGAGATATTGCCCAGCCTTTCTTCCGGTGGATGCTTTCTCGTGTTCTTTTCTCCACAGCAAGTACCATGTGCGGATAGCTTTGCCGTTTGAGAGACACTCTCCCCTAGTAGTGGGTATTGAGATGTCAACCCTATATGGAGTACCAACTACTCGGAAACCATGTAAGCTGACCTGCCTAGTGGTATTGATCTAAACACGAAGTCTGGCCAACCAACCAGGTTTGCAGAATCGATCATAGGTAGCATCGAGCATACTTCTGGCCCATCTCTGAGCTCTTCAGCTGTCAAAATTACGCCTTACCAGAATAGATACGAAGGGGCCATGCAAGAACTGACCTGCGGCTCGTTGTGTACTGCTCACGGTTCGCTCGCAGTTGACCGGAGGAATCACCCTTTTTGGATAGTTCGTCCTCGCCATCCATACATTGGCCAATAGACAACTCCTTCAAGGCAAATTGACACATAGAGGTCGAGTTGGGGGCCAGATGCGAGATGGCTGAATGGAACCATGAGTGTGAGTGTCAGGCTTGCTTGCTAATGCTAGTAGCGTACTAGGTATATTGTTCAGCAAGCCAGAAATAAAACAAGGAGACTAAATTGGGAAGCTCGTTCTGCCTTGCAAAGTAACTTGGACCATCTTTGCTGTATGTCTGGAGTGAAGACAACTTTTTCATTTTCATTCGTTGTATAGACGTCCGCTTTCACATCCAAATTTTGCATCGATACCGGATTTTTCACAAAAGCTTTATTCGATTTGTATTTGGACGTCAATTGTTGAGAAAATTCGCAATGGGACTCGACGTCAAAGGGCCGGAAGGCTTCTCATGGCATCTTCCAGAGATTCTGGTTGTTCTGATGAGCTGCTACCTCGTCCAAAACGACTTTGCGCGACGCATTTTGGATACGGGCATTTCAAAAAAGCTCGTTACACTCGACGTCGGAACCCAGCGCAATGCAATCAATCGAATCGTTGGACTTGTCCACTCGTCTGTTGTTGGTGTGGCAGCACTATGGATATTTCTGGCAGGCGACAGCTACCTTAGCGTGGGCACCTACCAGGAGCGGCTGTGGGGGTACAACGATAATATCTCCCGCCTCAATGCGTGTTGTCTGGGATACTTCATCTGGGAGATTGTCATTCTTCTTTTGGATCCGAGACCTTCCAAGGGAATGCTCGTTCACTGTCTCTGCGCTTTGTTGTTGCTCTCGGTAACGCAATTATCAGTATGCCCTCCATATCCCGAACATGCGCCGTGCACAGAAACTGACATATCTTTCTGTAGCGACCACTTCTGAACCTGTACTCACCGGGTATCGTCATCTACCAACTCTCGAACCCTCTTCTCCAGATCCACTGGTTTTGCGACACACTCGGTTGGACCGGTTCCCGAACGCAGGTGTACAACGGGATCACACTACTTGGGGTGTTTTTCATGACGAGAATTGTTGGGGGGACATATTTGACGATGAGACTGTTTTGGGATATACTGGCTGCTCGGAAGAGCCAGTCCCAGGCACTTCCAGTCGCATCAATCTCGATCGAGGAAGCCCCGTCCATGGGCAACTCCTCGCAGGTAATGTTTGAAGGTAATACTAACATCGCAGCATGGATATCGACTGTGACGTTGATGAGTGTGTTCACGACATTGTTTGTATTTGAAATTCTTAACCTTTACTGGTTTAAGAAACTGGTTCACACTGTTCAACGGCGCATCGAGATGCGAGCGACGCAGATTGAGAAATCTGGCGAAAGCTCGGTGGCATTGCGAACGTTGTGGGCGTCGGTCACAATCCTCGCCAAAAGAACGTTGTTTGTCCTTAGAGAAACTCTGAGCACAAGAACTGGACCCGGAGCCACAAAGACGCCACCCTCCACCGAGAGGGAGGCTCAAATGCAGGCTCTTTGGGCTGAAGCCATTGGCGTGCCACTCCAAGAAATTGGTACCAACGACAACTTCTTCCGCTTGGGTGGTAATTCTCTCCAGGCTATCACATTGGTGGCAAAGGGCCGCGAAATCGGTCTTGACATCAACATCATGAATGTCTTTTCCAGCTCGACATTGGCCGATCTTGCCTGTCTTGCGAAAGATATTTGCGAAGATACCGTCGTGGACCCAAAGCCCATGGAATTAATTCCCAACGGTAGCTCGGCAGAGGATATCATTACCGAAGTTGCTTCCTTGTGTCAACTGGATCAGGAAGAAATCGAGGATGTCATTGTTTGCACTCCGATGCAAGAAGGATTGATGACCATCGCAGCCGGCACCGATTTATATGTTGCCCGCCATGTCATTGCCTTGGAGGCATCTGCGAAAGTCGAGAAACTCCTGTCCGCCTTGAACACATTATTCCAAATCGCTCCTATCTTCAGAACTCGCGTGGTGCAGTCTGAGTCGACTGGACGTCTGCTTCAAGTAGTGTGCAGGGGCCGCCCGCAATGGCAGCGCGCCTCCAACCTGGAGGACTACCTCGAGCTTGATCACCAAAAGCTGATGAACTTCGGCGATGAGTTGATGCGATTCGCGATTATTCAAAATCCCGTCACTCGACAGCGACACTTGGTGTGGACGGCCCATCACGTGCTCTACGATGGTTGGTCTTTGTCGCTGGTCGCTCGTTTGCTCGTGCAGCAAGGCTCTTCTCTTCAAATTCCTCCCAAGTTCACGCGTTTTGTGAAGTATGTCATTGATACAGATGAGTCGGGGGCGAAAGAATTTTGGTCGGGAAGACTTTCTGAATCTTCTCCCTCTGTCTTCCCCGCCATCCCTGCTCCACGCTACCAGCCCAGAGCTGATTCGGTCTACACCTCACTAATCGAATGTGGCTCTCCAAAGGACAAAAAAATCACCACAGCTACTGTCATTCAAGCAGCATGGGGCTTGCTCATGAACCAGTACGAAGGTACCGATTCGATCACATTTGGACTCACGGTTGCGGGCCGAAATGCCTCGCTCCCAGGTATTGAGGACGTGCTTGGTCCGACCATTGCAACTGTCCCGGCCCGTATCCAGTTTGATCGCAAACAAACATTGCTCGAATATCTTCAGGCTGTGCAGACACAAACAACGGAAATGACACCCTTCGAGCAATTCGGAATGCAGAACATCATGGCCATTGACGCGGAGACCCGATCTGCATGTCAATTCCAAAATCTCCTCATCATTCAGCCCAAGGTGTGGAGCAACGACATCAAGGGCGTAGGATCACTCATCGTGGATCCGTCTCAAGTCGCCAATGACAAGACCTTCCCACTGGTTCTTGAGTGCATACTCGAAGGCTCCAGCATTGAGCTTCGCGCCAGCTTTGACTCAACACTGGTCCAAGAGGCGCAAATAACGCGTGTAGTCGCCCAGCTGGAACAGGTCGTTGACCAAATGCTCTCGGTTGACCGGTCGACTCAGATCGGGCAGATCGAGACCATCAGTGCAGCGGATAAGGTCGACATTGCTTGTTGGAATACAGGCATACCCGATGCCATCAATGCATGTGTCCACGACCTGATCACGCGTAAGGCTCATCAAAATCTTCAAAAGGTTGCTGTCACTGGATGGGATGGAAGCTTTACATACGCCGACCTCGACCGACTGTCTTCTGCGGTCGCCGCCCACCTGGTCAAGTCTGGGGTCAAACCAGAGACGCCTGTTCCAATCTTGTTTGAGAAGTCCACCTGGACAGTGATAGCAATGTTGGGTGTACTCAAGGCAGGAGGAATCTGCACCGCACTTAACCCACAACATCCCCGAGAACGTCTCGAAGCAATTATCAAACAGCTTGGCGCCTCGATTCTTCTTTCGTCTGAGATGCATCAGCGCCTTCTCAACGACAGCATAAAAACCGTAACCATCGGACCCGAATCCACTTTTTGGAACACAGAAAAATCTCAGGCTCTGCCAGTCTCAATCAAGCCAGGAAATGCCGCATTCATCGTCTTCACTTCTGGCTCGACGGGAGTCCCGAAAGGAATCATCCTAGAACACAAGACGTTTTGCACCAGCGCCCGGGCTCACGGTGCGGTAATGCTACTTGGTCCCAGCACGCGTTCACTTCAATTCGCTGCTTACACTTTCGACGTGAGCTTGGGTGAGATTTTCAGCACTCTCATTCACGGAGGCACTGTCTGTGTCCCCTCCGATGAAGAGAGGATGAGTGATCTAGCGTCTGCGATCACTCGCATGGACGTCAACTGGGCGTATTTGACTCCCTCTGTAGCAAGCCTGCTCAACCCCACAGAAGTTCCCTCTCTCCAAACTCTATCAGTGGGTGGAGAGGCTGTCTCCCAGGGCGTGGTATCTAAGTGGGCTGATCAAGTTCACTTGATCAATATTTACGGCCCTGCTGAAACAACCGTCTGGTCAACAGCTCTCTCTGGCCTTCAGTCTGATTCGGCGCCCGAAAACCTTGGATGGGGTGTGGGCTCACTCTCCTGGGTTGTTGATGCGAAGGACCACAACCGTCTTGTCCCCATTGGCGCGATCGGAGAACTTCTTCTTGAAGGTCCGATCCTTGCCCGAGGATACTTGAATGAAGACGAAAAGACAGCTGCGTCCTTCATCTACGACCCGAGCTGGAGTGAGCGCTATGGAACCCAACGTCGTCGGTTTTACAAGACAGGCGATCTCGTTCGTTATAACCAAGATGGAACGGTTGCTTTTGCCGGCCGCCGTGACAACCAAGTCAAGCTGCACGGTCAACGTATTGAGATGGGTGAAGTGGAGCACCATCTTTCTACATCTTCTCACGTCCGGCATGCAGTGGCTGTCGTTCCCGATAGTGGTCCGTTCACGCAGCAGCTAGTGGCTGTACTGTCGATGAATGAAGAAAACCCGCAGAATGTCAACGAGGAAAGCGAACAATCCCTACAATTGCTTCAGTCGCCAAGCATTGTGGAAATTTTACCTCACATTCAAAACCATGTCTCAGCAAACCTACCCTCCTACATGGTCCCCACCGTTTGGGTCGCTGTTCAGAATATTCCTCTTCTGGTCTCTGGGAAGCTGAACCGTAAGCAAGTTGGCCAGTGGGTCTGTAGCCTGGATCAAATGATGGAAGCAGCGATTGATCTTGCTTCGCATGGTTCCGTTGAAATCGAGCGCCCGCCCACTCCTGTCGAAGAGAAGCTGAGAGGCATCTGGAGCCAAGTCTTGGGTATCCCAATTGAGCGAATTGGCTTGACTCGTTCCTTCATGAGTCTGCGGGGAGACTCCATGGCTGCTATGCAGGTGGTTGCACTCAGTCGACGAGAAGGCATAGTCACGACATTCGCCGATGTCTTGCATTGTTCGTCCATTGAAACTCTAGCAACGCGAGCGAGTGGAAATCAAATCAATCAGCACGTCTTCCGCGACGAAGCGATTGAAAAGCCGTTCCAACTGTCCCCCATTCAACAACTGTTCTTTGGTTTGGTTCCCCAAGGCGAAAATCATTTCAACCAGAGCGCCATCTTCCGTCTGTCGAAGGATATCGGTTTGGACCAGATGAGAAAAGCTTTGGATACAATCGTCCGTCATCACTCGATGCTCCGCGCTCGATTCCAACAGGAAAAGAATGGTCAATGGCTGCAAAGGATCACCGAAGACGTCGAAGGATCTTATCAGCTCAATGAATCAGTCGCAACCGATCTGCAGCTTCCTTCGCTCGTCGGCTCTGCTCAAACCGCATTGAACATCGAGACTGGTCCTCTAATCAGAGCTGAACTCGTTGAAGTCCAAGGCAAAGGAAAGCACCTGTTATTCGCGGCACACCACCTGATCATTGATTTGGTTTCATGGCGAGTGTTGATCTCTGACATTGATGAATTCCTCCAAATGGGCTCTTTGAGTGCAGAGAAACCGCTGTCGTTCAACGTATGGCAAGAACTGCAAACCGAGCATGCCTCTCGTCACCTAGCTCCCAGCGCCATTGGCAATTTCGATATTCCGGTCGAGAGCTTTGGCTACTGGGGCCTGGAAAATTCGGAAAACACGTACAAAGATTCGATCTCAACCGAGTTTACTTTGGATGAAGCGACAACGACCTTGCTGCTTGGCCCCGCGAATGCAGCGCTTCGGACACAGCCGCTGGACATTCTTCTTGCGTCGTTGACCCACTCTTTCCGTGAAGTATTTGCGGAGCGCCAGGCGCCCGCCATATTTACCGAGGGCCACGGTCGCGAACCATGGAGCGATGAGATTGATCTTTCTAGGACCATTGGTTGGTTTACCACCATCGTGCCTATTGCGATCCCTGTCGATAACGACTCATTGCTTGAAATCGTACGAAAAACCAAAGACCTTCGCCACTCCATCAAGTCAAATGGCTGGCAATATTTTGCATCCAGATTCTTGCATCCAGATGGAAAGCATGCATTCGATGGACATGGGTCAATGGAGATTCTCTTCAACTATGCCGGCGTCTATCATGACACCACATCTTCAGAAACCGTGTTCCATGAGCCGCGCTGGGTTGCCCCTTGTGTGTCCAACGGCATTGGCTCTGTGAATGAGAGCATGCGCCGTATGGCGTTGTTCGATATTACCGGTGTGGTTGAGCAAGGGGAATTGAAGATGACTCTGACCTACAACAAGAGAATGCAACACCAAGATCGTATTTCATCGTGGGTGGAAGCGTACAAAACTTCTCTGTCGGATGCCGCTCACGTCTTGGCGGAGACGGAGCTGGAAATCACGATTTCCGATTTGCCGTTGCTGGATCTTGATGCCTCAGGCCTCCAACATTTGGTTCGAGATCGCCTGCCACAGATTGGGATCAATCATCCTTCTGAAGTTGAAGATGTTTATCCTTGCTCGCCTATGCAGACAAATCTTCTCCTCGGGCAAGCTAAGTCCGCCGAGAATTACCAAGTCCGCCTCATGTGGGAAATCGCTTCAACTACAGGTCAGAAGGTCAGCATTGAACGCACAGTTAAGGCATGGCAGCAAGTGGTTGATCGCCATTCTATCTTGCGCACGATTTTCATCGACGCTGTTTCAGACAATGGGCTCTTTGCTCAGGTGGTCTCCACGGCTTCCGAAGCTCGCGTCTCTATCTTAGAGGCCAGTCAATCTGCCTCGGAGACTTTGGAATCACTCCCTGCCATGGAAGTCAATGATTCTGATCTCCTACACCGACTGTCTCTCTGTCCGTCTGAAGACGGTTCGCTCTTTTGCAAATTGGAGATCTCCCACGCAATCATCGATGGGTCTTCGCTCCCGATTCTTCAGCAAGAGCTCTTCCGCGCCTACCATGGTCAACTTTCACAGCAGCCAGGACCTAAATACAGCTCTTACGTCGAGTATGTCACCAAACGCGATTCTCAACCCAATCTCGATTACTGGTCGAAGTATCTTGAAGGTGTGGAGCCGTGCAATTTCCCTCCATTGAACGAAAACTTTAAGCTTTCTCGCACATTGAAAACGGTCCCGGTCAAAATTGAGAACGTGTCTCGAGTTATTTTGGCGTGTGAGACTCAAGGATACACTGTAGCTAGTCTGGTGCAGACAGCCTGGGCTTTGGTCCTCCGGAGCTATGCTGGCACAGACAATGTTTGCTTCGGCTATCTTACATCTGGTCGTGACGCGCCCATTCCTGGAATCGAAGAGGCAATCGGTATCTTCATCAACATGCTCGTGCACCGCCTCGACTTCACGTCCACCATGACTGTGTCAGAGGCTGTCGGCCAAATGCAAAATTCTTTCGGCCAGGGCCTGAAAAACCAGGGCCCATCTTTGGCGGATATTCAGAAGGCTTTGAATATGTCAAACCAGAGTCTGTTCAACTCCATCGTTTCTTGTCAGACCTATCCCACTTCAGCTGATCCTCTGAGGGGCGAGATTTCCTTTAAGGATTTCGCTGGGCACGAGTCAACGGAATATGACGTGTCAGTGAACGTGCGACAGTTCGGCCGTGAAGATGTCCAGATTTCGCTGAGTTACTGGGAGTCTCATATCAGCAACGAGATGGCTGTTCATGTGACCAGTGCTTTCACGCGCGCATTGGAGGTCATCGTCGAGAATTCCGATACTCCAATTGCTGAGCTTGACCTAGTCAGCTCTTTCCATCGCCAAAGTATGCAGGAATGGAACGTTGAAAACGCCGAGCCTGTCGAAGGATGTCTACATGAGATCATCACAGGGCATGTCCTGACTCGTCCTCACGCTTCAGCAATAGAGTTCTGGGATGGGCAATTCACGTACCAACAACTGGATGATCTTTCGACTCGCCTTGCCCAGCATCTGATTGGGCTTGGCGTGATCCCCGAGTCACGAGTCCCCCTGTGCTTCGAAAAGTCACCATGGATTATCATCACTATGCTCGCCGTTCTCAAATCAGGTGCTGGGTTTGTTCCGCTTGATCCAACTCACCCAGAAGAAAGGAGGAAGATGATCATCGACGACCTCCAGACAAACTTCCTGATTGCATCTTCTGCTCAAATGGACCTATGTAAAGGCCTAGTAGACACAATCGTTGAGGTATCCCCCGAGCATGTCGCCACCATGGGCTCATCTATCAAACTTCCAACGGTGCAACCCAGGTCTCTTGCATATATCATCTTCACATCTGGAACCACCGGCAGACCGAAGGGTGTCATGATTGAGCATGAAGCGTTCTGTACCAGCATCATGAAGCACGGCAAAGGACTGGGGCTCGATTCCAATTCCCGAGTTCTTCAGTTTGTACCTTACATTTATGATGCAAGCTTGACCGAAATGATCGGCACTCTCGCTCATGGTGGTTGTGTTTGCATGCCTACAGAAGAAGACCGCTTGTCAGATATTGAGGGTGTCATCAACAGTATGCGGATCAACTGGACTCTTCTCACCCCATCTGTCGCTCGGCATATTGACCCAGCCAAGGTTCCAACATTGAAGCACATCTTGGTTGGTGGTGAGCGTGTTGGCGAGGACATTGTCTCCATTTGGGGTCATTCCTCTACCACTATCGTGGTGGCGTATGGGCCGACGGAGACTACCATCATCAGTCACGGAAGTTCCGCAAAGACACTGGACTTCAGAGCTGATACCATTGGTCGCAGCTATGGCTGCAGCTCTTGGATTGCCGACGCGAAGGATCCACAGCGTCTGCTTCCTGTTGGGTGTGTCGGAGAATTGCTGATCGGAGGTCCGATTTTGGCTCGAATGTATCTCAACGACCCCGAGAAGACTGGGGCATCTTTCATTGAGCGGCCGACTTGGGCCCAAAATTTCGCGGGTGGACCGGAGCGCGTATATCGGTCTGGCGATCTCATGCAGTTCAACTCCGACGGAACGATGCATTATGTGGGCCGGAAAGACCAACAGGTCAAGTTGCGTGGTCAAAGATTTGAATTGGCTGAAGTTGAGCACAATCTTCAACAGCTCGCCCCCAGAGAGTGGAAAGTCGCCGCTCAAGTCATCCAGCCCCAGCACCGAGGCGGTGATGCTATGCTTGCTGGGTTTGTCGCTGTCAACCACAAAACTTACCAACCCGACCTAGTTGTCGACCTCTCTGCTGTGGACAGTGTGTTTGAATCTACTGCTAGCTATGCAAAGGAGCTGGCTCAATGGATGCCATCTTACATGATCCCCACAATCTACATCCCCCTGGAGCACATGCCATTAACAGCTGCTGGAAAGACCGACCGACGAAAGCTGCGGGAATTTGGGAACCATCTGACTGCGGAGGACCTGCTTTCTTGTTCAGTCCGTAAGCAGGACGCCCAAGAGGTAACCGACCCGAATCAAAGGCAGCTCCAAGCCCTATGGGCTTCATCCTTGCGGCTAGAGGCTAGCCATATCAACCCCAACAGCCATTTCTTTGAATTGGGTGGCGATTCTATCGCTGCCATTCGCATGGTCTCCGCTGCCCGAGAGCATGGAATCAAACTCACAGTTCCTTCGGTCTTCGAAAATCCCATTCTTTCTGAAATGGCACAGCTCATTGGCCACACTACGGAGATCGCTCAGATTCAGCCTCTCGCACTGCTGCCAACAGTCGAACAACCAACCATTTTGGAGCAAGCGCGATCTGCATGCAAGGCAACAGATATTCAGGATATTTACCCATCGTCGCCCCTCCAGGAAGGATTGATGGCGCTATCAGTCAAAAGGCAAGGCGCATACATCGTCCAAATTCCTTTCCGTCTACCATCCGACATCAATATCGATCAATTCCAGCAAGCTTGGACACGTGTCGTCCAAGAAGTGCCAATTCTTCGAACAAGACTTTTTGAAAGCCCGAAGTCTGGCTTGTTGCAAGCAGTCCTCCCGGACCAAACAATCGACTGGATCATGTCTACTGATTACGAGGCGTATATGGCGACTGACCGCATGCTTCCAATGGGCACGGGTGAGCGGCTTACCCGATATGCATTTGTGGCCTCAGCAGATGACTCCAAGTACTTCGTTTGGACCTTGCACCATGCGATTTATGACGGATGGATGCTCCCTCTGATTCTGGAAATGGTCGAGTCTCAATACTCCGGTCGAGGCACACCGTCCTTTACCCCATTCAACTCTTTCATTCAGTGGCTCCAAAATGCCGACCACGACGAAGCCAACAGCTACTGGACAACCGAACTATCCGGAACAAGCGGTGATCAATTCCCACGTTTGCCTTCTGAAAGTTACCACCCTTCGACAGATTCAAGGCAAGATCGCGAATGCGAAGTTGCATGGGGACGAACAAAATTGGATGATCTCACCCAATCAACCTTCATCCGAGCCGCATGGGGCTTGGTCGTTGGCCAATATTCGAACTCCGATGACTTCGTGTATGGTCTCACAGTGAACGGAAGAAATACCCCGCTCACAGGCATCGAGAGGGTTCTCGGTCCAACGCTGAACACAGTCCCCGTTCGTGTGCGACTCGCTGCTGGGAGCTCCATCGATCAGTATCTGCATGCTTGCCAGACTCAAGCGACGGCGATGATGAATTATGAGCAGATGGGCTTACAAGAGATTCGACACATCAGTCCAGAGATTAGCAGGGCATCGGTCTTCCAAAACATCTTGGTCATTCAACCACAATGGGATGGTAGCCAGGATTCCCTGCTTTTCTGCAACCCTGTACGAACCAAGTTGACTGATGGGTTCTTCGAAAACCCTTTGATTCTTGAATGTGCCATCACACCCAGTGGAATCAGAATCACTGCTCATTTCGATTCCAGGGTGATTGAAGATTCTCAAATGGAACGTATTCTGCGACATTTCGAGTACACTCTTGGTCAACTCATCTTGTGCGATAGAACCAGAACGCTTGAATCAGTCCTCTCGATCAACCCGCATGATACCAGAGAGCTTGTATCTTGGAACGGAGATTGCCCAGAGGTGGTCAATGCCTGTATCCATGACATTATCGCGGAGCAAGCCTTCGCTCATCCTGATAAACAAGCCGTCTGTGCATGGGACGTTCAATTCACATATGCTGAACTTCATCGTGTATCTAGCTTTGTGGCTCAAAGGTTGCGGGTTGCATCTGTGGGGCCTGATGTTTATGTTCCGCTGTGCTTTGACAAATCCGGGTGGACTATCGTAGCAATGCTTGCTGTCTTGAAGGCAGGAGGCGTTTGCATTGCGCTGGATCCGAACCACCCAATCTCCCGCTTGCAGGGATTGGTGCGTGACTGTGAAGCAACTGTCGCGGTCGCTGCACCACAGCATGCTGCATTGATATCGGGCATTGTTGAGAAGGTTTTCTTGGTTGATTCGACGGTTCTGGACGACATGGCAACCTCATCTCCAATCGTTCCGCTTGATTTGAATCGCCGCGTCCAGCCGCACAACGCCGCTTTTGTCCTATTTACATCTGGAAGTACAGGCACGCCGAAGGGTATAATCATTGAGCACCGAGCCATGTGCTCAAGTGTCCGCTCCCACGCCCCAGCTCTCGGAATTAGCCTCGAATCACGGGTTTTCCAATTCTCTGCTTACACCTATGATGTGAGCAACGGTGAAATCTTCACCACCCTGATGGTCGGTGGTACCATCTGCGTTCCTTCGGCAGAGGACAGATTCAACAATCTTGCCAAAGCAATCAACGATTTGGAGGTTAATTGGGCCTTCTTGACACCTACCGTGGCAGAGTTGCTACAGCCTCGCGAGGTTCCGAGCCTCAAGACTCTAGCTTTGGGTGGAGAGCACGCGACTTTCACCAACATCTCCACCTGGCATGACAAGCTTCGTTTGATCAACACCTATGGCCCCGCGGAGTGCTCAATCTGGTGCTCTTGTAGGCCTGGTTTGGAGCATGACGCAGACCCGGCAAACATCGGGCGACGTGTCGGCGCCTCCCTTTGGATCGCAAATGTGACCGATCATAACAAGCTTGTGCCGCTCGGGTCAGTGGGCGAGCTTTTGGTGGAGGGGCCAACTTTGGCGCGAGGGTACTTGAATGATCCCATCAAGACAGAGGCTAGCTTCATTACCAACCCGACATGGTCAACCTCACTGAGCAACCCGTCCGCTGCACGTCGATTCTACAAGTCTGGTGATCTGGTACGCCAGAACCCCGATGGCACTATCAGCTTCGCAGCCCGAAAAGACACCCAAGTCAAGCTCCGTGGTCAACGCTTAGAGCTGGGTGAAGTTGAACATCATGTCCAACGACTACTTCCATCTCACTGGCAGTCGGCTGCTCAGCTCATTCGTCCCAAATACCGGGAAGGCGAAGGCGTGCTCGTTTGCTTTGTATGCCCAGGCTCCAGCAGCACACACGGAAGTGTTGAACTCGATCTGTCAGGAATGGAATCAATTTCAAAGGTTTTACCTGAGCTGGAGGAAGGCCTCATGGCACAACTCGCGCCTTACATGCTGCCTTCTGCATACCTTCCAGTGCGCGCATTCCCGATCACTTCCAATGGAAAGACCGACCGCAAAACACTTTTGCAACTCGGCGAGCGACTGACTGCAGAGGAGCTGACAAGTTGCTTCAACGACGATGTGCCGAAGCGGAGTCCATCTACTCAGATGGAAGCTACTCTGCAACGTCTTTGGGCGGACGTTCTTCACCTCGATATCAAGATGATTGGACTTGACGATAATTTCATGCGCTTGGGTGGAGATTCCGTGCGAGCAATGCAGCTCGTAGCAAAGGCCCGCGAAATCTCTCTCCACCTGACAGTTGCAGACATTTTCAAAAGTCTTGTCCTTTGCAAGATGGCACTGATAATTCAGCCGATTGCAGAAAATGGTGACGAGATCCTATCTTCCACTGAACCCTTTGCACTGCTTCCGACTTCGGTCCCAGTAGCGGATCTGAAAACAACGGCTGCCTTAGCCTGCGAGCTTTCCGTCGACGAGGTTGAGGATATTTATCCATGTACCTCGCTACAAGAAGGCATGATGGCGGCTTCCCTGATGCAGAGCGGCTCTTATACGATGCAAAGCGTCCATCGTTTGTCTGCCACTCTTGACATCACAAGATTCCAAGATGCATGGGAAAAGGCCCGTCAAGATATCGCCATACTGCGGACGCGTCTCATCCAAGGAGATACCGACGGTTTCCTTCAAGTAGTTACTGCGAGCCCTCTGGCCTGGTCTACATCGCAACACCTCAAGTCTTATATCGATGACGACCGGAAAGTTCCTCTTGGTCTGGGGGATGAATTGGCTCGATACGCCATCATCGCTGAGGAGGATGCGACATATCTCGTTTTCACTGCCCATCACGCCATCTATGATGGTTGGACGATCAAACTGATTTTCGACCAAGTCGAGAGTTACTATAGTGGAGCAGTTCCATCGCTCCTGAGGGGTTACAATGAGTTCGTCTGGAACCTCAGCCTGAGTGCGGAAGAGGATGCCCTCAACTTCTGGCGCTCTCAATTCAAATCAGACACTGCTCACTTTGTGTCTTTCCCCCCTCTGCCCCACGCCCAATACAAGCCAGTTGCCGACACACATTATTCGCACTACGCACCTGTGAAATTCAATGCCGAGTCCACTGTCACTAGCTCTAATATCATCCGTGCAGCTTGGGCATTGACCCTGGCGCAATATTCGCGCTCCGATGATGTGGTTTTCGGCACAACGCTTAGTGGTCGAAACACTTCAATGGATGGCATCTTGATGGTCGCTGGCCCCACACTTAACACCGTGCCCATTCCTGTCCAAACCGCGATTCATTCATCTGTGGCCGACTACCTTGCCGCCATGCAAACACAAGCTGTGACAATGATTCCCTTCGAGCAGACTGGTCTTCTCCAGATCGAGCAGTATCTAGATCCTGCAGCTCGTTCGGCTTGTGAGGTGCGCAACATCCTCGTTGTGCAAACTGAATTGGGCCTTTCCACAAATACCTGGTTTGGCAGTGAAGTTTCCCAAGACAGTCAAGGTTCCGGTTTCTTCATACACCCACTGACGGTAGAGGCCACTATAATCGAAACTGGGGTCCAAATCAACGCGTACTTTGACAGCCATGTGCTCTCGAAAGAAGAGATGGAGCACATTTCTTACACGTTTGCTCATTTCTTGAAGCAACTAGCGGAACAAAACGATCAACGCGGTGAGGATCCAAAGCCTTCCTCCATGCAAGCCCTTGATGCAGTCAGTCCAGAGGACCGAGCTCTGATAGCGTGCTGGAATGCTAAATGTCCTCCTTCCTCCAACGACACGGTTGTTTCTCTGCTTCAAGCCTCGGTCATGGCCGATCCTCGTGCCCCAGCTGTCTCTGCATGGGATGTCAACTTTTCTTACGAAGAGCTGGACCGCCTCTCAACATCCCTTGCATGTCATCTGATCTCTCTTGGTGTGAAGTCAAACGAAGCAGTTCCTCTCTGCTTTGAGAAATCAGGATGGTACGTTGTATCAGCATTGGCAGTTCAGAAAGCCGGGGCGGCATTCGTGTCTCTTGATCCCATGCAGACCCCAGAGCGACGCCGTGCAATCGTTTCGGAGCTTGGTGCCAACATCATACTCACAACGCCAAAACTTGGCAGCTCCATTGATGGACTTGTTGAACATATTGTCTCGGTCTCGGCATCAGACGTCGCCAGTATGCCAACTCCCACTTCGCCGACCATCCCGAACATCGCCTCTGATGACCTCGCCTACCTGATCTTCACATCCGGAAGTACTGGAAAGCCCAAAGGAGTAATGATTCCACATCGTGCGATCGCGTCAAGCATTCTTGCGCACGGTAAAGCGCTTGGGGTGAACAGTCAAACCAGGGTACTCCAGCACAGCTCATATCTCTTTGATGCTAGTGTGCTAGAGATCCTCACAACCTTGTGCCATGGAGGTTGTGTCTGCGTTCCTTCGGATGAGCAAAAGTTGAACAATTTGGAGGAAACCATGAATGCAATGGGTGTGAACTGGGCGCTCTTTACGTCGACGTTTGCCCAGATCATTGACCCAAGCCAGCTGACATCTCTGGGGACTGTTGTGTTCGGTGGTGAGCCTGTTGGTCAGCATGTCGTTGATGCATGGAGCAAGTATACCAACGTTGTTCTCGCGTATGGTCCATCTGAGACCTCCATCGTCAGTCATGTGTCTGCTTCGGTTGGCGGCTCTTCCCAAGTAAAGTCGGACCACATTGGACGCAGCGCTGGATGTCTTTCATGGGTGGTTGATGTCGACGACAGTGACAAGCTTGTGCCTCTTGGTTGCATCGGCGAGCTTCTTATTCAAGGGCCTATCGTCGGACAGGGCTACTACAAGAGGGATGAAAAAACCCGCGAGTCATTTATCAGCGCACCCGCTTGGGCAGCGAATCGTCCGAACTCCGACTCCAACGGTTCCTTCTATCTGACGGGTGATTTGGTTCGGTATAATTTGGATGGTACGCTCAGCATCGTGAGCCGCAAAGACGGCCAAGTGAAACTGAGAGGGCAGCGTCTTGAGCTCGGAGAGGTGGAGTATCAAGTTCGACGTCTGCTCCCTGCGACCTGGCACTTAGCAGCAGAGATCATCAACCCGACCGTTGAACTTGCGACGATTGACAATTCTACCCTTGCCGTCTTTGTCTCTGCAGCGCAAGAGGTGGACACAATTACCTCCCTGTGTCAAAGTCTGCAGGGACAGCTGGAAGAACACCTTCCATCATACATGATACCTTCCGTGTACATTCCGGTGCCAGAACTGCCTTTAACGAGGAACGGAAAAATTGACCGTCGTGCGCTGCAAGCCATTGGAGCGCAGTTCAATGCAGCGCAGCTCGTCCAGTATCGCCCGTCCGCCATCGAGAGGACCAAGCGTTCTCCGTCTAGCTCTGTGGAGATCCGATTGCTCGAATTGTGGAGTGAAGTCTTGCACATTGAGCCGTCCAACATAGGAATTGATGACAATTTCTTCAGACTTGGGGGCAACTCGGTTAAGGCCATTCGTCTGGTTGCGATGGGTCGCAAAGAAGCGATATCCTTCACCGTGGCGGATGTGTTCAATTCTTCTAACCTTGCTGAATTGGCCCTCAAGACTCGTTCTGAGAATTCCCAGCCTATCTGCTCTGTCCCTTCGTTTAGTCTCCTAGGATTGGATGGTTCTCATGATTTCGTTGTACGGCTTTGCGCAGAGTTGTGTGGTGTGGGTGAGACCGCCATCGAAGATATATATCCATGCACGCCACTCCAGCAAGGCCTGATGGCCTTATCAGGCAAAAAGAGTGGGGCCTACATTGCTGAGCATTCATTCCAATTGTCGGAAAGCGCAGATCTTGCCCGGTTCCAGCAGGCCTGGGAAATCACAGTCAGGAATACGCCTATCCTACGCACAAGAGTTGTCCATGCAGCAGCGCACGGACTTGTCCAGGTTGTAGTTGACGAGTCTGTTATCTGGAGGAACTCAATTGATCATGAGAGTTTCACTTTGGGAAAACCTCTCACGCAGTATGCGATTGTCGATGCAGATGAGGTTATTACCACTCCTGGAAAGGCAGCCGGAAAGAAATTTGTGTGGAGTGCCCACCACAGTGTTTACGATGCGTGGACAATGCGATTGGTCCTGGAATGCGTCGAGGCCGCCTATTGTGGAGCCGAGCCGATTCCCTTGACCCCTTACAATCAGTTCATCGAGAAGACCGCCGCGGAATCCACCCCAACTCAGGACTTCTGGCGACTGCAGCTGTCTGGTGCCGAAGTCGTAACATTCCCACCAAAACCCACCCAGGCCTCCATTGCCGATGCAGCCCGCAGCCACTCGGCCTCGATTTCATGGGGTGACTGTGATGTCACAGCTTCGACCTTCATCCGCGCTGCTTGGGCATTGACTGTGGCCGAGTACTCAAGTTCCCAAGATGTGGTGTTCGGTGTCACTATCAGCGGTCGCAATGCTTCGATGCCAGGCATTGAACGTATTGCTGGCCCGACCATCAACACGATTCCCTTGCGGGTCAAGTTCTCTCGATCATCTCAATCAGTCAAAGATTATCTTGGGATCATTCAAAAACAGTCTGTGGAGATGATCGAGCACGAACAAATAGGTCTCCGAGAAATCGCGAAACTGGGATCGGCCTTTGAGGATGTGGTCAACTTCCAGAACATCTTGGTGATCCAGGACTCCTCCAATTTGACCGCATTGAACGAGTCTGCCTTGTTTGACAACCCAATGACAGAGCAAGAGGCCGGCTTCTTCACCCATCCTTTGGTTATTGGTTGCACCATCCAGGACCAGTGTGTTGAGATAGTAGCCAATTACGATTCCAAAGTGTTCTCCGGGCGCCAAGTGGATCGCATTCTTATGCAACTCGACCTGACACTGAATGAGCTTGTTCAGGGCTCCAAGAATGAGTCCAAACTCAAGGACCTGAAGAGAGTCAATGCCATTGATGAGCAAGATATCATGACATGGAACAGTGGATTTGTCGCTCCTGTCACCGAATGTATCAGCGAACGTTTCACTCGCCAGGCTCAGAACTACCCTGCCGATCTAGCCATCGAGGCCTGGGACGAGATATTCACCTATCGGCAATTGGACACTCTGTCGACGCAGCTTGCAAACCGCCTTTCCCAGCTCGGTCCCCTAGAGCCAGGCACATGCATACCTATTTGTTTTGAGAAATCAGCTTGGGCACTTGTTGCCATGTTAGCTGTCATCAAATCAGGTGCAGCTTTTGTCCCACTCGATCCCACTCACCCCACAGAGAGACTTCACCAAATTCTTCAGGCTGTTAAATCACAGGTCATACTGGCCTCAAAGCCCTTAAAGTCTTTCTGTCAGCAATTTTCAGAGGTTATCGAGGTTTCTCAGTCGACAGTCGATGAGTATTCATTGGCCGCGAAGCCACAACAAGCCCAATCTCCTGCAATTGATGATCTCGCGTACGTGATATTCACGTCCGGATCTACTGGTGTTCCAAAGGGAGTCATGATCCACCACCAGGCATTCTGTACTAGTATCGTGGAGCACGGAAAGGTTCTAGACTTTGGTCCCTCGAGTCGAGTCCTTCAATTCGCATCGTACACGTTTGATGTCAGTCTTGCGGAAATCTTCACGACTCTTCTCTATGGTGGATGTGTCTGCATCCCGTCCGAAGCAGACCGCATGAATAACCTGGCAACCTTCATCAGCAAAACCAGGGTGTCCTGGGCCTGTCTCCCGCCCACGATGGCCACCTTGGTCCTCCCAGATGAGGTCCCCACACTTCAAACACTAGCGATCTCGGGAGAATCGCCAACAAAAGAGATCATTGATAAATGGGGCTCGTCAGTACACCTTCACAACCTTTATGGCCCTACGGAAACGACAATTTGGTGTGTGATAGCAAAGGACATCAAATCCTCAGATGCGCCAACCACCATCGGAAGAGCAGTTGGATCCAGAGCCTGGATCGTGGATCCTTTCGACTACCAGAAATTGGTCCCGATCGGATGTTCGGGTGAAATGTTGGTTGAAGGGCCTATCTTAGCGCACGGCTACATCAACAATAGCGCACAGACCGACTCCGTGTTTGTTACCAGCCCAGATTGGGCTACTGGGAGACGGTTTTACAGAACGGGCGACCTGGTCCGGTACAACCCGGATGGTAGCATTCACTACATTGGCCGAAAGGACACACAATCAAAACTCCACGGAAGGCGACTCGAGCTGGGCGAGATCGAATACCATTTGCGGAAGATTTTGTCCAACGAGTGGAAGATCTTCGTGGACATCATAATTCGAAACAACCGCCCTGTTCTTGCGGCCTTCCTTTGCATCTGGCCTCAGCTCACTTCACATGATGTGATCAAGTTCGACACCAACGCTATAGGAGTGGTATCTTTGCTACTCCCGCAGCTGCAGAAAGAACTCGCCAAGTCCCTTCCTCATTACATGGTCCCTACTATGTACATCCCCATCAATGCGGTCCCTCTGACGAGCTCAGGCAAACTGAGCCGGAATGCACTCAAGGGACTCATTGCCCAGCTGTCTCAAGATCAAATCAAACAATGTTCTCTGAAAAGAGAAAACGACACGAACCAGCGAATGTCTGTGACCGAAAAACAACTCCAGGCCCTGTGGGCTGATTGCCTCAGTCTAGAAATAGCCTCAATTGGGCTCAACGACAATTTCTTTGACTGCGGCGGTGACTCCATTGGAGCAATCAGACTTGTCGCTGCTGCCAGAGATGAAGGAATGAGTCTAACAGTGGCCGAAATCTTCGAGCACCCAACACTCAGCGATATGGCGACTCGTTTGTCCAAAATGTCAGATTCCGAAATGTTGGATAGCAAAGATACCCACCTGGCCTTCTCGTTGATTGACAACGATATGGTGCCGGCCATCAGGTCCGAAGCTGCATCGGCCTGTGGGGTGGCAGAACATTTGATTGAGGACATTTATCCCTGCACTGCACTACAAGAAGGCTTGATTTCATTGACTGCCAAGCAAAGTCAGGCCTATGTTGCCCAGAACTCATATCTGCTGCCGGAGCATGTCGACATAAGCAGATTCCAGCAGGCATGGGAAGACACTGTGCAATCTACCCCTGTTCTGCGAACCAGGATAGTCCAAAGCGAAGACAATGGCCTTCTCCAGGTTGTTTTACGTGAGGACATCGCGTGGCCTGTCGTACAAGACCTGGAGACATACTCTTTGGACGACCACAATGACATGAAGCTTGGACGGCCTCTCCAGCGGTTTGCCATGGTTGATCGAAAATTCATTTGGACTGCCCACCACGCTATCTACGATGCCTGGTCAATGCGTCTGATCTTGCAGACTATTGAGCAGAACTACCAGCATCTTTCACCCGAGCCATCTCCACCATATAGCCTTTTCATAAATGGACTCATGAATGTGGACCAGAAAGCGAAGATGAGCTTCTGGAAGAGATATCTTAGCGATGCTAGCGCGATCCCATTCCCAGCTTTGCCGTCAAACCACCATCAAGTCAGCGCAGACAGCAAGTTGGAGCACATCCCCTCAAATTGGAACTGGCAATTCAACTCGGATGTTACTCAATCCTCGCTCATCCGTGCTGCCTGGGCCTTAGTGGTCATGGATTACACCCAGTCGACAGATGTCACATTTGGCATGACTCTCAATGGTCGAAACAGCATGGTCGGTGGAATTGAAAGAATCGTCGGGCCAACTATCAACACTGTTCCTGTGCATGTCAAAGCGGACCGCACGCTGACAGCTAGGGAATACATTCAAACAGTTCAAAGAGAGGCGGTGGACATGATTCCATACGAACAGACAGGCTTACGGGAGATCCATCAACTGGGGCCAAAATACCGAGCAGTCTCTAATTTCCAGAACCTGCTAGTGGTGCAGTCCAAATCTGAAGACAGAGATGGGGAGGGCAGCTCCATTTTCAAAGAAGTCAGCTCGACGTCAAACCAGTCTTCTGGCTTCTTTGCTCACCCATTGACTGTCGAATGTACCACTGGGCTGGATAGCTTGGAAATGACAGCTTACTTTGACTCGCAGCTCATTCCCGCCGATCAGATGAAGCGGATCCTTCTGCAGTTTGAACACATACTTCAACAGCTGATACTTCATGGCGATAAGCCATTGTCGGTTATCGAGACAATCAGTCCAACAGATCTACGAGATCTGAAGATATGGAATACGCCATTGAGCAAGTCGCAAGACTCGTGCGTTCACCACATCATCAACCGACAGGTCAAAATCCGCCCAGAGGCGGAAGCGGTCTGCGCTTGGGACTCAACGCTTACCTACAGGGAGCTGGACAATCTTTCCAGCCAATTGGCCCATCGTTTGGTTGCATTCGGCGTTGGACCCGAAATTCTGGTTCCATTCTGCTTTGAAAAGTCCGGATGGACGATAGTGGCCATGCTCGCCATTCTCAAGGCCGGAGGAGCATGCGTTGCACTTGACCCTCGTCACCCCGTGGAACGCATAAAGAGCATCATTCTTGATTGCAAGCCACCGGTGGTTCTCGCTGCGCCCAGTTGCTCAGAAATCGTGTCTCCCCTGGTTGAATCAGTGTTGATCGTGGAGTCTACTCTATTTAAAGAGACAACGATGGAGTCACCCAAATCAGGAGCTCGCCCAGAGAACCCCATTTTCGTTCTATTTACCAGCGGGAGCACAGGAACCCCGAAGGGCATTGTTCTAGAGCATCGCGCTCTCTGTTCAAGCGCGCGCGAGCATGCGCCAGTACTCGGTATCAGCGAAGAGTCGCGAGTTCTGCAATTTTCGTCATACGTCTATGATGTGAGCGTCGGTGAGATCTTCACCACACTCATGGTTGGTGGCTGTGTGTGTGTGCCTTCAGTGAACGATCGTTACGACAATCTCGCCGGAGCAATCAATCGACTCAATGTCAATTGGGCATTCCTGACTCCTACAGTGGCCGATCTTCTGAACCCCGCAGACGTGGTACCCCAGCTCAAGACACTCGCTGTCGGTGGTGAAGCTGCCACTGCTAGCAACATCGCTCAGTGGCATGATAAAGTTTGCTTCATTATTACATATGGGCCCGCGGAATGCGCCATCTGGAGTAATATGGTTGTTGGCGTCGGCAAAGATGCGGATCCGACAAACATTGGCCGACGACTTGGAGGGTGCCGTCAATGGGTTGTGGATGTCGCAGATCACCATCGGCTCATGCCCATCGGGTGCCCTGGCGAACTTCTAATCGAAGGACCCATTCAGGCTCGGGGGTATCTCGATGATGCTAGAAAAACTTCTGCTTCCTTCGTGACTGACTTGAGTTGGGCCGGTTCTGGCCGAAGATTCTACAAAACCGGCGACGTGGTCCGATACAATACCGATAGCACGATCGGCTTCGTGGCGAGGAAGGATAACCAGGTCAAGTTCCGAGGCCAGCGCCTGGAGCTCGGCGAGGTCGAACATCACCTCAAGAAGATATCGCCAGCTGAGTGGCAAGTTGCCGTACAAATCATTCACCCTTCGCACCGCGATGGCGACCCTCTCCTTGCTGGATTCATCTCGTGCGAGGATGATCCTACTTCGGAGGATGGGCTCCAATTCTGGTCTTCCAGGCTCGCGGATGTGCATGAGCATCTCCCGAAAATTGAAGCGGGTCTGACATCTGCATTGGCATCATGGATGATCCCTTCAATTTACCTTCCCATCAACTACATGCCAATCAATACTTCCGGAAAGACAGACCGGAAAGCCCTTCGGCAATTCGGAAACCAACTGACTCCTGAACAATTTGCATCTTGCTTTTTGAATCAAACCCGAACCAAAACTGCTCCATCTACTGAGATGGAGAAGATAATGCAAGGCCTGTGGAGCCAGATTTTGCATCTGGATGCCGCTTTAATCGGAACTGAGGACAGTTTCTTCCGCCTTGGCGGTGATTCGATACAAGCGATGCAGCTTGTATCTCGTGCGTCGAAGGACGACATCGTTCTCACTGTGGCCAACATATTCCAATCACCCACTTTGTCAGCTTTGTCGGAAACTTGCCTCCAGGGTAGTGGCTCAGCCATATCGGACCTTGAGCCATTCTCTCTTATAAAGAACCCAGAGAGTGACGTGGAAGCAGTGAAAGCTGATGCGGCTGCTGTTTGTGGGGTAACCATTGCGAACATTATGGACATCTACCCCTGTACGCCTCTCCAGCAAGGATTGATGGCACTCTCTTTGCAGCAACCTGGCTCTTACGTCATGCAAAATGTATTCACTCTCCCCTCTGGTCTTGACATGGATCAATTCAAGTATTCTTGGGAGTCGACTTTTGCAGCAAGCTCGCTGCTGCGAACACGAATGATCGAAACAGCTAATGGACTTGCTCAAGTGGTCCTGGATGAACGTATCGATTGGATTGTTTTCCGAGATCTGGATGTCTTTTTGGAAAGTGACCAGTCCATGACCATGGGACTCGGGCAGCGTCTGACGCGATTTGCATTGGTGTTGACCGAGGACGCCAATTACTTTGTTTGGACTGCTCACCACGCAATTTACGATGGCTGGACGGTTTCGCTTCTTTTCAGCGCGGCAGAACGATTTTACCACCAGCAGACACCAGAACCTTTTGTTCCGTTCAACCAATTCATCCAGAGCGTCAATTCCTTGGACAAAGAAGACTCTGCGCGCTTTTGGCGCTCCCAATTGGATGATTCTAACATCACTCACTACCCGCACCTGCCATCATCAACATATCAGTCACGTGCGAACAGACAGATTGAACACTCAAGTACGATCCCCTGGAAGCAGAGCAATCATGATGCGACAACTGCAGTCATGATTCGAGCAGCCTGGGCATTGACGCTCATGGATTACTCGGGGAATGACGACGTCGCGTTCGGCTTAACCTTGAGCGGCCGCACGATATCGATCCCCGGTATTGACCGCATGGCTGGTCCAACTATAAACACCGTGCCTCTGCGGGTCTGCCTTGAGAACTCTGAACTATCGGTCGGAGACTTCCTCACCCAAGTTCATGATCAGGCTGTGAGCATGATTGACTTTGAACAGACAGCACTTCATGAGATCAAGCGTCTAGGTGACACCATCAGTCAAGTTTGCGATTTCCAGAACATCCTCATCGTGCAAGGTGACATGGAGAGTCAATCAGCCATGTTTGGATCCCCATTGGGGGCTCAAGGGCAATCCGGATTTTATGTCAATCCTCTTACAATTGAGTGTTTCATCAAGAGTGACGGTGTCCGATTCGAGGCTCATGTTGATAACAATGTTATCTCAGAGAAACAAACCCAACATCTTTTGTCGCACTTCGAGCATCTTCTGACCCAGCTCGTCATTCGGTCGCCGGATACCACTCTTTCGGGAATTCGCTCTCTCAGCAACAAAGACTGCCAAGTTATCATGGATTGGAACAAATTCTGCACTGAACCAATCCACGAAGTTGTCCACGAAGTCGTCCACAAGCAGACTGCCTTGTTCCCAGAGCAACTTGCTGTGCATGGCTGGGACGCATCATTTACATATCAGCAACTGGATGAACTGTCTGATAATCTTGCAAGCCTTCTCGCTAGCCATGGCATCAAATCAGGGTCCGATCAGTTTGTTCCGCTCTGTTTTGAAAAGTCCGCCTGGACAGTCGTCTCCATGTTAGCCGTTCTCAAATGTGGAGCAGCATTCGTTCCAATCGACCCCATGCATCCAGTGCAGCGACGAGCCACTATCCTTGAACAAACAAATGCTCATATCATCCTTGCATCTTCTAAGAACATCTCGTTGTTTGAAGACGCAGGTGCAATCGTCATCGAGATCTCTGACTCCAAAGTCAAAGGTCTCCGACCGTCGAATGTTGACTTGAAGCTGAGAGGCAAAGTCTCCCCCAGCGACTCAGCGTACGGGATCTTTACTTCTGGCAGCACAGGCAACCCTAAAGCGGTCATTGTTGAGCATTCGGCTCTCGTGACAAGTGGTCTGCACCATGGGGAATTGGCGGGCATAGATTGTCGCTCTAGAGTCCTCCAGTTTGCCGCGTATACATTTGATGTGAGCCTGAGCGATATATTTTCTACCTTGATGCTAGGTGGCTGTGTGTGTGTTCCCTCGAAGGAGGAGTGTGTCAATGATCTTGCTGCTGCAATCACTTCCTACCAAGTCAACTGGGCATGCCTCACACCAACGGTTGTGCGAATCCTTCAGCCAGAAAACGTGCCCACCCTGAAAAAGCTGATTGTGGGAGGTGAAGCTCTTACACGGAGTATCATCCATGATTGGGCCGACAAGATTTACTTGGGCAACATCTATGGCCCTGCAGAGTGCACCATTTGGTGTGTTTTCTCGGGTGCATTGAATGTTGACTCCAGTCCCGAGCAGATTGGACGTGGAGTGGGAGCGGTGACCTGGATCGTCAATCCCAATGACTACAACCGACTAGTACCAATTGGCTGTGTTGGCGAATTGGTCATTGAGGGTCCCGTTCTCGCGCGTGGTTATCTCAATGACCAAGTCAAAACTGATGCTGCATTTGTCGAGAATCCAACTTGGGCTTCCGAATTTGCCCCCAGTCGACGAAGACGCTTTTACAAGACAGGAGATCTCGTCCGCTACGACATAACAACCGGAACTATCCACTTCATTGGCCGCAAGGATACACAAGCCAAACTCCGCGGGCAAAGACTGGAGCTCGGCGAAGTCGAATTCCACGTCCAGCGATTATTCCCCACAGATCAAGAGTGGCAAATCACGGTGGATATCATCAAACCCGATGAACGCCAGGGCTACTCTGCCTTAGCTGCGTTTGTTAGCTCCAATGGTCGCTGGGTCGGTTCGGACGATGCTCAGATCGCCCTTGAGCAGCTCGGTGCCCTACGAGGCATCTTCCAAAGCGTTCGATCAGGCTTGGAACAACATTTGCCAGCATATATGATTCCATCGCTGTTCATTCCCATGTCCTCTATTCCATCGACAGCATCTGGGAAGACGGATAGACGCAAGCTCCTTCAGTTGGGGCAGAAGCTAAGTGAAGAACAGCTTGCTACATGCTCTCTCGAGGAGAACACTTATCGCGAGCCAGCCACGGAGACAGAATACAAGCTGCAAAATCTGTGGGCGAAGGTGTTGCGTGTTGAACCTTCCGCTATCGGCGCTTCAGACACGTTCTTCCGTCTGGGCGGCGATTCAATTTTGGCGATGAGGTTAGTTGCTGCGGCAAGAGACATGAACATCCAGCTCTCAGTGACCGATGTACTACGAAAGCCACAGCTTTGCGACATGGCAGCTACTGCCGACGGTAACGCCTTTGACAACTTCCCCTCGAAACCCGATGACATGGAGGCTGTGCCTCTTCACATTACCTCTTCACTCGCCGAAACGCTCTCTTCGAAGACCCGCTTTGCGGTAGAAGATGTTCAAGATATCTTCGAAGCCACTGAGTTCCAAACATGGGCACTCACTTCGAATTTGCTCAAACACAGGGGCTACATGACTTACTTCACATTCACCTTTGACTCTATTCTGAATGCAGATCAATTGTCGGCTGCATGCGATGCTCTTGTTGCCAATCACCCAATCCTGCGGACTGTTTTCCTTGTTCACAACCGTCAGACTCTGAATGTTGTTCTGAAGTCTCTCAAATGTGAATTCCACACATTCGAGTCCGACGGTGACTTTGTTCAGCAGATTGACCAAATTGTGGAAGAGGACAAGCGTCGCAACATTTCTCTGGGTCAGCCACTCACTGGATTCATGTACCTTTCCAGTGATACCAACAGATCCTGTCTGGTGCTCCGTCTTTCTCATGCTCAGTATGATGGCGTCAGTCAACCGATTCTCTATCGAGACCTACAAGCCGCATATACCGGCGTCGACATGCCAAAGAGCTTGCCGTTCTCTCGCTTCGTCAGTGGCAAGATTGCCGCCGAAACAGAGGATGCCATCTCATTCTGGAAGACACATCTTCAAGGATCTCAAATGACCCGGTTTTTGTCGAACCCGCGGTTCGTCACCCGCAACGACACCATTCGAACCATCTCTCAAACTGTCACTGTGCCCCATCTTACCCGACACGGAATCACATTCTCTACTCTCATGAAAACTGCATGGTCTCTTGTCCTTTCTGAACTCTCAGGCGATAAAGATGTGGTATTTGGTCAGCTCGTCTCAGGCCGAAATCTGCCAATTCACCAAGCAGAGACCATCCTCGGCTGTTGTGTGAACATCGTTCCTGTGCGCGTCGCTCTGGGCAATACAACTGCGCTCGAGCTGCTGGAGCAGGTCCAGAACAACTACCTCGCTTCCGTGCCTTATGAGAACATGGAATTCACCAAGATTGTCGAGAAATGTACCAACTGGCCTCGCGAAACTCGCTTCAGCTCGATTGTTCAGCACCAAAACCTCGACGATGTCGTCGAATCGATTCCCTTTGGGAGCACAACTTGCAACATCGACGCTTCAAGCTCGCCTACCTATGCCTCTGACATATTTGTGTTCTCCGTTCCCCAAGGCTCAGACATGGAAATCAGTCTCTCGTGGAATGACGATGTGATCACACAGCCTTTTGTTCAGCAAGTCCATGCCAGAATGTGTGAAGTGCTTGTTGCTATTTCTCAAAACCCCCAGGGAAACTTGATTACAATGGCTTCATCGAAAGCGAAGATGCCTTCCATTCCTATCAGTGTACCTGATAGTAATCTTCCCGTTCTTGCGACATCTTCCACGGACCGAATTGTTGATGAAGCATGGGAGACTATTCTCGGTTGCTCTGACGACATTGGGACGGATGTGCCATTCTTTGAGACTTGGGTAGAGGGTATCTTGGGCGCTCAGCTCGTTCGTTTCTACCAAGATAAAGGCATCATGGTGGAAATGGATGAGGTCCTTGAAGCACCTACCAAGCGCGCGCAATATTCACTCATTTGGCAAACAGCCAACCAGTGATCTGATTTCATCTGTATACTTTCTGGGAAACCCCGTCTTTTGCTACTATTTTCTTTTGTTTTGACCATTATATTTGTCATTGTTCTCTTGTGCCCAGGTGTTCATGAACCTTCCAATGTTATGCCATTTGGGCTTTCCTGTCATCTGTATGTTGTTCTTTGCTATTGTTTTATATTTGCCAATCTGATTCTATAGCAATGCATTCTTTCTTACTTCACAGTGTTATCCAGTCATACTGGTTTCAGCATCCCCATCGTCTTGATAGAAATCCTTCACAACGTCAAGCTACCTGGGCTGTCAGCGATAGCTTGCATCAGATACGGAGAAGACCAGGTGACTATGGTTAGATTTCTACTAGGTAATCACCCCCAAGGAGCGCCCAAGCAAGCAAACTGAACAGACTGAGCAGAGCCTTCGAGACCTTCTCGACTGGAAAAACTGGCAACATGTCAAGATCGCGTTTACCCAGGTATCAAAGCACAGAATCCACGGAGCCTCGTCAAATGGGAACATCAAGAAAAATATCCTCAAGGTCCCTGCCACGATGGGAGAGTGTTGCTACACACCAAATGAATCTACTGAAATATCTTCTATGGGAAGAAAAGATTGATTCCGATATCCCAAAAGAAAGAGGGAGAGGGAGAGAGCGAGCTAGCTATCTAGGAACAAATATAGTCATTCTTCCATAACAAAAGCCAACACAGTGACGGACAACACTTGGCTTTCAAGTACAATACTCGGAATCGTCTGAAAGAGATTCGAAAACCGACAGGACATCACCGAGTACTGGGAAGCCAAGAGCATTTCCCATAAGGGTAAACAGAGCCCAGAGCAGTCTGCCTCCATAGTAATACAACTCCTCTTACTCTACGGTGTGATCCATGAAGGCTGAGTGCCCCAACTCTAAACTGTAGAAATGTAGATGTCTTCCACTCTTTTCTCCCGGTCTACTTGTTGATCTCTTCTTTCACTTTCACTTCCTCTCACTCTCTCTCACCCACAGAATTTCTCTTCTCTTGCGTGTGTGTTCTACACCATCGTTTCCACCCACATCCATCTTACTACCTTGTCCTCTTGGTATCAAGCTCAACACTCATTGCTATCATGTCTCGAAAGAGAAGCCGTAATTACTGGGATCTGTCTGTACTTCAAGTCTGGTTGCTAACCATGCCATCTCCAGATCGGTCTGCATCCGAAAAGACCACCCCAACTGGTGATTCTTCCCAATTGCCTAATGAGCCCGTGCCAGCCAAACACCCAGACTCCGGTACATCGAAGCATTCTCTTTCTGGTAAGGCACATAACGACGTTTTCCCCCTACGAATCCAAGATCCCAAGACTAACAACAGTCCACAGCAATGAAGAGTACAGATAAAGCACTTACAACAGTTGCAGTCGAGATCACCACGCCATCAAAGACGAGCTACAAAAATCCTTCCAAGAAACAAAAGAGGTCCAATGCTTCTACCGCTGAAGTAACTCTCGCCACCGCCCCGAAAGAGTCACAGGGAAACCCCAAGCTTGAAGTCAACCCAGCAGCCGAGGCCACCCCAAAGCCAGGAAAGGGAAGTCTGGACCACTTGCTTCTTCAAATGGAGCGTCTAGATGATCTGGAGTATGGACAGTCTTCGCTGGGAAGGGTCGATTGGGATCTGAAAGCACGCAAGGGAGAGCTCGCACAGAGAATCTTCGAGAAAGCCGAACGCGTGGGATGTATCTGAGACAATGACTCTCTTTTTAGCAGTCTAGCAAGTTCTGATGCCAAACCATTCTTGGTGAAGTTATTCCATCCGCGCAACGATCACTCTATACACCAACTATAATATTAGACCGGGAAACACATGAGATTTGTAGAAGAGCTGAATGAGTGTGAAATTTCCAATATGTCCAACCTGGGTTTTGTCATTGCATTTGTTATGGGATTATATATGTCATTACAGTTGCTATACTTCCACCTCCCAACTCCTACTCATCGTCGCTCTCCTCCCTCTCCAGCTTCATTTTCATCCATCGGTCACGTGCTCCCTCGGGATCCCAGTCCTTCTTGCGACAATTCGCCTTTGCCTCGGCCAGCCATCCATCCCAGTTCTTTGTTGCCGGTGCCGCATGCGTCTTCTTGATCCAACCGATTCTTCCCGTGGACTGAATAGCACTCCACAGCACCTGGGTGAAATTGGCGTTGGGGCGATCCTCCAGAGCCTCCACGACATATCGATCACCCATATTCCACATCTGCGATGGCTCCGTCAACAACGCCATAGCCCAGTATGCAAGATTGAGAATGATATACGCCAGACCGACCGCGATCTGGACCTTCCAGCCCGTGTTGCTGAAGAAGATAATAGCAGCCATGAGGAGCACCGTGCTCATCGCGAGCAGAACCTGGTGATACCGACCGGTAAAGACATATTCGCAGGCTTCGGTACCAGCGTAGAGCTCGCGTGCCACCTCTTCGGTGCATTTCACACAAACGAAGGCACCGGCCCGCGTGCGGATTACCACATCGCCATCCGCTACCTGACCCTTAACAGTGCGCACTGAGAGTTTGGGGCGCCATTGCGCAGACATGCAAGCCATGCTGGTGGATAGTGACATTGTTCCTAGACCGAGCAGACCCACTGCCTCGTGTTGAACGCCGGCCCACACGAACAGGGCAACTGTAATCAGGATCGACCCCAAAGTCACCAAGTTCAACAGACAGAACCTGTGAAGTGGAATGACAGCCTTCTTGGGGGCGTTGATATTCTCGATGTCTGTTTTGATATCCTCGTTCGCGTTTTCTCTATGCCGGATTTTGAATGACTGGAACTGGAATGGAGGCAAGGACTCGACATTGTGAATCACGTTGGCGAAAAAATTTAGTTCGCTGAATTTGTTGCCCGAATACACGCCGACAACTGTCACATCCTTGACAGCGGGTAGTCGCGCTGGTCGGTCGGTGTTCAGCATCATTTCGGGAGCCGGCAGCAGCCGAGGAAAGCTGCCAAACGGCGATGCCGTGATAGCCTGTGCATGCTTATCGATCGCGGATCCTCCAACAACCGCGAGTAAACCGACAATATCAAAGCTCCAGGAGACCGAGTCATCGTCGACATTCAGTGGAAACCAGACCATGTTGGCCTTATTGAGAATAAGATCAATTTTGACGGGATGCGAAGCCCGAGTGACAAAATGAACAGGAAGAAATACTGTCGTGGGAGGCTGGAAAGCTAGCGAAGCACATCTGCAGGATACTCCGTATTCGGGTGATTGACGCTCGAGATGGTGGAGACAACAGACCCCCGGGCGTCTGTCACGGCGTGAACGGCATGCTCAGTTCGCGCGTTCCATTTGTGAAGACCAATTACAAGCCTTTGATTCAGCCAAGAGGGAAGACTTGACATGAGATCGTGTTCGACAGTGCGGATTGAACAGGGTGCATTGCCCAAACGATCTCAGCGGCTAATTTGGACCCAGTCGCCGACCCACATCGATGGACGCTGAGTTCTTCTTTGTTGGCAAACGGCAGCACTCAATTTCATGACATTTGACTATGCCTTGTTGGGCTTAGACCGGGGGCCGACGTGAAGTGGGGTGAGGACAGGTCAGCCAGCCACGGAATATCGATTCCAACGGCCTGTCTCAACTCACGGGGGTATAAGTAACCGATGGCCAATGGTAACTCGCCGTGGAATTATCCTGCTGGTAACCACAGAGTTTAATCACAAAGAACCATGGCTGAGCTGATGCTTCCCGAGACAGCAAGATCTAACTACAGCACCCTCGACATGTCGATCACGGATTGCAGGACAATACACATGCATGAAAACCTTCAAATGACAGTGCGCTATCAAATACGGAGTACTCTGTACGGAGCGAACGATCTTATCTGTGCGGAGTACTCCGCGCATTGAACTAAGTTATCCCGACCGTTCGGGTGTCCCGATACTAGATCTTTTCATTCGACAAAGCTTGCCGACCAGCATCATTCCCTGATGTCAATCCTGCGAGATATTTCTTCGTTGTGTCGTCCAGACGAGACCCCGCAAGAAGAATGCCCATGATATGACCCGCCAGTTGGCCCTGGGTGATGAGACCACAGCGAATCACATCGCCCATCAGGTCATAGGTACTGTGTACTTTCAGTCCTCGCATGATACGCTCTGCGGTGCTGGTCAGCTCGCCGTCTCGGGAACTTAGCAATTTAGGTTTTGTGGATGTCTCTTACTGCTCAACCCCCAGCTGGCCGGCTTGGTGATCTCCACCTTGTAGCTGCGAATCCATGATTTAGGATACGAGGCGCGCAGTCCGATCGGATGGCCCAGACTCTTGATGGAGAGGGTGCTAGTGTTCCGAACTTCGGGCACCACGGGGTCTTCATTTGATTGTTCGGTGGGTTGACCCTTTTGTGGGCCAGTCTCCTGGTCACTCTTTGCCTCGGCTTGCTTTTGATCGGGGTCTGCATTGATGGCATCTCCGGCTGCCTCGATGTCTGTCAGGTCTGCGAGTCATAAGTAGCTGTATATTCGTCCTAGAGACCACAGGGCCTTACCTTGATCTGGCTCCTGGGGCTCTGTCATGTTGGCTGCATCGTGATCTCCCTGTGCATTGGCCTTGGAAGTACGAGTTATTCCAGTGAGTTCCTCGAGGGCTAGCTTGTCCTCTGAGAAATCATCAGACCTTCATCACAGGGCACAAAGATAAGGGAAAACGCACTATAAACGATAATGCCGTGCTCGAATCGGGCATTGGCTGAATAGGCGATGAGAAAGAAGACGTCTATGAAGCCGATAAAGCGAATCTTGCCCGCCCATTGCTCGCCATTAACAGCCAGCTCCCATGGGTGTATATCACTGAATTGTCAGCGGACAATCCGAAAAAATCGCTATATCGCACCTGGTGGGAGGATACACACCAGTCGCACTCTAAGGTATTGTCCTGGACCGATCTTCCAAAGGTTTCCACCACTCGGTGGTAGGATGCCATGAAGGATTGATTGTGTCTTTAGGAATTTCCGATCA